AGCGTACCATGTCGGCATTGCTTCTGTGTGCTGGGGGCTAATTAATGGAGGCCACCGATCAGCAGCGGTCACGTGGTCTGTGTGTGTGAGTGTATAGTGTAGGTGTGTGTGTGGTGTGGGGGGGGGGGGTGTAATGGTGTGTCGTCCCTGGCAGCCGGCCAAGCAAGCCTTGCAATGCCACCGCCTTCGAGTAGTGCAACTACACCGGACCGCGCGCTAATTTCGCAAATAATAAACAACAACAGCTGGTGGCGGCGGTGGCAGACAGCCGGGGGCTCCACAAAGAAGGGCCTGATCGCGGCGGGCTGGCAGGCGGGACGGCGAGACGCAGCCTGCGCCGCCTGCGCCGCCTGCGCAGCCTCGGAAACGAATGGCGCCTCGGAGACTCGGAGACGGCAAGGCTAGCAGGGCCGGCGAGGTGACGTCGACAAAGTGGGCCGCGTTAAACGGATCCGGAAGACGGCGCGCCACTTAGGCAGACGCTGTCCCCAGTGTCGACGCACATTTGTTGACTTTTGCAACTTTTTTATAATGATTGGCCTCGGCAGACGGACGGACGGACGGAAGGGAGGCTGGCCTCCCGCTAGGAAAACGTAACATCACCTTTGCCTCTCCGCATGCGGCGATTTTTCTTGAATCCCAATGGAGTTTTCTTTTGTTTAAATGTTGGCTTCTACCGATTCTTGCGAAGTAGGATGCTCGGCCGCGGATTGCGTCCCGGTGCCTCCACTGATTCCGTTCCGGATCTTTCCCTCCTGACCTTAAATTCAAGTCTCCCTTGCAATCTCCAGCAGCAGGTCCGCGCAAACACACACACGTGCCCTACGTCCTGCATGCTGGTGGTCCTGGCGGCCGGGCCGGGGCAGGGCGGGGCGGGGTAGAGCGGGGCGGGGGGGGGCGGGGCGGGGCGGGGCGGGGCGGCCGGCGTCACGTAGGGATGATGTAGTGGTGGAGGGGGGAGGGAAGGGGCGGGACTTAACGGCGCACTGCGGACTGCATAACAAAGGGTGGTCAGGCGGCCCCGTCAAATGCGCCTTGGGGCAATGAAGGTGCCTGGCCGTTGGATTAGAGAGTCTCGGACGGACAGACGGACGCTCGGACACACGGACAGACAGTCCGATGCGAGAGGTCCGAGGCGCGTCGGCACGGAAGCCGCCCGCCCTTTTTCCAGGACAGCAACGGAAGGAGCTAGCTTGGGCCGCTGTGCCCCTCTTGAGAGGGACGGGGTGCTTGAGTGGGGCCGGGGGGGGGGGGGGAGTCGGAGGAGGGGCTGGAGGCAGGGGGCAGGGGGTGGCTGCATAATGAAACTCGCATCCCGACACAAGGCCTTTGTTCTGTGACTCGACTCTTCGCTTGTTAGTGCCTGGTGGTGCGCCCGGGCCACCCGGGTGGACCCCTCCCCTCCCCCTCCTCCAAGGCACCGATCTCTGTTTTTATTCCGGATAATTGGTCCATTGGTCGGGCGGACTCGATACTGGCCCGAGGACTGCCTAACCACTGCGCACACACCCGCCCTTTCTGCAACTGTTTTTTTTGTTCTCCCTTTCCTCCCTCCCCCTTCCCTACTCAACTCACACACTCACACAGCCCTACTGGTTTTTTGTGTGTCTGTTTGTTGCGCACGGATGCGCCATTCAAACTGGGCGCTGACTTGTTGATCGTGTCAGAGCAGCTTACGGAGGAAGGGCGCGGCCGAGAGCGAGAGGGAGAGAGAGAGACAGCGACAGGCAGAGAGAGAGGGGAGGGGGTGCAGTGAGGGGACGTTAATATCCTGCTAACTAGATCGGGAGACAACTTGGGCGGCACGCTGACAGCGGTTTTAGTTGACAGCTTTTCATTTAAGCGATGCTGCCTCGGAAGTTCTACCATGTCACTCACTGACACACGCACACACGCGTCCACACACTCGCTAGTCACACACACACGCACGCACACACGACGGACCACGCCGACGTGAGGATGAGCTAATGAGTAGTGGAAGACTTTAGATCCCCAGGGAATCTCGTGCCGAACACGGAGAAGAAGGAGAAAGGAGGGTGGATAACGATAGAGAGAGAGAGGGAGAGAGAGAGTGAGACAGAACGGGGGAGAGACTCAATTATTCGTTAACGGCCGCGGCGCGCTACTTTTAAACTGAAAGTACTGCAATGGAGTAAAAGCCCATCGGCCCAGCAGCACCGCACCGAGCCGCTGCGGCGTCGGCCGAGGCTTGTTTAGCCAGAAAGGGGGAAGAGAGAAAAAACACACTCTCTTCAATATAGCGTTTCCGAAAGTTTTCCAACGGCTAGAATATGTGTCCAACAAAATGCGGCAGATGATCTGAATTCGATGGGCGCCTCGGTGCCTCCCCCTCCCCCCTCCCCTTCCCTTTTTCCTGGGGGGATCCTAGCTCAGCAGAGGGCACAGCCCGGCGCAGCCTGTTAGCGCCCCGCCTCAGCAATCGACGACGAGGCGGCGGGGCGGTGAGTTTGGCCGGGCTCCAGGTGCAGGTCCACGAGGCCAGATTGGCCCCGAAAGTAAGGGACGAGCGAAAAAGATTCTAACGCCCTGGCCCGCCTGGCCCGCCTGGCCCGTCTGGCCTGGGGGGCGGGCCGGGCTCTGATTTGCTGGACGTTGCAGAAGCCCAAACACACTCTCTCTCTCTCTCTCTCTCTCTCTCTCTCTCTCTCTCTCTCTCTCTCCCCTCTCTCTCTCTCTCTCTCTCTCCCTCTCTCTCCCTCCCTCTCTCTCTCTCTCACACACACACACACACACACACACACACACCATTTTTTGGGGCGGTGCGTTCGACGCCCTCATTACATGGGGTTGGCGGCGTGCCTCGGCCGTCCTCGGCCCTCGGTCTGCCACGCCACTGCCACGCCGAGCGGCCGGACGGCCGAATCGGGAATGGATGGCCCTTCGCGGCCCTTCGCGTGTCCTTTTTCCCATTTTTCCTGCGCGCTCTCTTTCTCTCTCTCATTCCTTTTCAAACCTGCGGCGCTCGCGCGGGCTTTGCGTCAACTTTCCGGCGATCCCCTTTCCGCCTCATTTATTTCACTCTCGCTTTCCGTGTCCGGGGCCGGCCGGCCGGCGGGCTGGCTGGCTGCCTGGCCGGCTTGACTGCCGGTGACGCGTGCAATGACAGCAGTGCCGTGACAGGCTGGACAGACGGCTGGACCGCGGCAGGGCCGATATATAACTGGCGTAAATCAATGGGGGGCCGTTCCAGCATGTGTGTGTGTGTGTGTGTGAGTGAGTGAATGTGTTTGCGAAGTGTGAAATGTTTTCATCGACGCGAAAGAAACACAAGGCTGCGGAAACACAGCCATCAGGCTGCGTAAATATAACGATGAAGCCTGGGCGTTTGCTGCGGCGCGCGGCGAAGGGGGCGGTTTTTCCTCAAGAGAACGCTCCCTGCTTGCTGCTGCTGGCACTCCAGGCTGCTATCACGGCTAAACACACGCGCGCGACCCGTAACAAAAACAGCCTATGAATATTTTGGTGGACACCTTTGGCAGCTACGCTAGCGCGGTCCGGTGCTGTATTACCGCGCGCAATGCCCTCGTCTTTCCGCTTTCTTTTCTCTATCCACCTTTTTCCTAATTTTCTTTTTTTTTCCGCCGGAGGCTGGTGTCGAACCCGCGGCTCGTCCTGGTGAGGGCTGGCCAAGGCCGCCGGTAAGACCGTGCCGCGGCGGCGCGGCGTCCGCGGCTGTAGCAGGCTGAAGCCCCGGCCGCGCCAGATGAGATGAATGGGCGCATTGTTACAGACCGGAAAATTGCGGCAACCTTTCTCCCTGTATGCAAATGAGTGGCGGCAGCGAGGCCGACTTGCCAACTCGCCGACGCCTCGAGGGGCTGACGAGGCAGCCAGCCAGTCTTGTTTGTACCTCTTTCCTGTCGCTGCCGCTTCGACCCGTTCGACCCGTCCGACCCGTCCGACCCGTCCGACCCGTTCGACCCGTCCGACCCGTTCGACCCGTTCGACCCGTTCGACCCGTCCGACCCGTCCGACCCGTTCGACCCGTTCGACCCGTTCGACCCGTTCGACCCGTCCGACCCGTCCGACCCGTTCGACCCATTCGACCCGTTCGACCCGTTCAACCCGTTCGACCCGTTCGACCCGTTCGACCCGTTCGACCCGTTCGAGGACCCATTCCCGAGGGGGTAACGACTGGTAAATTTCGTGTCAGCCGGATTACGGATTACCCCGGATTTCCCCGGATTACACCCAAATTACCTCCGGAATACAACAAAAAAATTCCTGGATTACCTCGGATTACCCCGGATTACCCCGGATTACCCCGGATTACCCCGGGTAACCCCGGATTACCCCGCATTACCTCGGATTACCCCGGATTACCCCGGATTAACCCGGATTACCCCGGATTACCCTGGATTACCTCCCAATTTGCTGTCAGCTGGATTCCCGAAGTCGTTACCCCCTCGCCCATTCCACACCCAGCGGCTCATCGACCACAAACCCACGGCCTGGGCAGCGTCACGTTTCTTTTTGTGGGCTGTGGCCTTTTTTCTGTGGGGTTTGAGTTAAAAGCAGGGACTGTGTCTCTATTTCCAGGTCCGCGCGCGCCTGCCCAAGCGGCCGCTCTCAGGACCGTGGGCCTGCCACGGCGAGGGTGGGCCGGCCCGGCAGACACCGCAGCCCGCGCTCGGCCTACTCCGGGCGCTCGAACAACCTTCGCGTTAGAGCTCTTGAAAAACCGGATCCCGGGTATCCGGGTCACGGGTGCGACCCGGGATCACGGGTAGACCCGGGCCCACGGGTTCACCCGCATACCCGGGTACCCGGGTCTACCCGCGGTCCCGGTCCAACCCGGGCGGGTGGGTACCCGGGTAACCACCCGGGTAACCCGGGTACCCGGGCAAAAGTCAGAGCCCTACTTCGCGTCCGCGCTCTGTGAGAATTGTGAGACTTGTCCGGTCGACTTTCGAGTCGACGGCCGTTGTACTACTCTCCTTACAGTGCAACGCCAGCAAAAGAGCTGGCCGCTTACTCACCTCAACACGTCTTCAACTCCATCCGCGTCGGGGGAGCAGCAATTCGTGTTGGCATTCACTTTCGCCGCTCGCCTCTCCCTCGCTGCAAAGGGTCCGCGGAGGGGCGCCTGCAACAACCAGTTGGCCTGGTTTAATTTACCTCGCGCTTTATGAGTCAAAGCACGTTCAAAAACGAAATCAGCTTGCTGTGGATAAACACTATTTTAGGCAGTAGCTGTGGAAAAGTTTGGCATTAAACTGGGGCCTCCATTCTCCCCCGTGCAAAACTCTCATTGTTTACGGGCTCTCTCATTCCGGGATAGGGGAAATGGGTTCAGAGATGCACAGCTTCTAAAGGACATGGCGACGAACATCGAGATCCGCAACAAAGGGCGGGAGAGAACTGGGCCGAAGTGGCGCAATACGCCACGCCACGCCACGCCTCGCCTCGCCTCGCCTCGCCCCGCCACGCCACGCCACGCCACGCCCCGCCACGCCACGCCACGCCTCGCCCCGCCACGCCACGCCACGCCACGCCACGCCACGCGCCATCCAACTCGAACCTGGAATGGGTTGTCGTGCTCTGCGGTCCCCGGGGGAAGGATCACATCAACCAAAGGGTGGAGTGGAGTGCAGATGGTGGTGGGGGCGTTGGAGTTGGCGGGGGTAGTGTTGGGGCGAAGCGGGGCGAAGGTACACGGAGTGGCGTGCACGCCAATCACTGTGAATCACAGCAAGCCCTGCGGCCTGCATCCACCCAGTCATGCGTCCGTGCCATCGCCCATTCATTCATTCCTTCGTTCAGTCATTCGGTCGCTCATTCACTCATTCTCTCGTCAATTCGAACATTCACCTCGGTGGCCCCTTCATTATTCATTCACTAATCCATTCATTCATAAATCCACCCATTCATTCATTCATTCTTGCATTAATCCATACATTGATCCATTCATTTGTTAATCCATTCCTTTATTAATCCGACAATTCGTGAATTCATTCACTAACCCGGCCATTCATTTATCCATTCATTCATCCACCCATTCATTCATTCACTCGTCTCATTATTTCCTCATTTCATTCATTACCAGCTTGCCCCTCATTCCGCCATTCATTCGGCGTGTCCTCCCTTCCATTTGCGACACGCTTCCTCTGTTTGGCGCGCTAAAAGCGCCGCTGGAAGCGCTAAAAGGCGCCCCAACTTGGAAAGGCCTCCACCGCCCGGGGCCGGTAAACAAGTTTCCTGCAGCATCCATTGCCCGCGGGTAAATTCGTCATTGGCAAGTTTAGACGCGGCAGTGGAAGTGGGAGTAAACGTGACGCACAAAGCGGATGCCGAACAAGAAACCATCGCCAACATTCTTTTCCGGGAGAAATAGGACGAATCCGTCGCTCAGGTGGGCGTGGGTAATCGCTCTCCCCGCGCGACGCACGCAAGGCACGTCGTAATAGCCTCCGGACCGGGCGACCGCGCACCTGTCCACCGCCTATCCACCTGTCCATCCACCTTTTCTATATCCACCACCTGCCTGTCCATCAGTCCGCCACCTTTCTCTGTCCCCTTCTGTCACGGATTTTTTTCCCTATCCACTCTATTTCTCAATTCACACCGACTATTTTCCCACACTGAGAAAACCTTACAAACTATTTTAGGCCTTTCAATACATAGCAGTTTGTTATAACATAGTATTTTGAGCATACGTAAGCTTACAAAGAAAATACTTCGTAATTTACGAGCTACACAGTAAATGTCTTACGGTGAAAGGCTGCACCAACATAGTATGATGGAGATTGTCTCCATAATACCAACGAAATGCGTCAAAATATCTATAAGGTACAGTGATTTCTGAACGGTATGTTATGAAGTCAGCTGCACCACCATAATATGAAACATTTTCTCCATAATATGGTGAATCTTCTCTGTACAACATTTAGAGTGTATTACTTCGTATGACAAACTAAATAGGTTTGTATTATGTATGCTCAAAATACTTTGTTAGGTTTTAAGCGTGCAGTATCTGTGCTGCTTTTTCGAAGAGCCTTTATCCAAATCCGTGATACTTTTCGGTTTGGATGGAAAGGTGGCCGCGTCTGCGTGAAGTAGCCCACTGGCCCACTGCGTGGCGCGCCTGGCCGTGGCCTGGTCGTGGTAGTCAGCCAGAATTCAAGTGGGGCTGCTGGCCGTACCGTCCTTAGTGCCTTGCGCCTCGCCCGGCCTCGCCCAAACTTGGGATTATGCAAAGCAGGGAGAGATGAGGAGCAGGAATGAAGTTGAACCCTTTGGCGGCCGGTTGGCCTAGGCCGGCCTGGGGCTGGCCAAGACCCTGGCGCTGAATGGGGCCGCGCACGATTATCTGCAGGACTGTTTTCTCTGCGAAAGTCAACTTGCTCCTCGGCGAGCAGATCGAGGGCCTCGACAGCCTCGGCAGCGCGCGCCCCGACGCCGCCAACACGCAGCATTGTCAGCGCGTCGATTCCCGGACCAAGTCGGGGAGACAAAAGAAGAGAAGTAATTTTCGCCACTGGAAATATTTAGCAGCCGGGGGCCGTGAAGGAGGTCGCATAAATGCGGCATTACAGTGACGTTTTTAGAGCCCTTCTGAAAGATGTCTCGGGGGCTTCAAGGTCTTGTCCAAGGTCGCCCCGGGCGCGGCGCCGCAACACCGAGTTTCACTTTAAACTTGTTCACATGGACTGTGATAAACGGCGACAGGCTGCCGCGCCACCCCTCGCCGGCGCGCGCTTAAGAGCAAAATCATTCAACACAATAGGTTATGAATCGTTTCAATCCGTGCTCAAACAGAGTGCGTGCGTGTGTTTGTCTTCAATGCCCATGCCTAACTGCCTCCCCCATTTAAATACACATCCATGATGCATGACAGTCACACTGTCACGCTGTGGTTCGACACAGGCCGAAGCCATTCACAGGCGTGTCCACTGTTCGAAGCGTGCGACTGTCGCGCACATGCAGGGCCGCAGGGCCGCAGGGCTGAAGGGTGTAGCCCTCAGGGCGATGGGCTTTTTCCCGCGGTTATTGGTCGGCCCTCGGGGCAGCTTCAAGGGGAAGGGCTCCCCTGGGCGCTGGGCGGCGCTGGGCGATACAGCAGTGGTGTGGACTGCCACTACTTTCGCTTGTCATTAAGGTAGTATCCAGTTGCTCCCAGGGGGGCTGGCCCGGTGGGATGGAGGGGGAGGGGTGGGGGGTGAACGTGAGAAGAGGGTGTGTGGAGCCGCGAGGCAAAGTGCGCACGAGGCCAGGCTGGTTCCGAGCAGCGCTTTCGTCGCTCTGCCTCTCTCGCACTCATGGGCCGTTCCGCAGGGATGCGAGAGAGACAGAGAGCTGAGGCACTGCCCCGGTGTCGGCCTGCTGCTTCAAAAGGACGTGACACCACCGGGCCGAGTAAGCGAATGCGATATGCGATCGCTCAAAAGTTTCACGTGTTCCACTAAATCACTTCAAACACCAGCTACCACTTGTACTGATAATAGACGACGGAGCTCTCCGTCAAACTGCCAGCTTGTTTATCACGAGATTCCAGTGTAATGCCGCAACAATGGCGCGAGAATATTATTGTCCTCAACAGAGGATGCAAAGCAGTCTCCTTGCGCACCAAAACAGTGTCTTTTGGACGCCGAAACATTTCTCGCCATCGTGGCCGTCCGTTCGTCCGCCCGCCCGTCCGCCCGTCCTCCGCGCCTCTGCAGTCCATCAATAAATAGTACCATCCCTTACTTGGTCGGAGCGTCCTCTTTTCTACCGAGTTAGGGCGGGGCGGGGCGGGGCGGGGCGGGGCGGGGCGGGGCGGCGCGGGGCGGGGCGGGGCGGGGCGGGGCCAGCATGTTGGTGCCCCCGGTGGCCCCGGAGCCCGGACCGCGATGTGGGCGATGTGGGCACGAGCGGCACCAGCCTCGCCATTTGCATATTCATCACTTTCCATCATTTCCCCCGCCCTATTAGCAATCGAAACAACAATGAAATCGCGGCCGGTGCCTCGCTTCTCATCGCACAGCATTTTCTCTTTTTTTTTGTCATCTTGTTTTTCAATCTTTTCTGTTTGTATTTGTCATTTTCTTCCGTCCCTATTTTCCCGCTTACCCGTTTCTACCCTATCCTGGGCGTATCCCCGGCCAACCTGCCCTCCAAATCCTCGTGTCTGTTTTTTCAATACACATCTTACGACGCCGCTCTCTGCTGATGCTCTCCCCCCCCTTTTTGTTACTCCCCCGCTACTCTATCCCATCCCCGGACCACCCCTCTGGCGGTGCGTCCCGCCCCCTCCCCCTCGCCGTAGCTACTTCTGTGCTATCACTTACGCACCATAGGCACGGGCACGGCCCCCGTGCCACGGCAGCCGACGGCAGCCGACGGCAGCCCCGGCCACTCAGATCAATCGCCTGCAGACGAAAACCCCTCTCGCACGCACACACTCGCAGCACACACACGCACACACAGCCGCAACACAGCCCCGGGCCCTCACACACACACACACAAGCGCGCACACAGACTCACTCTTGACCAGGGAAAGATAAAGGAGTGGCGCGTCAGCAGCACGCAAATTGACACATGGCCTCCGAAGCAGACACCACCACCAGTGCCACACACACACGCGCGCTCACACACACGCGCGCTCACACACACGCGCGCTCACACACACACACACACACACACACACACACACACACACACACACACACACACACCACGGCAAAAACAGTGCGGGCCACAATGGCCATGTATTGTTGCTGTCTCCTCGATCGAGTGGCTGTGGGAATAAGGAGCGGCGTCGGCGTCTCGGCCATCGTAGGTTGGTGGTGGTGGTGTGGTGGTCCGGTGGTGGTGGTGGGGTGGTGGTGGTGGGGGGGGTGATGGTGGCTGGTGGTGTGGTAGGGTGGCGGTGGTGGGGGGTGTAGGGAGGAGGGAGGAGGGAGCATTACACTGGCATGGCCCGGCAGGCCCAAAACTTGGACAGCCAAACATTCTTTCCCTTTTGAACGGGCATAGCGAGCAGGGGTCGGGGGCAAGGAATCTTTTGCGTGCGCGTGTGTGTGGTGTGTGTGTGTGTGTGGTGTGTGTGTGTGTGTAAGGTCTTCGCGGTCCCCTTCCTTGAATGTTAAGCGAGTTCCACGCGGCGAGCACGTCATTCCTGCGTCCCCGGACAACGCGCTGTGTTTGGCTGTGTTGGCTGTGCTTGGCTGTGCTTGGCTGTGCTTGGCTGTGCTTGGCTGTGCTTGGCTGTGCTTGGCTGTGCTCGGCTGCGCTGTGCGTCTGTTTTGCCGGCCTGGTCGGCTTTTAGCACTCTGGTCGTCGACAATTCGTGCACGCTCCGCTACTCTCCGCTCCCCTGCCAAGTTTAACTGCGTGCCGTTTAAAAATTGACGACGCTGAAAATTTGAGGATTGTAGTCCAGATTTTTTTAATTCTTTTTTTCCCCTTTAGCGCTTTCCTTTGTTCTTTTTGCTGGTTTTGGCGTGGGGCCAGATTAGGGTGGCGTGGATGTGGTCCAGCGCATTGATGATGAATTTTCGGCTACAATTTCAAGAACCCGGATTGGCTTGCAACCGTGCTTCGCTGCCGCTCTCCGAATGCTGCGCGATGCTGCGCGTTGATGCGCGTTGATGCGCGCGCTACCAGGTCCAGGGAGTCGAGGCTTATGAACGGAGGAGCACTCTTGGCAGCGGAAACTAGGAGGAGAGCAACTTCAATTTCGATACCTCCTAGCAACAGACACGTACTTCGGGCACGCTTCTCAAAACTCACGTACTTTCGACAGCTTGTGCAAGACACACGCAGTTTCGCCATTTCTAGTTAAAAAGCACGCAGTTTCCGCATTTTCGTCCTGGCGGGCACGGACATTGGGTTTTTTCATGTGGGCTAGTGAGGTACAGTCACTAGACCATTAACCTCAAAACGGTTTCAGGAACGATCTGTCGTTAAATATAGGCCCACCTTTAACTCCAAACTTCCTGTAATATTTCAATGCAGATCACTCGTGAAACCGTTTTGAGGTTTTAATGGTCACTTGTGATGAACTCACTACCCAACCATGAAAAATACCCAAATGCATTTCCGTCCTGCCAGGACGAAATCCGGAACTGCGTGCTTTTTGACTGGAAATGGCGAAACTGCGGTTTGTGCACAAGCTGCCGAAAGTACGTGAGTTTTGAGAAGCGTGCCTAAAGTACGTGTCTGTTGCTAGGAGGTATCGATTTCTTTGTGGCCTCCGTCCGCCACCCAAGCCGTTAGCGATCCCCGTCAAACTCTCCCGGGTGCGCGTCGGGCGTCGGGGCGGTCGGGGTCGAAAAAAAAAGTCAAAGTTGCCAGCAAAAAGGAGCTTGCTGAAGGGCAACAAGGCGTGTGTAAACGGCACGCGTGGAATTAAAGGTAAATACATTTTCGGACTTGTTAACAGATCGGTCGGGACCACCACGGACCACGGGCTGGGGTTCCCTTCGCTTCCCGGTTCGCGGGCCGACGCAGGCCAACCCAGAGCAACGCAGGCCCGGGGCAGGGCAGCGCAGGGCAGGGCAGCGCAGCCTCGATGTGACCAAGAAACAGCCAAGGAGAGCGGGGAGGGGGAGGGAACCTCGAAACACAAGCTGCTATACACACAGCCGAACCGAACCTCACCAGCCGCCCCCGCAACAAAAGTCAACAGGGAGCAAGCGGCGCGCGCGGATACTAAGTCACGAAAATACGTAGAAGAAACTACGAGAGAAAGGTTGCAAGTGAGTTTTCTTGATATGGGACAATCCCGCCTGACAATCTCAAGTCTACAGGAAACAATAAGGAGTCCGACCGCCGCAGGACACGACGCACACAGACACACACACGATACACACACCACACACACACACACACACACACACACACACACACACACACAGCAGGTGGCACCGACACCAACCTCGACCTGCGCCATGCCCGCGCCCAGCACCCCGTTCCCCCACTCCGCGCCCGGAGCACGTCGTGAGCACGTCGAGCAGGTGGCGCCGAATTTGAATTGATGCGCTCCGACTGTCCGAGCGAAAGGCGTGGAACGCCAGGAGGGGCAAGGGATCAAAGCCGACAGGGCGGCAGGAGGATCATCGAACATAATCTTTTTGCGCTTCCATCGATTTTTCACACCTCTATTTCGTCCTTACGAAGTGTGTGTGTGCGTTGTTGGTGTGTGTGTGTGTGTGTGTGTGTGTGTGTGTGTGTGTGTGTGTGTGTGTGTGTGTGTGTGTGTGTGTGTGTGTAGCGCGCTTTGAATAAGTTAGAGGGTGACAAACAAACTCTCGCCGACACAGGCCGTGAAGGACGAAGCACGAAGGACGGGGCAGGCCGAGGCCGTACACAGGGTGGCTACGAGGCCGCGGCGACGCGGCGACGCGGCGCCACGGACGCCACATGTCCGGTACAGGCTGTGTCAAAATGAGGTGACCTTCACGCTCGCCTATTATTACGTGCGGCCTTGGAGGCCGGTCGGGCGGGACTCACGTCTAGCCGGTGTGGTGTTGCGGCGGTCAGGCCATCGCGGAGGCGCGGGCAACAGACGCAAACTTAACAACAACAAAAATTTCGAAAATAAAAATTGAAGTGAAAAAGAAAACGCTGGTTGGAAATCCGTGAGAGGAGAAGAACACTGCCGCTGTTTGTTTCGAGAGTACGCGTCACTAGAGCGGCGGAGTCGCGGACGATGCCGCCCCGAAGTCCGAAGTCCCCGACCGAAGGACCCGAACCGAACAGCCGGAGCTTCGCGAAGCTTCACGAAGTGTCGAACCACGGACGAGGACGGGGCGTAGGACGGGGCCAGCCGAGAGGACGCTCGAGGACGCTCGGCGCACGTGGCCGCGGTGCTCGCACGGCGTGTCTTGGCGTGGCCGCGCGACCGCTCGTGCCAGCCGACAGACGCTGACTGAACACGGGGCGGCGTGGCTGGCGGGCCCTCGCAGCGCCGCCCCCTCGCCCACCCCGCCCCGCCCCGCCCCACCGCACCCCGCCACGGCAGGGGACGGAGCGGGCCCCAAGTGCCGTCGGCTGGAGGACTCCCGTGGCGCCCCGCGCCCTCTGTGACCAGCGCCGACCAGCGCTCTGCGACCGACCACGGCCACGCGGCGCCACGCGGCCCTCTACATTTCTGCAGAGAAAACAGGCCTGGCGCCCGAGCTGCAATAACACGCCGACACGAGAGGCGACGATGGCCGGCGTCGAGGTGCCAGGGAAGCGAGTGCGGCCCCTGAGCGCCTGCAGTCGGCGGGGTAGGCCCGCCCGCCGAACACCAACACTCGTGTGGTTGCCTACCGCGGCCCCTGAGCGCCTGCAGTCGGCGGGGTAGGCCCGCCCGCCGAACACCAACACTTGTGTGGTTGCCTACCGCGGCCCCTGAGCGCCTGCAGTCGGCGGGGTAGGCCCGCCCGCCGAACACCAACACTTGTGTGGTTGCCTACCGCGGCCCCTGAGCGCCTGCAGTCGGCGGGGTAGGCCAGCCCGCCGAACACAGCTGCTGCTGGGTTGCCTACCGGCCGGGCGCTCCCCGCAGCAGGATCCGCCTGGATCCGCCCCTCCTCCCCTTTCCGGTCTTCCGGCACTTCCCTCGCTTTGTGCGTCGCCTTGCCCAATAACTCCTGCCCCTCCGGCTGCAGTTGTCCTGCCGTCACGGCCGTCCTGGCCCCCCTGGCCTCGGCGTCCGCCTTCCGCCCCGCCCCGCCCCGCCCCGCCCCGCCCCGCCCCGCCCCGCCCGCCCCACCCCGCCCCGCCCCCCCCCGCGCCGCCACGCCTCCGCAATGCCTCTGTACATCGTGCCGCTCCATATTTTGCCTGCAGGCTTCCCGCTAAAGAGCCCTCCGCCTCCTCGTCCTGCCCCCCGCGGCCTGCTTGGGGGCGGGACTACTCAGGACGGGGCCGAGACGGGTCCCGGCCCGGACGGATCTCAGCGAGCGGTCAACCATATCACGCTGCTGGTGGCCCCGGGGCTCGGCGCGGCCTCGGCGGCAGTCTCGAGAGGAGCTCGCCGACCGCCAGGCCAGGCCAGGCCTCCAGGTGAGAAATGTATTCCGGGTGCGTGGCATGGCGCTGGAGCCGCCCCGAGAGCGCACCACGTACGGCAGGGCAGCTCGGGTCGTCCTCCTTGGCGGCGACGCGGCGGCGCGGCGACACGAAGACACGGACACTGCCCCGGGGGGGGGAAAGAAGGAAACGTCGCGACGAATATCTTTCAATTTTAATCCCAGTGGGCCGCGAGGACGGCACGGCACGCCGAAACGCGCCGCGAGTTTATGCGCGTGCAAAGCCCCTGCCTTGTCGCCGGCGCCTCGGCTCGGCGAGGCCAAGGGAGGCCAAGGGAGACCGAGGGAGACCAAGCGAGGGGCGGGGCCGCGTTGATCCAGCCAACAGTATGCATAGTGTTCAAATGTACTCGCTCCAAATGAAAATTTATCGCCGACCCAACTCGAAGCGCGAAGCGTGGACTGTGCGGAGCCCCCCATCGTGTCGGGAGGGAGGCGGGGGTGTCCGGGGCGAGGGAGAGCATTAATTTGATTGTTATTCGAGAGAATTGCTCTCCGCCGCATCACCAACACTCGCCTTGCTTTTTTCACCCCCACTCGCTCTTTTTGTCATGATCACGATGCGTCCATTGCTCCTGCTACTGAAAACGCGCGGCAAACGCAAAAAAACGAAAACAAAGACGTGGAGTTGGTCGTGGAGTCGGGTTCGGGGAGCGATTCAATGTTCCACGCGGAGTTTGCTCCGAGAATGAACGAGTGTCGGGAGCACGCGGAGCGCGGCACGCTGCGCAACGCTTCCCATTGTGGCAGCAGACCGATTCCGAGAGTCGTTTTCGTCACTTTGTCTCTCTCGCACTCATGGAGCGTCCTTCCCTTATAGGTGTAAAAGAGACGGCGACGGGAACGATTCCCGGAGTCAGTGTGCAGCAGCCACTACCGGCACGCCACACGACACCCCATCAAAGGGGCACGCGAAGCGACGCGCGGCGCACGGACGGACGGACGGACGGACGGACGGACGGACGGATGGCAGACGAATAGACAGGCAGACGGACAGACGCGCGGGGAGAGACAGACAGACAGACAGACAGACAGACAGACAGACAGACAGACGGACGGACGGACAGACAGACAGACAGACAGACAGACAGATGAGTTTGATAGTCCTCGGCAGACGCTGTCTTTGCTTCCTGGGGGCTATCCTTCCGGGGCAGTTGGTGGGTGCGTGTGGCCCCACGCCCCCACGCGGTCGGCGGGGCCCCGCGATGCCCACACCCACCGTCCTGCCGGGCCGCGGTCCGTCCACCGCCTGGCACACTGCATTGCACGGCGCGGTGGCGTGCGCGCCCCGCAGTATGGCAATGTGTTGTGTGATGGCAGCTCCATTTTCCCTCCCCCACCCCAGTGGCAGAGAGAGAGAGAGAGAGAGAGAGAGAGAGAGAGAGAGAGGAGAGAGAGAGAGAGAGAGAGAGAGAGGGACGGGCGGGACGGGGTTAGAGTTGTTGCGGGCCTGGAGGCCTGGAGGCGCGGTTTCGGCGAGGTGTGCGCCGCGCTGGGCCGCCGAGCCGCTGGGCCGTCGGCCGGGCCGCTGGGGTGGTCACTTAGCGGTATTCAACCCGGACTGCCCTCTATTTTATTGCCGCTCCACCCACACCGCCACGCCGCCACGCCACTGCCTTCCGCAGCGCGGCCCTTTGTCCATCGAGAGCAGCAGCAACACCGGAAACTTGGCTTGGGACGGACAGTTAAAAAAGGAGAAAGAATTTTATTTAAATTGGCACGGTACACCGAGATTTGAATTCGCGCCACCTGCTGGTCTGGGGCACCCACTAGTAGCACGCCTCATGAACTGCGGGATGGGAACGCCCCTGGAACGCCCTGTGGGGCCAACCCGGCCGCTTATCTCGTGGTCTATAACTCAGTGTAAAGTCATAACCGTTTACGGCGACGCGATCTCGCACCGAAGAAAAAAAGAAAAAAACGACGAAAAAGATAATAGATAGAAGCATAAAAAAGAGGGGAAAACCAACAGCCCCAATTTACGTAACCGCGCGTCGTACCGGCTGCTCCGAATAACCCTGAATAACTCGGCATAACCCGGCACAACCCGGCCGGGGAAATGAGGTGGCGAGCAAGTGCCGTCTCGCGATGCAAATCCACGGACTTGAAAACCGCGCCAGCCAAGCCAGCCAGCCAAGCCAGCGAGCTCGGATCAACACCGCGAGCTTCCCTTTCCGAAGCCGCAGAGTGGCTGCTGCGGCTGCCTAGCCGCGCCAGGGGCGGCCGCCAGGGCACTGCCGTGTCGGATGGGTTGCCTACCCAGCGGGCGGGCCTCCGCCAGCGCCGGGTGGCCGTGGTGGGCAATGGTGGGCCATGGCGGGCCGCGGGGGAATCGAGATAAGCCCGTCTGGCCGGCACCGCCATTAGATGCGGTGGCTCATCCATTCTCTACGTGACCTCCGCGTGTCTCTCCCCCGCACACAGACGCACACAGACGCACACAGACGCAGTAGTTGCCAACTGCAGCAGAACCTTGGCAGATTGGCGCCTCCCAGATTGGAAGGCGCCCCTCATTCCCCCTTCTCCTTCTTGCTGGTCACTGCCGCCATCCCCACCACTCGCCTTTCCATGGGCCTGCCCCGTTGCTTTCCTCCCCACAACTCACCTTTCCATGGGCCTGCCCCGTTGCTTTCCTCCCCACCACTCGCCTTTCCATGGGCCTGCCCCGTTGCTTTCCTCCCCACCACTCGCCTTTCCATGGGCCTGCCCCGTTGCTTTCCTCCCCACCACTCGCATTTCCATGGGCCTGCCCCGTTGCTTTCCTCCCCACCACTCGCCTTTCCATGGGCCTGCCCCGTTGCTTTCCTCCCCACCACTCGCCTTTCCATGGGCCTGCCCCGTTGCTTTCCTCCCCACCACTCGCATTTCCATGGGCCTGCCCCGTTGCTTTCCTCCCCACCAATCAAAGTGTCGAAAAATCTAACATTGCTGACTTTGGCCACTGCTACCAATCTAGCTGTGGTCAAAGGCCTCCATCATCAACATCCTCGTATTCTAAAGACCCTACTCTTTCATGTCCCGCGTCGGGAAAACTGACTTGATCGCAGCTAGTTTTGGAGCAGTACCTTCACAAAGTTGTTCGATTGAATATCCAAAAGTATGGATGGTGTTGATTATTTTACTGATTACCACCTAGACGTATGTACATTGGTTATCTCGAGTCGGTTACCCCTTGCCTGTCGCTTTCCTCACCACCATGAGACAGGGTGTCTCATGTCGCTACTACTCTCTCTGCGGAAAACCACCCCAGCGCCTCTCGTCGAGTACTGACTCACTGAGGCTCGAGGGAGAGGAAATTCGCTCTCTGACCGCTGAAATTGAATCCCTGACAGCTAAAATTCGGTCCCCGACTGTGTTTTTTTGCTCGGCTGACTTTTTTGCGACCACTGTGTCCAGACGCCTCTAGCCAATCGTCCTCCTTAATCGTGCGGATAGTCATTCCTCTTTTATGCCCTGCCTGGGGCGTGTGCGATTGGCTACACTCGTTTGGGAGCAGTGACGTGACAAAGTTGGTGAGAAGGTGGACGAATGACGTCTCAAATATTGTGTTTTACGCTGACTTTGCGCAACCACTGCATCTAAACGCTTTGCAAACCGTCTTCCGTACTTTGCAGCGAATTTAAGCTGGATATCGCGATCGGTCATGCCCTCGCCTCTCCACCCTGTCCGGGGCCTTGGCCGCGCCCTCACGGGACTCCGTGGCGCCCTGCTGCTGGTGTCTTCTCGGCTGGTGTGGCGCCGCGCGTGGTGGCGCGTGGCGGCGCGTGGCGGGGGCGTTCGGGTTTACGCGAAGCGCTTAGTTTGTGAGGCTCGTCGTCGCGGAGTCACGAGAGACAACGCGGCACTTACACCCCGCCCCGTAAACCCCGGGCCGCCGCCACGCCGCCGCCAGGCGCCACGTCTCCGGGGGCGCGGCCAGGCGCGGCGCGTCACTCGAGTGAGCCGCAAGCACCTCGCGCCCCTCGCCCCTCGCCCCGCGCCCCGCACCGTATCGGATGCAGACGTCACCCACCGGCTAATTCGCGGCCGTAGTACGTACTCCCCGTCGCCGGCAGGCCGATTCCGAACAACAGTGCTCGTTCGACGCTCTGTCCTTCCCTCTCGCGCGCTTGTACTCTAGGGGCGCTGCGTACGGGAGCGCGAGAGAGACAGACGAAGCTCCGTTCAGAGCCAGCCCGCAGCGGCACCGTGAGGCCCCCGCCGCCCCCGTGATAAGAGCATCATTAGACGACGCGGCCTCGGCGGGGCGGGGCGGGGCGGGGCGGGGCGGGGCGGGGCGGGGCGTTCGGCGGGCGCGCTTTTTGGCCACTCGGCGCCGCAGACTCCACTAGTGCCCCTGTACGCCCCGTCCCTGCTACGCCGCGCTTCGCCTTGCTACGCCACCGGTCCGCGCTCGGCCCGCTCCGCGTCGCTCCGCTCCGCCATGGGGGGCGACCTCGCCTCGTCCTGCCTCCGCCTTCTCGCGGCGTCCTTCTTCGCGTCCTTCCTCGCGTCCTCGGGGACGTGCTCAGGTGCGAACCAGATCGGCTCTCCGGATCACAAGGACGGCCCTCGCGGCCCCGGTTCCAAAGGGTGGAAGAAAAAAAGCAGAAAATAACGTGACAGCGCGAATCAAACACTCCACGCTGAGGGCGCCGTTTGATGTTGGGAGGAGCGTCCTTTTATTTGTGTTTCCTTTTCAATGGGATCGCTGCTTGGTTTACAGCTTTCTCGTTCATTGAAACATGTTTCCAGTGCAGTTATTCGTTTTTTCCATGTCGTAGCGTAATAGTGTTTTGTTTCAGTGACTTTTTATTTTCAATTTCTTTTCATTTTTTGCCTTTGCCTCGCTTTGTGCCGTTAATTTGACAATCGAATATGAATCTGGCAAAGTGTCGCGTTCCAGTTTAACGGCATATCGCTTCTGCCCCGAATTCAACAATCGGAGGAATGGGCGGCACAATGCGTGGAATGGTATCTGCAGTGAGACGCTGCGCGCTCCGCCCGGCCCGGCCGGCAGCCCCGGCAGCCCCTGCCCCCTGCGGCCACGGCGTCTGGAATCGCCAAGGTCAATGGACCCCGATATCGGTATGGCCCGGACTCCGGTCTGCCACAAGTAATTCTTTTTCCGGCGACTTTTGCGGGATGTTTCCTGACACCGACCGCAGCGTTCAATATCAGCAGACTGTCTCGCGCGTGCTGCTCGACCGTAAGGTCAGCAGCGGGTCAGTGGCCGTCTCAAAAACGAGGGATGAAAAGTGTGTCGTTGTTTACCATCCGCAGCGTTCGAATCGATCCTAATTTTTCTCGTCCTGTGCATAGCTGCTGGAGTTTACCACCGCAGGCATGGCGAAATGGCTGTGGGCTTTGCCCGCGGGGCGTGGCGGCGTGGCGGCGTGAGGTTGCCGCCCGTTTGAGCGATTTGAGCGATTCCGGCGGGTTTAAACGGAGCGCCGTCGGGCCGTGGGCTGGCCCGGCCCCGCGCGGCCTTGCTTGACGCAGACGGACGGCCTTGGCGGCCCCTCCAGCCCCAGCAAGCTAGCCTCCAGCTAGCCTCCAGCTTGGGGGCCTTGAAGGGCTGGAAGGAGACTTGCGGGCAAAAAGTGTTTGTGTTCGGGCCCAGCGGGGAGCAGGGCGGAGGTGGGGGAAGGGGTGGAGGCAAAAATGAGCCAAGAAGAAATAGGTCACGTACAGCGTGCACCGCGGTCCGGCCGGCCGGCGCGGCCCTCGCCGCCCCCACCGTTCTACCTGGCCGACAGAGACACCTTCAGGATGAATTGCTCGGCTCGGGACTGACGGACTGACTGTTCGACTGGCGGCGTATCACCCGCCGAGAAAGGGGCAAAGGGCGGCCGGACAGACGGGGCTGGCAGGCGGATTGACAAATCGACGTTCGGCGGCACGACAAACAAGCGAGTGGCTGGAAGGTGACATGATGCCATTACGTGCTAACGGTGTGTCGGACGGCGTGTCCGGGTTGCAGGGGCCGCGGACGCCGCCGACGCCGCGGAGCCCAGGGACGTGCTGATCGACAACGGCGGCAGCGTCGTGGTGGAGAACCAGAGCTTCTTCCACGTCCACGACCTGGACAGCTTCGCGAACAGCCCGCCGGGGGACAGGGACGGCGGCTTCTTCTTGCCGTGGCTCAACGCCAACTACTGGAACCGCCCGACGTCCACGTCCACGTCAACGACCACGTCAACGACGACCGTCAGTCCCACCAGCCACCACCGGAAAAACAAGCGGCCGAACACGCTGACGAAACCCTGGAAACCTTACATCGGCTGGCAGCCCTTCAACGAGAAGCCGGCCAACCGGACGACCAACCCGGACAGGTACTCGCACTACCACTGACGACGCCATTCTCTCTGTTTTCCCACTGTCCGCTACAAGTAGTGCGTGCCAACGTGTTGCAGCATCCTCGGCTACGACATCCCCTGCGGAATACGGAACGTGGAGGAGTCCGACAGGATCGTCGGCGGTTCGGACGCGCTGCGAGGTACCCGCTCATAAAATTGTGTTCCAAGAACTTGTTCCTCCTCTGGAACCACTTCTGAAACCGTGTCGCCCGGCAGGTGAATTCCCTTGGCAGATCTCCCTGCAGAGGAAGAAGGTGTGGAACCTGCAGCACGTCTGCGGCGGCGCCATCCTCGCGCCCTACTGGGTGGTGACGGCGGGCCACTGCGTGGACGGCGTGCAGCCCAGCGACCTGTCCGTCGTGGCCGGCGACCACGACCTGTACAAGGTCGAGGGTGAGTCGTGTAGTGGTCTGGGGGAGGGACTCGGGGAGGGACTCGGGGAGGGACTCGGGGAGGGACTCGGGGAGGGACTCGGGGAGGGACTCGGGGAGGGACTCGGGGAGGGACTCGGGGAGGGACTCGGGGAGGGACTCGGGGAGGGACTCGGGGAGGGACTCGGGGAGGCACTCGGGGAGGGACTCGGGGAGGGACTCGGGGAGGGACTCGGGGAGGGACTCGGGGAGGGACTCGGGGAGGGACTCGGGGAGGGACTCGGGGAGGGACTCGGGGAGGCACTCGGGGAGGGACTCGGGGAGGGACTCGGGGAGGGACTCGGGGAGGGACTCGGGGAGGGACTCGGGGAGGGACTCGGGGAGGGACTCGGGGAGGGACTCGGGGAGGGACTCGGGGAGGGACTCGGGGAGGGACTCGGGGAGGCACTCGGGAAGGGACTCGGGGAGGGACTCGGGGAGGCACTCGGGGAGGGACTCGGGGAGGGACTCGGGGAGGGACTCGGGGAGGGACTCGGGGAGGGACTCGGGGAGGGACTCGGGGAGGGACTCGGGGAGGGACTCGGGGAGGGACTCGGGGAGGGACTCGGGGAGGGACTCTGTTAGCGGCAGCCACCACCCCACGCCTCGGGGCTTTCCGGTCGCAGGGTCGGAGCAGCGGCGCGCCGTGGTGCGCATCGTGGGCCTGGGCTACGACAGGAACACCTTCGCCAACGACATCACCCTCCTGCAGCTGGACAAACGGCTGCAGTTCGACTCGCAGCACGTGGCTCCCATCTGCGTGCCCAAGCCGGGCCACCACTACCGCACCGGTAAGCGAGCTCTGTCTCTCTCGCACTGCAGGGGCGTCCCGGAAGCGTGCGAGGGAGACAGCGCCTGTGGCGCACAGTGGGCCAGAAGACCGGTGAAGGCGGCCAAAACTCCAGACGAGTTTTGAGCTACAGAGTCGCTATAGTCGTCCCAGCCAAAGGTAGGGATTCTTGCAACCGTTACAAATACCCCCTCCACAGGGCCAGGGGGAGCGCGGGGGCTGGTGCGGGCGGACTTTTGAGGTGGAGGGGGTTATTTTAACGGTCTCCAGAATCCCTACCTTTGGCTGGGACGACTGTACATGGGACTCGAACCGAGCATGTGACCCCACCAATGGATTGCTCTCCGAACGAGGAATCCATTGGTGGGTTCACACGTTCGGTTCGAGTCCCATTTAGCGACTCTGGAGCTCAAAACGCGTCCGGATTTTTGGCCGCCTCCACCGGTCTTCTGGCCCACTGTGTGGCGGCGCCTCGACCTCGCGCCTGGCTCACCCTGTTCCCTGTGGCGCAGGCAACGCCGTGGTGGCGGGCTGGGGCCGCCTGTCCGAGAACGGCGGGCTGCCGGAGCGCCTGCAGCAAGTGTCGCTGCCGCTGATCCCCTGGGAGACGTGCAAGCGGCGCTACAAGAGCAAGGGCTTCTCCAAGTTCCTGCACACGTGCCAGATCTGCAGCGGCCGCGACCAGGGCGGCCAGGACTCGTGTCAGGTGAGCCTCGCTGTCTTTGTCGGTGTTCTGCGTCGCGGGGTATTGACGTCGACGTACTGACGGCGTGCTCTGCAGGGCGACTCGGGCGGCCCGCTGGCGTGCCGTGAGTCGGACGGCCGCTACTACCTGTGCGGCGTCGTGTCGTGGGGTATCGGCTGCGCGCGCGCCGAGTTCCCCGGCGTCTACACCGAGGTGTCCTGCTACGCGCGCTGGATCAACCAGATCCTCTACAACGAGCGGCACGTCCTGGACCCCGAGAAGAACAACTACTACCAGCCGTACCAGCAGTACCAGCAGTACCAGCAGCACTACCAGCGCGGGGACGGCCCCGAGCCCGAGGCGGAGGTGCCCGTCCAGGAGGAGTAAGACCGCCTCGGCGCTACCCCGCGCCCCGCGGACCCTCAGCGCATACCACCGGCTCGGCGACAACGTTGGACCTCGTCAGGACAATTTTCTCCGGCCGTGGCGCGGGGTATCGCTTTGCCTGGGCGAGCGCGGAGCCTGGCGGAGCCTGGCGGAGCAGCGCGGCACGGAGCCGCTGGCTGGCGCGCCGTACGCCGTCGCAGTGCGGCACCGGCGTGGCAGCCGCGCCCGATGGGCTGCCTAGCCACAAGGCGGGCCTCGCCGCGCCGCGCCGCCCGCCGCGGCAGCGCGCGGCCCACAACAGCTGCTGCGAACTCCGTGATGAAATCCCCGATGAAAATTACACCTGTAGTCATAAAGCAGGCGGCGGGCTTCCGGCCTTCCCTGCCGTGCCCTGCCGTGCCGTGCCGTGCCGTGCCAAGCCCTGCCGAGCCCCCGGCCCGTTCCAGCCGTCAGGAAGGTGCCTTTAAAAAACGGAGGAGGCGTCGAGGTAACCACGCGGCTGTCAGCGCGAAAATGACTCGTTTACCGCGCGGTGCCGGGCCTGCCGTGCCGCGCCGTGCCGAGCCGGGCCGCGGCCACGCCCTCCAAAACACTCTATCAAGCTTTCTTTTGCACTCAAATTGATTGGCCGCCACCGCGCTGCTGTTTCCGGACGAACTTGTCCCTCGAAGAAAGACTTTTTATTTTGGCGCCGAGCCGGAGTGGTGATGATGGGATGACAATCATCTCACTTTCCCCACAAAGACTTTTCTCTAGTAAGTACAAAGTTTATTCAGAAAAAGAAAAAAAAATATCACACAGTAGTATACAGTCGTATCATAAGTAGAGAAATAAATAACATTACCCACAAAACATTGTAACAACACAAAAAAAAATGGATAAATTAAAACGCACAATAAAAATTACAACGAGAGAAAGAGAGAGGGAGGGGAGTCTATACATCCAATAAATTACTTAACGAAAATACTTATAAAATACGTATGAATGTACGTATGAAATAATCACAATCTTCATTCCCTTCCCTTCCATAATGACTGACGGAGACCTTGTGGTGCGCACTGCGCAGTGCGGAGAGGAGAGAGAGGTGTACTGCCGAGAACGGTGCGTGTTTCTCGAGAACGGCAGCCCTCGGGCGAACAGCATCCCGTCGGGCTGGCATCGCTAGCATGCCTGGCGCCTGGGGCCCAGCACAATGGGCCAGAAGACTCTAGACGCGTTTTGAGCTCCAGAGTCGCTGAACAGGCATCGAACCGATCGTGTGACCCCACCAATGGATTCCTCGTTCGGAGAGCAATCCATTGGTGGGGTCACACGTTCGGTTCGAGTCCCACTTAGCGACGCTGGAGCTCAAAACGCGTCTGGAGTTTTGGCCGCCTCCTCCGGTCCTCTGGCCCACTACTGTGCCCAGGCCGCCCCACGCCCTGCACACGCTGTCGCCCGACTCAATAATACAAGCTCCCTTCAGCCGACTTTGGCCGTGCGACGCGAGCAGGCGGCCGCCGCCGCGGTCGAAAGCGAAAACAATGCAACTGCCCGGAAAAAGCAGCCCGACACACACAAATGTCGCATATACGGAGAGGAGGAGAAGAAAGGACGTCTCGCTCTTCATTCCCATTCCCAGGCCACTTTTAAGCTAACCCGCCACAATGAAAGCGACGCGACGGTCGCGGCGCTCCGTCTCTGTCGCTCCTAATGGCTTCCGCAGTGAGAGGGAGAGAGACGGCTCGCGCTCGCATGCGGTCCATCCAGTAATGCCCTATGATTCATGGCCCGCGGGGTCGCGGGGACACATCGAGCGCGGTGCGGCGCGGCGTGGCGTGGCGTGGCGTGGCGTGGCGCGGCGTGGCGCGGTGCCCTGGCGCCCGCCTGCCCTTTATTCCGCCATTCTTTCCCTCGTTTCCCTGAGAAGTGGACTGGCGCAGACCCACGTGGCCAGGTGGGCGTTGTGTGCCCTATGAGCCACTCTGCCGCTGCGGGGCTCTGCCGGCTCTGCCGGCTCTGCAGCCCACGAGGAGATGAAAAAGATGAAAACGCCTGCCACCCGCACCCGCCGCGCCGCTCCGCCATCAAGTCCGCTCTGCTGTAATAAACGCGCGAAAACGCCGCGAGTTTGCCGTCGCCGTCCTCCTTGGCGGCCTTGGCGGCCTCGGCCCGCGCCGAGAGTGAAACCGGCCGGTCTTCCGCAAAGTGCATTTCGGCCCGAAACTTTAAACTTTTCAGTCTTTTGGTAGTGGCAGGGCGGCGGGGCGGTGCCGTGCCGTAAACAGAGCGAGGGCTGCGTCCGCGGCGGCGGCGCGCTCAAATTGGCGCTTGGCTGCGCGGCGCTGCGCGGGGCGGCGACTCGGAGACGGCCAAATGAGCTTCCGGAAGACCGCTGTTGGCGACGACGACTCGAAGAGGCGACGCTGCGCTGCACTTTCCTGGCCGCGCCCGCCCCGCCTTGCCGCCTTGCTGCCGTGCTCTTCCCGCTCCACCGCGTCGGGGAAGTCGAAGTCGAAGTCGGGGATCGACACCTGCTTCACGGCGCTTCACGGCGCTTCACGGCGAGCTGCCCGGATCGCCTCGGAGCCACTCAGAGCACCGGCGTCCGGCCCAGCGCCGTGTCCAGGACCACCGGCACGGCGTCCGCGGCACTGCACCTGCAACGGAATGGAGGCGGTTAGGGAGAAAGGGCTCGAGCTCTCACCTTTCAGTGACTACTTTTTGGCGACAGCGTTTTTAATTTTTAAATGCGACATCTTTTGGGCGCTAAATTTTCCACACCACAACATGTCTCGATGGACCGAAACTGCACACACCGCCTTTGTCGTCATTTTAGGCTACTGATCCAACTTCCACCCATAGTCTAGCTCATGACCCTCCCTGAGGTTCTGCGAGAGATAAAAACACAACAACCAACAACACGAATGCACTGCGTTTCCAGCCTTTTGCAGTGTGCCAGTGTGCCCCGGGCCCAGGCCCGGTCTGATGAGTGCGCATTACGGGACGTGGGACTCTCTTGGCGTGCAGCCTCCACGGTCCAGGGCCCCGGCAGGCAGCCCGGCAGCCCCGGCCCTGCATGGACCGGGACACGGTGCAGTACCGGCCTCGTGCCCCGAGCGGCCCCCGGCGCCGAGCGGCCCCCTGGAGAGTGTCAACTTCCACTGAGAGCGGCATGCAGCGGCCGGATTCGCGATGCGGCCGCGTTGTGTATGCGCGCGCGCGTGTATGTGTATGTGTGCGCGCGCGGCGTGCTAATAACCAATACGCAGGCCGCACTCGCATTACACACAGGTCGCGGCCGTGTTTTCTTCCTGTGTTGTTTCCCTCCTCTTTTTTTCGTCCTCCACTGACCCTATTCCGCGAGGCGCCTAACTTCATGGCTCCGTGGCCACGCCGTGCCGTGCCGCCGCGCAGCAGGCGGAGGACCGCCACCGCCGTGACAGGAGAAGAACACCACGTCATGGGGAATTTCCAATTTGCCGAAGCCGCCGAAGCAGCCGAAGCCGCCGAAGCTGGGGGAGCCATCTGCCTTGCGGAGCAGTGGAGCAGCGCCAGCAGCGGCGCCACTACCCAGCACGGCTAGGCCAGCAGACTGATTCCGAGCGTCGTTTTCGTCGCTCTGTCTCTCTCGCACTCACGGGGCGTCCCCTATTGGTGCGAGAGAGACAGAGCGATGGAAAGGACGCTCGGTGTGCAGGCCGGCCGAGCGATTCCGAGCATCGCTCTCGTCTCTCTCACACTCAGTACCGCGCCCCGTGTGGGTGCGAGAGAGACGGAGGCCGAATCTCTCGGCAGCGGCGGGGCTGCCAGCGGCGTAGCTGTGGGAACGAACGGAGTGGGTCGGGTCGGACTGTCGGACTGCAATCCGAAACGAGAGTGCCCGTCCCGACCCGTCCCGCCCCGTCCCATTGCCGCCCCCGCAGCGTCCCGCGTCCCGCAGCGCCAGAGCCGGCGGGGCCGGCGGGGCAAGGCAAAAACAGTGTGGGAGGTTTGGCAGCCTGTCGCCGGGGGTGGGGCGGTGGGGGCGGCGGGGGCGGCAGTCAGTATGGAGCTGAATTCCGGCGCTATCGCTGCTATCGCTTCATTCCGCGTCCCCGGGCCGCGGTCACCGCGGATACCTCCTGGCTGCCGAGGCGAGGCGCGGCGAGGCGCGCGGAGAAGAAGGAGAAGAAGGAGGAGCGGAAGGAGAAGGGGAGGGGATGATTAATGCCGACAGCCATCGGGAGGCACAATTTGTTTGACAGAAGCGACGGCGCGTTGTTGGCGGCCGAGGGGGGATGAAGGGGGAGGGGCGGCCGTCTCCGCCGCACCCCCGCAATGGGGGCAGGGCCGGGCGGGGCCGGGCGGGGCGGCGACGGTTACTTCAGGCGTGGATCGGGTTCCTGCGGCTCGGCCGGGCTAAAGCTGCGGGGCGGGGCGGGGTGCGCTTGGGGTTGGTTTGCCTTGATTGGTCTGGTTAGCATTGGCCGCGCGTGGTGGGTAGCGGCGCGGCGCGGTGGCAGGAGGGCGCCGTCGGCAGTCGCCCTGTCGCCGCCTGTCGCCCCGGCAGGCCGTATGCGCTGCTCACTGCGATTTCTCACACACGGCCACACCTGCGCGGCCACTCCGGGGACTCGGTGCGCGCCGAAAGAAGGCGGCGAAGAAGGCGGCGAAGAAGACGTCTCCCTCCTCCGGGACGGCCTCCCCCTCCCCCTCGCTCCGCCGCCCCGTCCCCGCCATCACATCCCGCCCCAGACCGTCATCTCCGTTCATTAATCTTGTACGTGTCATGACGAAATCACGGCCCTTCTGATAACACCCCCTTCTTGCCGCGCGAGTGGGGGCCGGGGGGTGGGGGGGCGAACTGGGGGCGGGGGAGGTGGGCGGAGAGCGGGGAGGTCTCTACATATGGCTGAGAGCCAGGTCGTGGTGGTGAGTCGATTCGTGCGCGCGGCCCTGGCGGCCCTGGCGGCCCTTGCAACGCAAACAGGATCAAGGAGATGCAAACCGCGACACGCGCCGCCTCGCGAGCAACAGCGGCGGCAGCGGCAGGAATCCATTGGTGGGGTCACACGTTCGGCTCCAGCCCCATTTAGCGACTCTGGAGCTCAAAACGCGTCCGGAGTTTCGACCGCCTCGGTCTTCTGGCCCACTGTGCGGCATGGCCCCACGCCGAATCCGCGCCAGAGAAATTGCATCAACGCTCGGCAGGTGGTGACGCGGACCGAAGGGACAGCGGAGCACTTTCACGTCTCCGTCACTTTTATCGATAACTCCGTCCATCCGTCCGTCCGTCGCGTCCGCGTCTGCGCGGCGCCCTGCACAATCACCTTTGTGTTTCGGACATTAAACCGGTTGACCTGCTTCGAGGGGGCGAGGGGCCGGGCGGGAGAGGGCGTCGCGGCGGCGTGGATCCTTTGTGATGCACCGTCCAGCGCGACGCCGGCAACAACAACAACGCCGGCAACAACAACAACGGCAGGGCAGCGACGCTGGCGGACGAGTTGAAGCGTAAAAGGTGTCGGTACTGAAAAGCGTTATGCTTGGCGGGGCTGCATCGTCGGCCGGCCATCCGCGCTAGCGCGCTGGCGCACGGTAAGAGCGGTAAGAGCGCGGAAGGGAAATTTCCCGCCGTTTTCCCTTTCGATTTGTCGGCGTGGGGAAAGGCGCGGGGTGCGTGATGGATCGCGGCGGACGGCGGGGAGACGCGGTGAGATTCGGCGCCGCGCCGGGGACCCTCTTCGACTCGCCGGGCGGACACGCACAGCGCGCCCAGACCAACGCTGTCCTGAACGGCGTCTCGTCCCTCGGCCTCTCTCTCTCTCTCTCTCTCCTCTCTCTCTCTCTCTCTCTCTCTCTCTCTCCTCTCTCTCTCTCTCTCTCTCTCTCTCTCTCTCTTTCACTCGCGTCGCTACACGACGCCACGCGAGGTGCGACAGAGAGAGCGACGAGACGACTTTGCAGGGAATCAGTGTGCTGCACTGGCGTGCACGGCCTGCTTAGCGAGCGCCAGGAGGCAGAGCGGCGCGCTCGCGCGGCTCTGCGGCAGGAGTTTTGTCGAGTTTGTCAGAGGCTCGGACTTGACCTAGTCACCCAATCCCCCCTCCCCTCCCCCGTTTCCACCCAGCTGCACCCCATTACCCCCAGCAACTCAACTGGTTCTCGGAGGGAGAGGTAACGCGCCCCAGCCCCCTTCCAGCCCCTTCCAGCAGCAGGGTTATGCTCCGCACCCCTCCTGTCGCCACAGCTGCAGCCCCACGGCCCCACGGCCCCGGCCGACCACAACACACTGCTGCGTTGCCCAGGCAGGCGTTGCCACGACCTTCCCTTCCGCCGTCACTATCCCGGCCCTGTTCAAAGCGCGCTCAGGGGCCCGACCAGCCTGCCTGTCTGTCCGCCTGTCGGTCTGCCTGTCTGTCCGCCCGGCCTGCACCACTCTCTCCAGCATCCTCCGCTGACCTGTCAATCACAGGGACAGGCCGGCCCCCGCACCGCGCCACGCCACGCCACGCCGCGGCACGCACAGCACGCACGCCGCGCTCTGGACCGCGAAACCGCGTGACGCACCGGGCCGCCGCCCACGCGACGCGGCACGCGGCACGCGGCACGCGGCACGCGACACGCGAAGCGACACGAAGCGCGACGAGAAGACTGTTATAACCAACGCCTTCCTTCCTCCGCGACGCGCAGCAGCAGCATCCCCGGGCCGGCGACGGTGCGGTGCCCGTGGTACCCGCGAGAGAGTGACAACGACAGCGTCTCACTCAGGAAGTGTCTCTGTCTGTGTCGCTCACCTCGGGAACAGCTTGCCGCAGTCCATGCCGCCCCAGCCCACGGTGGCCTCCCTGACGAGCAGGTCCAGGGCCTGGTCCACGGGCACGGTGCCGAGCAGCAGTCGCAGCCCGAGCCTGGAAGCAAAACAAAAGTCAGTGTTCAGTCGGCGTTCCATCGATAATGTGTGTTTTCCTGGAGCCGCCAGAGATCTACGAGGGTCCCGAGGGACGAAGGCGGCCAGTGCTGTGCGGTTGCGGTGGGCACGTGAGGTTAGCCTCGGCCAGGGCGTGCACGCGCTGTGCGGTACTTGCGGGGCACGGCGCAGCGGATCCCCGCCCCGCCCCGCCCCGCCCCACCGCAAGCTTTTTCACCTCTGGGGTTTTGTGCGGAAAACCGCGCGCGCCAGGGGCCTGGCACGGCGTGGCGCGGTGCCAGCTGCGGACAGAGCCGTCACCAACAGTTGCACACACAGTGTCACCTGGCCGGGCCCCTGAACGGGCGCCTGGCCGCGGCCGCCGCTCCGGAGTGAGCTGTGCGCCGCGCTGCCTCGCCCGTTACGCGGGGCAACGGAGATTCCGCCAGGGTCACCACCACCAACACCAGCCCGGTGAAACAATGCGACGACAATGCGACTCGAATGAATACGCAGTGATTAATACGGGGCCGCCGATGACGGTTCCGGCGAACGATGACACGGTGCACGTCGGCGACGTCGGCCCGCTGCGCGAGAAAGAGAGAGAAAGAGGCCAACAACAGCGACGAGGGCGGGCCAGTCGGGGCCAGTTCAAGCAGCCCTAATGAGAAAGAGATTTGCCGGGCCGCCTCCACAGGCCCCGCCTGCCTTCGGCGGCCTCGCCGCCACGCCGCCTCGCCCAATCATCATCATCAGCGAGATAAAGCGGCACAAGTTTGTTTGTTTTCTGCCGCCGCAGAGGACAGAGGACACACACCGGGCGCGGCGGGCGAGGGAGCGCCGCCCCAGCCCCTCTCTGTCGCATTCGCCGCGGACGCCGTGGCGGAGACGGAGACAGAGAACACGCGGCGTCTCCCTCGGACGCGCCCCTGCAGTCCAGCAGCGCAAAGGGTGCAAACTTTTGCGCGGGGGCGGGCCCACACTGCCAGCCGCACACTAGTACACTACTACTATGGTGGTGGCGCAGAGCGCCCCCCCCCCCTCGCGGCGCAAGCACGGACGACGCCGTGGATTCGCATTTGACGAGATGAGAAATTTCTGCGTCCCCCACACAGGCTTTTCTTTTTCTCCCGTGGAAGGGCAGTAATTGATGATCACGTCGTGCGTGGCCACGCCACTGTGTGTGTGTCCGTGTGTGTGTGCGTGTGTTTGAGTGAGTAGTGAGAGTGTGTTGGTGTCGGGGAGACGCGCACGGCGGGAACAGTCAAACTGATTGGCCGTGCAGGTCGCTGCGTTGGCTGCGTTCGTTGCCGGATGCAGCGCCAACTTCCCCTCTTCGCGACGACCCTCGCCGTGCTCGCCGTCCCCAACTTGTCCAACTCGCCGGCCCCACTGCCCCTTTGAGAGAGGCTAGTGCATGTGTCTCTGTGTCTCGCGACGGCCGGCAGCGCATTTTTCCCTGCCTAGCCATTTGCACGTGTGCTCCATTTCTCCTCCCCTCCTCCTCCTCCCCCTCCCCTTCTTCTTCCTCCTCCTCTTCCTCCTCCTCTTCCTCCTCCTCTTCCTCCTCGTCCTCCTCGCCGCGGCGCCGAATCGAGACCGTCGTAACAATGCAGGCGAATCAACCAGTTTTAATTCGCGGCGAAACGAACGACGCCCCTTGCGGTCACCGCTCCTCACCGCTCCTCACGGGACCGAACCGGAAACAGTGGTGATTCGTTGCTCTGTCCCTCTCGCACTCCCGGGGCGCAGCGCACGGGTGAGAGAGAGAGAGAGAGAGAGAGGGAGAGGGAGAGAGAGAGAGAGAGAGAGAGAGAGAGAGAGAGAGAGAGAGAGAGAGAGAGAGAGAGAGAGAGAGAGAGAGAGAGAGAGCGACTCAGTCCACACAGAGGCCAACGGCGACTGGCCTCGGGCAACGGGCCGGCCGAGCGATTCGGCAGGATGGTTTCGTCGTCGCTCCCCCTGTAAAATAATTTTAGTGCGTTCTCGTGCTTTTCTGGTGCGACCGTAGTGCATTATCGTGCAATCGAAGGGCATTCACAGTGCGTTTTAGTGCGAACATGGAGCCGCCGTAGTGCAATTTCGTGCAATCATAGTGCATTCGTAGAGCATTTTAGTGCGAATGAAGTGCAGTGGTAGCGCTAGCGCAGTGCATTCGTAGAGCGAATTAGCGCTAGCGTAGTGCATTCGCAGCGCGCGTAGCGCAGACGTAGTGCAGGCCGCCCGAAGCCGCCCCCCCCCGCGTCCACCAACGTCCGGACGACAGAGAACCCACACGGTACCCCTAACCTGGGCAAAGGATGTGCAAAGCGCGCGCAGGCCGCGGGTCTGATGCGGAGTGCAAAACAAGTGCACCCTAAAAACGGCGCACGCTGCTTCAGGAACCAGGGAAAGGTGGTGGGAACTCCCTGCAGACTTCCGCAGGGCAGCGCCTGGAGCCAAATTTCAAACTTGACCGAATACACATCAGCTTACAGAATTAGATTCGTCTCAAGAAGACAAACAAAAAGTAAACACATATAATGGGTTAAAATGGAAAATGAAAGAATTATTGAACTTCAATGTCTTTTTGACCTTTTTTTGCACTCTAAAAATCCAATAACTCTTTCATTTTCTATTTTAAGCCATGACATGTGTTGACATTTTTTGTTTGCCTTCTCGAGACGAATCTAAATCTGTAAGGTAATTCTTTTTGGTGAAGTTTGAAAATCACTCATCTCAGCGAAGTTCAAACTCTACAACAAAGCCGCTCTTTCAAAATATCTCCACCCCAAAGGTGGTCCGAGGTGAGAGATTGGGTCCGGAATCGGTTTAAACTTTGTGGGCTTAACAGGTACCATTAGGACCTATCAACCTAAGAGGAGGTTGGCCACACAAACAACACCTGCAATATTTACATTTTTCTACATTTGAAAAATTTAGCGGGAAAATGTCGCTTTTTTATCTTATGATAGTTTAAGTTGTTTGCTCAGTTTGGATTGTATTTCTTCCTTCTAGTCATAAAAAGAGGAGAAAAATGGTGCCGACCAAGTTTTGAACGTTCCTTGGTTTGGCCTACAAAAGGGAATTTTGTCGAAAACATTGAAACTGTCACCTCAAAATAAACCACCAAAGTCTTGATCCTGGTAGGTCTCATTTCCCTTCCTCTCCTCTAATAAACAATTACTATGTAGTCCCTAGGTGCAACAGTTTCACATAAGCTACAAAAGAAAAACCAATTTTATTCAATCCTTTTTCAAAATTCCTTGTGTAGGCCAAACCAAGGAACGTTCAAAACTTGGTCGGCACCATTTTTCTCCTCTTTTTATGACTAGAAGGAAGAAATACAATCCAGAACTGAGCAAACAACTTAAACTATCATAAGATCAAAAAGCGACATTTTCCCGCTAAATTTGTCAAATGTAGAAAAATGTAAATATTGCAGGTGTTGTTTGTGCTGGCCAACCTCCCTCTTAGTGTTGATAGGTCCTAATGGTACCTGTTAAGCCCACAAAGTTTAAACCGATTCCGTGACCCAATCTCTCACCTCGGACCACCTTGGGCTGGAGATATTTTGACAAGAGCGGCTTTGTTGTAGAGTTTGAACTTCGCTGAGATGAGTGATTTTTCAAACTTCACCAAATAGACATTACCTTACAGATTTAGATTCGTCTCGAGAAGGCAAACAAAAAATGTCAACACATGTCATGGCTTAAAATAGAAAATGAAAGAGTTATTGGATTTTTAGAGTGCAAAAATGGTCAAAAAGACATTAGAAGTTCAATAATTCTTTCATTTTCCATTTTAACCCATTATATGTGTTGACATTTTTTGTTTGTCTTCTTGAGACGAATCTAATTCTGTAAGCTGATGTGTATTCGGTCAAGTTTGAAATTTGGCTCCAGGCGCTGCCCTGCGGAAGTCTGCAGGGAGTTCCCCACCACCTTGCCCTGTGTTCCTGAAGCAGCGTGCGCCGTTTTCAGGGTGCACTTGTTTTGCACTCCGCATCAGACCCGCGGCCTGCGCGCGCTTTGCACATCCTTTGCCCAGGTTTGGGGTACCGTGTGGGTTCTCTGTCGTCCGGACGTTCTGGTGGACGCGGGTGGGGCGGCCTGCACTACGTCTGCGCTACGCGCGCTGCGAATGCACTACGCTAGCGCTAATTCGCTCTACGAATGCACTGCGCTAGCGCTACCACTGCACTTCATTCGCACTAAAATGCTCTACGAATGCACTATGATTGCACGAAATTGCACTACGGCGGCTCCATGTTCGCACTAAAACGCACTGTGAATGCCCTTCGATTGCACGATAATGCACTACGGTTGCACCAGAAAAGCACGAGAACGCACTAAAATTTTTTTACAGGGGTCTGTCTCTCTCGCACCACGACGCGCCGCTCCTCGAGTGCGACAGAGACAGAGCGACGAAGCGATCCTCCGGAATGGGTCGGCTGCAGCGCCGACTCCATGGAGAGCCGCGATTGGCCCATCGAATCAATCACCGCGAAACAAAACAGCAGCGCGTGTGGGTCCGCCGGTCGGCCGGTCCACCAGTCGGCCCGCCAGCCAATTAATGGCGGTGTTGATTTTCCGCCGTGCGCGTTATTACCCAGTGCCCCGGCCACTGGGCCGCCGAGAGGGAGAGAGACAGCGACAGCCAGTGGCGTGCGCAGAAGTTTTGAAAGGGGAGGGTCAGGCCATGATTTTTGCCTACTTACAGGGGGAAAGTGACGCAATTTGCCTACCTTCCAGGCGGCTGTCTAGTGGGCAAAAGGGGGGTCACGACATCCCCCCCCCTTGCGCACGCCACTGGCGACAGCAGTCACCGGTCGCGGCGACGCGGTGACGCGCAGAGAGCGAAATCAATGTGCCGAAACGCGACACGGCGCGGCGAATTTCCAAACGTTTCCCACGCGGCGCGCGGCGCAGCGTGTCCTGTCTCCCTCCCGCACGCGGCGGAGAGAGCAGAGGAGAGTGCGCGCGCGCGACAGAGAGAGAGAGAGAGAGAGAGAGAGAGAGAGAGAGAGAGAGAGAGAGAGAGAGAGAGAGAGAGAGAGAGAGGGGGGGGGGGGAGAGAGAGAGAGAGACGGGCCGGGGGCACGGGTCTTTGGATCGCACACAATGGCTGTAATCTGCGACGGAAAGTCAAGCTCTTGAAGAGTCAAGCCCATCAAGAGCAGCGAGCAGGACAACTAAGCCTACCCTGCAGCCGCAAAGTTGACGAATGTCTGCCAGACATTTTTGACTGCATTTCGACCCAGTTATCGGCGCCTTGGCTTTCCAAACGAGTAGTGTTACCGACGATGTCAATCAACATAACACCAAAGGCAGAGCATTCTAGAGAAAGGTCTCACGGGAAGAGCGAATCGCTACAAGTGTTCAGACGAAGCGGCCTCCTAAATTCGGCCCAAAACAAGGTTCCAGCTGGGCAACGTCGCGGGTCGCTGAGATTGCTTGCCGGATTCCCCACCGACCAATCGCGCCGTCGTCCCACGGAACCGCAATGGTGTCCGCCACCACGGCCTAGAGGTAGAGGTACTCGAGCAGCGCTGAGCAGGGCGACTTGCCTTGCCGCTCGCCAATTAGCTCCATGTTAACCACGACAGCGGACAGCGGCTGGCATGCGAGTCGGCGGCGGCTACACGACGCCGGGAGTGCCAAGCCGACCGTTTGGTGATGAATGAAGCAGTGAGAGAGTGATCAGGGCGGCTATAGGCGGCCGGGCCCTATAGGGCCGGGCGGTGGGAGGCCCACCGGGCCGACACGCCGGGACCCGGGACGGCCGGGACGCGCTGTCGCTTTCTTGCTGCCAATCTGCCTGTCCATCACGCGGTAAAGCCCGGCCGGCCTCCGCGAACGCCGTCCGCCAGCACGCCACAAAGGCCACCATCTCGGCACCCTATCACCTCTCCAGCCTACACAGCGCGCTCCTCTAAATTATGTATTGGTTGAGGCCGCGGGGCGGGGCGGCGGCGGCGGGGCTCGCCGGCTGGGGACTCGGGGACCGCGCCGCCGCGCTCGGCACACCGCGCTCAAATATGCACCCGTTTCGCGCGTCAAAATCGACCACGCTCGTCGTTTCTTTCCGTGCGTTGTGGGCGAGCAGGATTAGCGCGCGACAACCGCGTAACTCCACGGGGACGCGGTCTCTGTTGCGCCGCAGCGGAGGGCGCCCCAAGAGTGCGAGAGAGACGGCGTCGAAAGCGCTGTCCGGGATGCAGGCCAAGGAGGCCGACGCGGAGTGCTTGCTTATTGACAGGCATGGATAGTCCGACGTGTGTCATGGCGAGGACGAGGCCCTCGAAGCACCTCCAGTCGGGCACAGGCACGCCGCACGCGCCACCGGGCACACAATGGGCCGCGCAGTGGGCCGTGCTGAGCCACGCGGGGCCGCCCCGCCGGCCCCGTCTCGTCGTAAAGTGTTAAAATAACAACGACGACTTTCGGGCGCCGGAGTGCCGCCGGAACGGGGGCAGGGCACGGGCAGGGCGCCCTACTGGCCCTAAGCGCTGGGCGGCGGCGGCGGGCGGACGGCGGATGGGAGAGAAAATCATGTATGGTCAGTGGGGGGGTTTGAACCCGAGACATTTTGGCGGCGGCAGGGCGGCGCGGCCGCGTCCGGCGTCCAACGTGCGGCGCCGCGCCGGCCGGGCCTGGGCGTCCTGGGCCGCACCGCCTACTTTCCACGCGGACGGCCGCCACGGCGCCACGGCCAGCGCGGCCCTCGGCCAGGCCCGGCCAGGCCGGCCGGTCGGTACGGTCGGTACCCCGGAGTCGTGAGGCGCAAGTTTACGGAGCAGCGGGTGGGATGAAGAGCAGCAGGGCAGCGGCAGTGTGTCCCCAGCAAGCTGCTTCCGAGCAACCGTGCCGTCTCTCTCGCACTCGTAGGGCGGGGCGAGAGAGACAGCACCGAAAGCACAGTGTTGTTCGGAATCATCCTGCTAGCCGTCCCCAGACCGTCCCAATAGAGTACCGTCGCCCCGGTTTACCCCGCTCCTCCCCGCCCCGCCCCGCCCGCCCCGCCCCGGCTCCGCGCTTTTCCTGCAAATTAGTGGCAGTGGAGTCTCACGCGAGGAGCGCCATGCGGTATGGCGGCGTGCAAGTCAGCCTGCATGGCGCGCCGCGCGCCGTAACGGTCGCAGAGCAGCCACAGCAAAACGGGCCCGGGTTCAAATACCATCCGGGCAGGATTTTGTGTTTCCCGCCACTACTCACCCGTTGAGCTTGGCGAGGAAGCCGTAGGGGCCGCTGAGGCGAGCCGTCTTGTCCAGGCTCCTGCAGTACAGCGTCCACAGGCAGTCCAGGGGGCTCTTCGACGTCTGCCAGCCCTGACTGTCCCGCTGCTGCGCCGCGGTCGCCCTGCGCGCCGCCGCCACGGTGGCCCGGTACGCCCTGCCCAGGTTGAGCACGGCGCGCAGCCCCGACGACAGGAAGGACGTCACCTCCTGCACCACGGCGCCCAGCGTCACCTCCTCGCTGGACCCCGAGGCCTCCTCGTCGTCCGAGCCGCCGCGCATGCGCACCGACAGCTGCGACGAGTCTGTGGAGCAGAGCGGAGTGACGTTAGACGAAGTAACAAAAAACAGCAATAGTTATGGACATAAGCATTGAGTGTGTGGCCCCGTGCTGGAGTCAATTCGTTGACGCCTGGACGACGGCGACCTGGTTGTCGTCCGGGAGCACCGCACCGATCCGCCCGCGTAGCCCAAACAACAGGGTGGGGCTTTATTATCCCAAGGCAGCCCCTGGCAGTCCCAGGCCCGAGCTCTGGCATTGCTCTAAGCACGGCTCCGGCGCTCCGGCTAGCACGCGACGCACAATGGAGGTCCTTTAAACTCCAACAGTGATTTGATTTTTTTGTCGAGGTCGGGGAGAAATCCCTAGCCTATGCCCTGCGGGGAGATCGTTGCTGCGCGAGTCCCGAAGAGACGAGGCTCGCATAAACGCGCTCACACTCACACACGCGCACACGCACCACACACACACACGCACACACACGTAAACACGCTCACGGACATGAAAAACATATTCAGGTCGCTACTGCTGCGGATCTGCACTTCGAGACGTGAAAAATGTGGCTGCATATCGCGCTGATGGCGTGCGATGGGTGAGCAGTGGCTGGGCGGACAGATGGGCGGACGGACAGCCGGACGGGCAGGCATGCAGGCCGGGCCCTGGCCGCCCTGGCCGGGCCGACGGGGCAATGATAGAAAATGCGGAGGTCGTGGGAACCCCACCAGAACCCCCACCAAATACACCATGATGCACTCCTCCGCGGTCCACGCCCACACAATCCCAGAAGCGAACTGGAATTGAATAGAATAGCGCTCTAGTTTGAATAATTCATGAGGATTTTTTTTTGCGAGCCACCGTTCTTTTTATTTATTTTTTTCGGAGTAGCTTGCCCCCGTCGTCGCGCTGATTTCGTTAATCCCACCGGAACCGGAATCGAATGAATTGTCTTCTGCTCGGCCGGCGCCGCTCCCGCTAGTGCTGTCCAAAGCGTCCAAGACGTCCAAGAAGACGGTCCGAGGCGGCGGAACGAAGAAAAGTCCAATTCTATTATTTTCCGGGCCGCCAGCCAAGCCGGCGCCAGCCAGCAAGCGGGCGGAGCGCGGAGCCGAGCAGCCGCTGATCCCGGCCCACCGCCTTGCAGATCCATCTTTCTTTTCAAATCCGATGGCGAGCTCGGTGGCGCTGCGGGCACTGCCCGGGCAGCTCATCGGTCTTGTTGTTCTCCGTCCTCCAGGTCCTCGGGCCTCAGGCCTCGGCAGCGCTAGGCCTGCCTTGCCCTTCGCGGCCCTGCGGTGCCGTCGGTGTCCTCCCGCCCTCCGCGGCGTGCCTTTCCGAGACTTTTTGTTTAGATTTTCCGCTCGACTGGTGATCGGCGCCTCGCACTGCCTCGCCGCGCCTGGGCGGAACCGTAAGGGGCAGGGAAAGGGGAGGGGGGGGGGAGGGGGCGTCCCGCAGGCCGGACGAATCTCCCCGCCCGCGCACACGCCGGGACGGGCCGCGACGCCGCGACGCCGCGACCACGGACAGACGGGGGTGTCTCCGAGAACGACGCGCCAAACGTTTCTAGAACGGGGAAATTTCCCGCAGGAAAGAGGGAAGTTTCCCGCGGGCCGGCGCGGCGTCGCGGCGCCCGCCGTGAGAATCGGCCCCAGCCAGCGCGGCGGCAAGGCGCAAAAAAGGCACGGCTTTGACGCTTTGATGAAGTGGTCGACGAGACAAGCACGGGCCGGTCATTGCTGTCGCCGCGCAGCGCAGCGCGGCACCGCGTTAGTCCTGGTCTCGTTCTTGCCGGCGTCGCCGATCGGCCTGCGTGGTCTAGATCCCTAGTGCGCACAGTGGGCCAGAAGACCGGTGGAGGCGGCCAAAAGTCTAGAGCTCCAGAGTCACTAAATGGGACTCGAACCGAACGTGTGACCCCACCAATGGATTGCTCTCCGAACGAGGAATTCATTGGTGGGGTCACACGTTCGGTTCGAGGCCTGTGTAGCGACTCTGGAGCTCAAAACGCGTCTGGAGTTTTGGCCGCCTCCACCGGTCTTCTGGCCCACTGTGCGTGCGGTCCCATCCCGCAGTGTCGGACGCCGGCTGCCGCGAGGCCTTGTCCCTGCTGGCCCCTGCTGGTCCTCATCGCGGAGAGGGCCTCTTTGGCCACGCGGTCCGTCCATTTCCGTATTGCGACACCATTCCGGGATGAAAGCCCGGCGCATCTCTTTCCCTGGAGTATCTTGGCTGCCCATGGCACTGCCAGCGACCAGCAGGCCGGCCCCCCGCAGCGGCATGATGGAGTCTGCTGGCGCTAAGCAGAGATGAAATCCCTCCGGCCTACGGGCAGGCCGGGCAGGGCAGGGCCAGGCCGGGCGCGGTCGTGGTTCTCGAGTTTATAAAGTTCCCGCGGATAACAAAATGACCGGGTGACAAGGCAAATCTCGGACGGGACGGTGGACGGCGACGCCCCGTGGAGGCAGGCGAGGCAGGCAGGCCGCGAAGCCACGAAGCCGCGAAGCCCTCTCGACAGCGTCGCGACGCTCCGTCACGCCACCGGGAAAAATGATTCGAATTGCCATTCGCGCGGTGCCGTGATTCCGCGGTGCGTCTCGGCTGGTCTTTGCTTTCCTACGTGAGGAGCATCGCACCGCCGGCGTGCTGGACGCGCGTGCCGGGTCGCCCACCGCCACCGCATCCACATCAAGTATCCTTGGTTCGAATCCCGCATCTGATGCACGTGCACTTTCGTCTAACGGCCCCTTTTACGTTCAACGCTCCACTAGGCTGGCGACTGGCTGGCGATGCGCGACGCGGCTGAGACTCGCTGATGCCTTCTCGTCGTGTCACACCGCCGCCCCGCTTTGTGTTGAGGTGCCGGGGTTATTACAGTAAAAAATAATAACAAGGGGTGGCTGGCGGATTCGCGCCCTTCCAACTGGAGCGTGAAAAACGGTGTCCTCGTGACAAGACCTGGACGCGACTTGAGACCTGACGGGGAGGGGGCTGTTGTCTGGATGACATGGCCTGCTTAGCATACCACAACATCCATTTTTCTAGCCACAAAAAAAAAGAACAGAGAAAAAACCGCGGCCGAGATTTGGCTCGCTGGTCCGCCTGACAAATTGTCCGCCCCTGCGAAGCACTGCGTACTGTACTCGGCTTGTTGTTGGTGTAGCCGGATCCCTGAGCATGCTGGAGGCGTGCTGGAGGCATTCTCGGGGAAACGGTTCACATTGCCGGAGGCTGGGGCACCAAAGGCATTACAACAACCACTGCCTTCCAGAGTCGTGTCGCGCAGTGCCTTGCCACTGTCACTCTGCACCGGCGCGGTTTATCAAACCAACGCAGGCAGGCAGACAGCCAGGCAGCCAGGCAGGCCGGAAGATGGGGCGGAGGATAGCAGGTGAGAGGACGGGGGTGGGGAGGATCAGGTGGGCGACACAGACACCGCCAGATTGGCGCCAGAACGTCGACGTCATGGTGCTGACGGCCGCTGGCTCGGCCGCTGGCGGCTGACGGGGGCCTCACCTTGGTCCTGGTGCACCAGCTGGCGCACCTCCTGGGGCGGCATGAAGAGCGCGCCCAGCGCCTGCACCTCGGGGTCCTTCATGAGCTGCTCGGCGCGCTGGCCGGCAGGGCCGTCCTCGCCGCGGGCCAGCAGCTGCACGTTGCGGAGCAGCAGCAGGTCGAAGGCCAGCAGCCCGAAGGACACGAGGCTGGACGAGTTGCTGAGCACGGCGGGGTCCGTGGGGTACACTAGGGACGCGAGCGGCACGTCGCCGTCCGCGGCGCTCAGCGACGTGTTGTAGTACATCTCGCGCAGGTGTCGCAGCGCGGGCGCGGGGTCGGCGCGGTACAGCGAGGCGTTCACGGCGCCCACCATGTCCTGCCAGTCCTGGCCCGCGTGCGTGGCCGCCAGCCACTCCTTGAGCGAGTGCAGGCGGTCCTGCATGAACACGAGCACGGGGCTCTCTGCCTCCTCGGGGGCGGCGCCGTCGTAGTGGAAGGGCTCGTCCACGGCCATGGGGGGCTCGGCCACGATGCCGTGCCGCCACTCCGGTGCAGTGGCTGCCTCTGCCACCATGGGGTCGTCGGCCGGCAGCGGCACCGGCGGCGGCCGCAGCTCCAGCGGAGGGGACCACGGCGCGGAGGGTGGCGGCGGCGGCGACCACACTCGCGGGGGTGGGCGTCGTGCCGGCGGAGACGGCCGGAAGGACGACGGAGGCGGCGTGGACAGCGCTGGCGGCGGCGCTGGGGGCACCACGGCGCTCTGCAGTGGTTGACGGGTGAGGACGTCCACGTCCGCGTCCGCGTCCACGTCGCGCTGTGGGGGCGGCCGCGTCATGGGCTCCTGCTCCGGCGGAGGGGTTGTGCTGGTGGTCGTCGTTGTCGTCGTTGTCGTGGTGGTCGTGGTTGTCGTGGACGGCGTTGTTGAAGGCGTCGGCGTGGCGACAGCGTCCCCTGCCGTCGCGTCGGGCTGCTGCACCTTCTCCACCTGCCCCTTGCGCTTCTTGGGCAGGTGCACGGCGGGCGCTGGCGGCTGGCGCGTGGGTGCCGGCGGCACCGGCTGCGGATGCGGCTGCGGGGGCGGCGCCACCCTGAGGTCGCGGAACGGGTCGCGGGGCCGTTCGGTGGGCGTGGCCATCCTGGTGGCGGCGCTCAGCCCGAGCCACAGCGTGATGCCGACGAAGACGAAGGTGACGGCGAGGGCGATGCCCGCCGCCAGCACCCAGCAGCGCACGCCGCCACGCTGCGGCTTCACCACCCCGCGGAGGACCCCGGCGCGCGAGTTGCCGTGCAGGCCGGCGTGCAGGCCGCCGTGCGCCAGCTTGACGTGCTCCATGGCCTCGGCGAGGCTCGGCGTGGTGACGGGTCGGCGGCGCGGCGCGGACTAAGGACTGGCGGTGCCTGGCCAGGTCCCTGCCGACGTTCCGAGGTACGGGACCGGAGCGTCTCGCGGTGCCGCGGTGCCGCGGTGCAGTACGCCACACCCGGCACGGCACGGAGCGGCCGGCACGGCGCGGCACGGCAGGGCAAGACACGGCCGGGAGACCTTACCGCAGTCCGCTGCCCGCGTCCGCCCCTCCCCTTCCGCCTCCGTACTCTTCCGCGGGTACCCCGTCGCCCTGCCCCCCCCCCTCCTCCGCCCCTGCCCCGCGCTGGGAGCCACGCGTAGCGAGGTGAGGTACGGCGGGGCTCGGTGGGCCTTAGCGGGCCACGGCGGGTCGTCCGGAGCAGGGCCCGGCTAGGCCCGGCTAGTACGAGTCCACGACATGCAGTTCCCTCGCGGCCAGAGCCTCTCTTTTGCGTGCTGCCGCCGAGGTCCTTCATGCCGCTTATTTTCGCTCGCATTCACTTCGAAATGAGCAGTTGGGGTGGGGTGGGGCGGGGTGAGGCGCGGCGGGGCGGGGCGGGTGAGGTCGGCAGGGAACACCCCCGCGAGGTCGCCGGGCTGACAATGCGCGGAGAAAGTGGTCGCCTTCATTGTCGTGTCAGTCATGTCGGCTTCGGCGAGCGACTTCGGGGAGAGTCAGAAGGACGGCTCCGTCCTGGGCATGTCGTCGTGGACGCGGACGCGACGGGCACGGGGCAGAACGCCGCGCCGACGCACGCGGGACGGCGCCGCGGTGCTTGTCCGTGATGACGAGGCCTCGGGCGGGGCGGCCGGGCTGCCCCAGGGCTCGGCGTCGTCGTGGCCTTGTCGGTGTGCCGCGGGAGCCGCGGGAGCCGCGCTTGGCGCCGGCCGGGTGCGCTAAGCTCGCGGTTCTGCGGTCACTGGCTGCCGCCAATCGCCCCCGGCCTTCCCCGGCGCGGCGGCGCGCGGTGTTGGACGACGCGGATGGTCCTGCTTGACCGCACCGCACCGCGCCGCGCCGCACCGGTCCTCTCACCGTGCCGTGAGAGGACCGTACGCCGGCCATGCGAACAGCGAGCAGGGCACAGCGAGCAGGCCGTGTGTGCCCGGAACAAGGCCGACAAGGGCCCGGACCAGGACCAGGACCAGGCCACGCATTGTGTGCCGAGGCGCTTGGGAAAGGACACACTTATCTACGCGCCGCCGTCTGGGCGGGCATGCAGTCCTGCAGGGCTTGGCGGGGCGCGCTGCCGAGCGCCGTGCGACCGGGGGTAGGCAGCCCAACGCGCACCACCGCGAGCTGGGCTGCCCGGCGGCTGCCTGCAGGCTGTGGCGCTGCGTTCGCGCCTCGCTAGCGTCGCCCGGGCAACTCGCGCAGGTCTAACGATGACACTCGACCCACATTGCCTGATGGCAAATAGACAAGTGTCTGCTTTGATTGACAGGGTGACACAGGGCACGAGGCAGCGCGCCGAAGATAATTTCCGATGCACTCGACTCGGTTGGTGGGTCGGTCGGTTGGCAGGCGACAAAGCAGAGATAGTATTCCAATCGCAGCAGTAACCAAGGGTCGGCATCCGCGGCCACTGCCCTCCAACGGAAGGCGTTCTGAAATTTCATACAGGATTTCTGTAGTCCAGAGTTCCAGTGCGGATCTAGGCCGAAGACAGAGTCAAACCCGCGTTAGACTGAATTTTTCTGGTGCCGCTTTAAAATTCATCCGCTTGAATCCGCTCAAAATCCATTATAGTGAAAAAGATGCCCTAGAGGAGATGCTCCAGGAGATGCTGTCTTGAGTCAACATGTTTCAGACTGCCTGTGACCGCTGCCTGGTTTCATGACTCTAAAACACGGGGATAACTGCACACAGTGATGCAAACAGACAAAGGTCTCGATAGGTGTACAGTCGGCTCATCTGGAGGCGTTTGCCGCACTTCGCGGGCTTATCTCTGTATCTGGTCCTCGAAGAACAAGTTGGGACGCGGCGTATAAATATGCCGGTGAACGCGCAAACCTCTTCTCAGCCTCAACATGTGGAAGCTCCTGACTGTGCTTGCGCTGGTCGCGGCGACGGCCGTGCAGGTAAGCGCGGGTAGCTTCGATCGCGTTTCAACGCCATCGTTTGCTTTGGGCTGGGTGAAATGGACATCAGCTTTGGTTTACTTTTCCCTAGGCCGCCTATGAGGATGTTCAGCCCAAGCTGCACGCTTCGCAGGCCAAGTCCGCACCCCATGACGGTGAGTATACTGTGTTGAACTGATTTCGTTCTGATTCTGTTTCGGTTATTACCGATTAAAATAACTTAACTTGACAGCGCCCCTGCGCATCGTGAACGGCGACGAGGCCACGCCCGGCCAGTTCCCCCACCAGGTCGGCATCGAGATCGACCTGGTCGACGGCCGCAAGGCCTTCTGCGGCGGCTCCATCCTCACCGAGCACATCATCATCACCGCCGCCCACTGCGCCGAGTGAGTACAGACCCGTACAGCGCCGGGCCGGTGACTCGCGCGGCGCTAGGTTTCTCATACCCACCACGGCACAGGCACGGCACGCAGTTCCTGATCTGGGCCGGCGCGCACGAGATCGACCAGGACGGCACCCCGTACATCACCAAGAAGAAGCTCGTCCACGAGAAGTTCGGCTCCGACGGCGCCGTGGCCAACGACATCGCGCTGCTCTACGTCCGAGAGGAAATCAAGTTCAGTGAGTGTTTCGTTCGCGTCGATGTGGTAGTCGTCTTCGTCGTCCCTGCCTTCCTTGATTCGCCACTGTGCTCCATGCAGACGACCGCGTCCAGCCCATCAGACTGCCGTCCGCCGAGCAGGCCCAGGACTCCTTCTGGAAGGCGCAGGTCACCATGAGCGGCTGGGGCCTCACGCACACCAGTGAGTTGACCGCCTCTTTGTCAATGTTTTGCACGTCGCCTTCTTGTTCAAACCGCCCTCCTTGTTGTGCAGGGGACGAGAAGAAGAGCCCCGTGCTGCGCTTCGTCACGTCCCGCGTCGTCAGCAACCTGTACTGCAGGGCGCGCTTCTTCTTCCGCTACGTGCAGAAGACCAACATCTGCGTGTCCGGCTGGTGGGCCAAGGGCACCTGCCAGGTAAGCGGCGCGGGCCTCGGTGACGTCGGCAGCGTCGATGACGTCGCCGCCGGCCGCGCTCTAGTTGAGGCTTCCTGTCCGCAGGGCGACTCCGGCGGCCCCATGGTCGTCTACGAGGCCGACGGCAAGCCCACCCTCATCGGCCTCACGTCCTTCGGCGTCGGCCTGGGCTGCGCGGCGTCCTGGCCCAACGTCTTCACCCGCGTCACCTCCTACCTGGACTGGATCGAGTCCAGCATCGAGCACCTCAGCCTCGCCCGCTAGGCCAGCCAGGCTGACGCGGCGGCGCCGCGGCGGCTAGATCTGAATAAACACGTGCAAACAAACTCTCTGGTGGTTTTGTCAGTCACTCGTTTAGATGTCTGCCTTCGCCTCCGTCTGCCGTGCCGGCCGTGCCGAGTACCTTCGGGCTTTCCAGAAGTGCCGTGGCCATTCATGGCCCTCCTTTCCCGTGTGTCCGATAGCACTGTCACACGTACACGGGAACGACACACGCTTGGACACACGCACATGGCGCGCGCGCCTACACAGCCCCGTTCCCTAGGCTTCCTGTGGGGCTGCCGCGGCCACTGACAACATCGCAATTTAGCTGCGTAGCGGCAGCCACGCCCCCACGCCCCTTCGGAGGAAAATAGACTCCTGAACGCGCCCGGAAGTGAAAGAAAGCCACGGCGATGGCGTGCAACGTCACTGCTGGAGGTAACTGAGGCAGAGACCATAAAGATCGGCTCCACGACGCATGCATAGCGCTGTCGTGAGTACGCTCTCTCTCCTTTCTTCCCAGTAAACCACGGTCGAGCGGCGGAGCGCGGCCTCCGCGGTGTCCTCGCGTCCTCGCGGGAGCGAAGGCTGCGGGGTGGTCCTGTGATCTCGTCCCGATGCCTCGCGACTTCCCTGGCCCCTGGTCCCGGGGGCCGGGCGGTGGGGCGGCGGGGCGGCCCAGAATGCTCCGTCCTGCTCTCCAAAGGGGGTGCACTTTGTACACGGGACGCCTCAAAGCAAAGCGGAGAGAAGACGAGGCAGACGGCAGACGCGGTTCATTGCTCTGTCTCTCTCGCACCCAAGTGCGACGCAGACGACGACGAAGCGACTCGTCGAACGGGAGCCTCTTCCACTGCGCCTTGCACTGTCAGTGGCGTGCGCAGGGGGGGTCATGACCCCCCCTTTGGCCACTAGACAGCCGCCTGGAAGGTAGGCAAAAAGCGTCACTTTCCCCCTGTAAGTAGGCAAAAAGCATGGCCTGACCCCTCCCTTTCAAAATTTCTGCGGACGCCACTGTGCACTGTGGGGCGCCTCCGCGGGTGCCTCGGTGTGCTGCTAGTTGCTTCACGCCAGGCTGAGTCAGAACAGTGCCGGTCACTTGCTGTCTCTCTCGCACCGCGGCGGGGCGGGCCATGAGTGCGAGAGAGACGGAGCGTCGAAGGCGGCGTTCGGAATCACTCACCTGCAGGTGGTCATTTCGGTTCGTTGTCCGCGTGCTTCCGGCGTCCCTGGCGTCCCGATAGCGCGTCAGCATGGCGGCGGCATGGCGGCGGCGCGGCCCTTTTAAGCGGCCGCCGGAAGCCGCGGCCGCGACAATGTGGGCCGCCTCCGCCGTGTGCGTCGTCGGCGTCGTCGGCGCGGTGCTCGCCGCCGCGGCGTTCCAGGGCGCCGACGGGCAGGTGCGTAGCGCGCCGCCGAGGCCGCGGCCGCGGCCGCGACGACCGTCTTGAGCATTCTTGTCTCGCGCAGGAGGAGATCGACTGGAGGAGCGTCCGCCGCATGACGGGGGAGCCGGCGCGCCTCCTGGAGCACGTCATGGACCTGGAGATGGAGGGCGGCGACTACGACGAGCTCAGCAGCAGAGGTGAGCAGTGCGGAGCAGGGCCGACGGGGACAACAACAACAAATTTAAAACGTTTTAGTGGAAAATTGCCTTTCTCAACCTTTACGTCCGCTATGGGACACCACTGCTCTGCCCCAGTTCTGATTGAGTGTCTGTGCGCCCCGGTTGCAGTGCTGGACGCGCGTTCCGGCCGGTCCGACTCGCGCATCGTGTCGGGCACGGAGGCCGAGCCGCACGAGTTCCCCTGGCAGGTGGGCATGATGATCCGGGACGCCAACGGCTCCATGTTCTTCTGCGGCGGATCCCTCCTCAGCCAAACCTGGGTCCTCACCGCCGCGCACTGCGCCGAGCCGTGAGTAGGGTTGAAAAAAAGGCTCCACACTGGGCACGCACAGTGGGCCAGAAGACCGGTGGAGGCGGACAAAACTCTAGACGCGTTTTGAGCTCCAGAGTCGCTAAATGGGACTCGAACCGAGCGTGTGACCCCATCAATTGATTGCTCTCCGAACGAGGAATCCATTGGTGGGGTCACACGTTCGGTTCGAATCCTGCTTAGCGACTCTGGAGCTCAAAACGCGTCTAGAGTTTTGTCCACCTCCACTGGTCTTCTGGCCCCATGGCACGGCGACACTCTAGCTACTCGGGCTAATTTCACTGGTGTATTTCAGCGGTGACCATTTCACCATTATTCTGGGCGCGCACCGCATCCGCGAGCACGAGCCCAGCCAGCAGCGTTTCACAGTGAGGAAGTCCGACGGCGTGGTGGTGCACCCCGACTGGGACTCCAAGGAGACCGTCAACGACATCGCCCTCATCCCCCTGCCGCGCAAGGCCGAGCTCAACGGTGCGTACGCTCAGGACAGCAAAGGGTTTTTGTTCGGGCCGAGTGCTGTATTGGCAGTGTGTCCGCAGGGTACGTCCAGCTGACGAGGATCCCCTCCAAGGCGCGGGCCGACGCCCCCCTGTGGAACAAGAACGCCACCATGACCGGGTGGGGCAAGCCCAGCGACTGTGAGTCAGACAGCCACTTTCTATCGCCCAGTCTGTTTCCGGTTTTTGCACGGCTTTGTTCTTTCTTCTTGCCTTCTTGCTCTTGGCAGCGGCCGGCTCCATCTCGGACGTGCTGCGCAAAGTCGTGACCCGCATCGTCTCCAACTACTACTGCAACTTCCGGTACATGTTCATCATGATCAAAGACACCAACATCTGCGCGTCGGGCTTCTCCGGGAAGAGCACCTGCAATGTAGGCCGGCCTTCGCTCCAGAAAACGCTGCCCGCGAGATGAAGCGGCGGCACCGGGAATTGAACCCGCGACGTTCTGCTTCCAGGGCGACAGCGGCGGCCCCCTGACCGTGCCCGACGACGACGGCAAGCCGACGCAGGTGGGCATCACGTCGTTCGGCATCGGGCTGGGCTGCGAGAAGTACTGGCCGCCCGCCTTCACCAGGGTCACGTCCTACCTCGACTGGATCGCCGACGTCACCAAGGGCGGCTTCCACGACACCAGCGAGCTGGGCCCGCTGCAGAGCGGCGACGCCGCCTAGGCCTAGTCTGTAGTTAAGTTATGACTGTGGTACTTGTAAGTGTTGTTTTAGACGTAAGGAAATTTGTATTGTTTGCAAAAGTATACGAAAGTTTGACGAAAACGCCGCCAGTGGTTTCCTGGCGGCAATGCGACTTGTCCGTGTTTCCCCGCCACACGTGGCCACTCTGTGGTGTATCCCGGGTTATCTCGGACCACCGCGGGCTGCAGCCGCCAGCTGCCTTTAAGGAAAAGTCGCCTGGCGGTCTAGGACCAAAAATAAACCTCGCGCAACACACACCCACCTTCCCCTTCCATTCGATGAAGTAGCTCCACGCAGCCGTTAAAACTTCTCACTCCGTTCAGTAAAACCTAAGGCACGAAACACGGAAGCACTTCGCAAGGAGATTCAACGACCCTCGGTGACGAGCATGGCGGCAGCATGGAGACATCCATGGTGGCAGGCTGGTCCCGAACAAGGCGTCTGTCGGTCTCTCTCGCACTCGCGGGTCGCCGCGCAGGGGTGGGAGAGAGACAGGGCGACGACGCCGGCTGGAGTGAATGAATGAATGAATGCACAGCGGTCCGCGGTATCGAGGGCGGCACGGCGGTGGTGAGTCACTGCACTGGCGTACGTGCCGCGGGGCCGCGCGGGGCAGGGCCGGGCCGGCCGGGTTCCCCCGCCACCTCCTGGCACGCCGATGGCAACGCCACTGGCACGCGGCTCAGTGACGTCACATGACGGGGACGCCGACAGATTTCACAACTTTGGTGCCGGAGTGGCGGAGCGCCCCCCGGGAGCAGTGATGCAGCTACTTGTGCAATCCGCATGCAAGATGGAGCGCGGAGTGGCGCGGAGGGCGCAGGGCGAGTCTGCTTCAAATTCCAGCAAGCTGCTCTCCGGGGGCCCAACTTCCGATAGGGCAGGTAGTCGAGCCGGGCAGGGCAGGGCCGCCGAGAACAACAAAAGAAGTCCTGAAGCACCTGGGGGCTCTCGTCTCGCGAGGAACGGATTCATCCCGCGTTTTGCGCGGCGCGGGGCGCGGGGCCGCGAGCGGAGGACAACTTTATTTCGTTCTGCGCCCCGGGCCGACCGCCGCGACCGCCGCGACCCCGACCTAGTCCAGGCGAGCCGAGACCCGGCGGCGCCGCAGGGTCACTGACGTGCGGCTGTGCCCGGCTGTGCCGTTCTGCGGCTCTGTCGGGATGCTTAATAACGCCGTGCGTAATGTCGGAGCCTTCCTGGAAACTCCCGCGCGCCCACGCCAGCCTCGCCGTCCTGCCCCCCACCTTCTCTGACCGCGGCCGTCGCGAACAGTCTCGTTCGCGCCGCCAACATGAGCAGCACTCGGCTGGGCGCGGTGGTGCTCCTCCACGTCCTGGCCGTGCCCGTGATGGCCGTGCCGGCCGTGCCGGCCGAACTGAGGCCCTACCATTGGTCCTACGCCAGGATCATCAGGGCCGTGGAGGGCCCCAGCGACAGGTACGCATGCTGACCCTGATGCAAGCGGCCGAGAAAACGGCAACGGAAATCGACAGACAGAGGATTCGAACCCGCGCCGTGCCGTTGTGTTGCAGTGGGGACAGTCCCAGCAGCACCCAGTACCAACTGCTGGCCAACCTGCCCACCGTCAAGGAGGCCCCCTCGGAGGAACCTAACCTGCTGCCTCAACCGGAGCAGTGCGACGACTGCACCGCGGGGACGACGCCACAGCCACGTAAGTTGCGCAAGCGGGCGCGTGTTTAAATCACTGGAATCGCTGACGGGTTGCCTATGCGGCCTTGCCGGGCCTTGCAGATAAACACACAGGACGTGCCTGACGTGCCGCCCCGAGCTCCCCGTTATCTTTTCGGCTGTGCTCATAGACCCGTTCTCATTCCCCCTCTTTTTTAGTGCGATTTTCCACGTGTTGATTCGCGCGTTCATTTCATTTTGTGTTCCTTCCAGTGGACTCGGGGCGCGTGAACACCCTGATGAGGTTCGACGGCTCCGGGTCGCGGCCGCTGCCCGGCCAGTTCCCCTGGCACGTCAGCCTGCTGTACAGGGACACGCCACTGTACTCCTGCAGCGGCTCGCTCCTGTCCAGCGAGTGGGTCCTCACCGCCGCCAACTGCGTCTACGGGTGCGTTCAACTACAGCAACTGTGGCGTCATGTTTGTCACAACAACAACAACAACAACAACAACAAGAACAACAACAAAGCTACAACATTTTTTAATGTTTTTTGTTGGTTTTTTTTTAGCTTTGATTACATGATGGTGAGACTGGGCTCGTACCGGCCCAGGGCGGAGAAGGAGAAGTTCCGGGAGGTGCTCAACTCGACGCACTTCGTGGTGCACCCAGGCTACCGGAAGGGGACGCCGCGCCACGACATCGCCGTCGTCAAGCTGCCCGTGCCCGTGCGGCAGCTCAACAGTAAGCGCCAAGCGAACGCGGAGCGAGCAAACCCGTCTCCGTGGCGCGTCAGGGCGTTGCGGGAAAAACAATTAAACGTCTGAATTGATTGACAGGCTTCGTGCTCCCGGTGCGCCTGCCCAGCCTCAACCACTTCCTGACGACGTACGCCGGCAGGAAGGCCATCCTCAGCAGCTGGGGCGCCAACTTCCCCGGTAAGCAGTGCGGCAGCGCACAGTGGGCCAGAAGACTGGTGGAGGCGGCCAAAACTCTAGACGCATTTTGAGCTCCAGAGTCGCTAAATGGGACTCGAACCGAACGTGTGACCCCACCAATGGATTTTGCTCTCCGAACGAGGAATCCATTGGTGGGGTCACACGCTCGGTTCGAGTCCCCTTAACGACTGTGGAGCCGTGTGGAGCTCAAAACGCGTCTCGAGATTTGGCCGCCCCCACCGGTCTTCTGGCCCACTGTGCAGTGCCTCCTTCATCCCCTGGGTTTTGTTTTGCGGCGCGGATGTTGACGTTTGCCCCGCTTTGCTGTCCAGGCCGTCCCGGCACGTTCAGCTCCTCGACGTCCCTCGTCTACGTGGCCGAGACCATCCTGCCGAACGAGCAGTGCGCCAAGAGCTTCGGCAACCTGACCACCTCGGCGACGCTCTGCACCACCACCACGCACTTCACCAACGGCTCCCTGGTGAGCGCCGACGTCAACTCAAAAATGTGTTGGTTCTCGTTCTCGCCAAGCTAATGTGCTGCTTGTCGTCCTCCAGGGTGACTCCGGGGCGCCGCTGGTGCTGCAGGAGGGCGGCCTGTTCATCCAGGTGGGCATCCTGTCCTTCGCGTCGTCGTCGGGCTTCTCGGCGGGCCACCCCGCCGGCTACACCAGGGTCACGTCGTACTTGTGGTGGATCCAGAACGCCACCGGCATCGCCCCGGGGCCGGACGTCGTCTGACCCTGTTCTGACCCGGGGCGGGAAGGAAAGGAATCCTCGCTCACGACCACGAAGCTCGTCGCGGCTTTGGGCACCAACTGTGATATAACTTATTGAATTCTGATTGTATATTTGTAAATAAATGAACTTGTTGTCGAGAGCCTCGGACATTAATGAACGTTAACAACCCCTCCCCACCTGCGGCGCCCGAGCGGTTTAAATTTCAATACACGGCGCGTCGCCGCGTCGCCGGGAGATGGTCCCTGATTGTTGTCCCGGCCGTTGTTTACCTCGAGCTAACCTCGCTAAAGTCTCGCGCCCCGCCGCAGGCACGGCGGCACGGCGGCACCGGCGGCCGGAGAGGACAGCGACAAGCAAGACACGGACAAAAGCAAGTATCGGCTTTGTTGTCAGTGAAACGCGAAAAACCGTTGCCGGCCGCTCGCCGCGCCGGCGGCGCGTTGATTCATATTCACTAATTAGAATCGACGACGAGCAGCAATTAGCCAGTCATGTCCGACAATGGGAGTGGCGGTGCGGGCGGCGCGGCCCCGGACGAGGGCGGCGAGGGAGAGCCTCCGGAAGACGCCCCGCTGCCGGAGCAGCCGGAGCAGGTACAGTGAAAGGGAAGGGGGTTTGGGAACGAGTCGCAGTGTCCGCGAAACCATAAAAGCCCGATTAATGACTTTTATTCCCGCGGCCCGCCAAGGAGCCCGTCGGCGCGGACGAGGCTCCGGATGACGCGCCGGAAACGGAGGAACCGCAGGTAGGGCCACTTGCAGGGGGTCTTGGCCAGGGCGTAACATTTAGTGAGATTTTGGGTGCCTTACTCTCGTAAATGGCCCGAGATAGTGAAAAGTTATGCACAGAATTTTATCGCACGCGGAACCAAACTCACTCGGCCGCCATATGTACAGGACGCCGCCGGCCCCAGCGCGCCTTCGAGCAGAAGGGCGAGCAGGACGGCGGGCAGCCAGCAAGGCAGCCAGGGCAGCCAGAGACCCAGCCAGGCCGGTCAGAGAGCCCAGCCAGGGCAGCCAGAGAGTCAGCCAGGGCAGCCAGGAAGTCAGCCAGCTGGGCAGCCTGAGGCCCCGAACAGAAGAGGTCAGCTACTGTTCCCCCCCGAAAAAGCTGGCCAAAACCTTATTTTTTTGGGTTCCCAAAAACCCCCCTTTTTTAAAAAAATTTTTTAAAAAAAAAAATTTCAGGCCGGAGGTCGGGGGTGACGGGCGCCCTTTCGGGTCCGGATCGCGTAGCGGGTGCCCTGTATTCTAGGGGCAGCAACCGGCGGCGTGGGAAAAACCAAGAGGAGGGCCCGGACGCCGGGGCCAGCAGCGGGGCGGTCCCAAAAAGGTGGCGGATGGGTCCTCGCTAGAAACACATTTTTCATTCGGTGTTTAAATAAGCAAACACAGCATTGGAGATACGCCGCGTGCACCTAACTTGGAAAAATATTAAAGGCACGCCGAAACGAGTTTGAAGCGTGTCAATAAGAAAATACACCATTAGGGACACGCCGCGTCAACATAAAGCTACAAATTATTATTGATACGCCGGAAAAGCTTTTCCGGCGTGCTAATAAGAAAACTAGACATTGCAGACACGCCGCGTGAAAATAACGCCATTTATTATTATATACACACCAGCGGTTTTCCGGTGTGCATATAACTGTCTTTTTTCTTATAGAAACGCGGCGTGTCTATAATCACTCCGTTCCCAGAAAGCCTATGGCAGAGACATAGGTGATTTCCATGGAGTTCCTGGGAAAACCAGGAACCGTTTTTACAGAGTAGCAGAAGGCTGCTGTTTTGGGTTCAAAGCCCGCTCTACCAAATTTGAAATTTCAGGCCGATGAGTCGGGGCTGAGCAGGGCAGCCTTGTCGGCGTCCAGGATGCGCGTCAGCGGGTCCGCCCTGCTCATGGCCTCGGTGCAGGAGCAGCAGGAGCGCGAGCGCGCGCTGGAGAAGAAAGCCAAGAGGAGGGACAAGCTGAAGAAGGACACCAAGTCGACGCGCAAGCGCACCAACATGCCCCTCACGCAGGCGGAGATCACGCGCGTGCAACAGGTGCGCCGATCACACACCGCAGCACTGCAAGGGAAACTTTCAAAATTTACCTGTTTTTTTCTGCTTTTCTTCAAAAATTAGGAAAAGGCACGCGCGGCGCGGGCGGCTCGCGAGAAATCGTTCCGCGGGCAGCACTTCCAGATCATGGACACGGTGGCGATGCACCTCATGGTGGACGCCAACGACGTCAAGGAGGGCGTCCTGGACTCGCAGGCCAACCTGGACCTGCTGGAGAGCTTCATCAGCGAGGGCGGGCGCCAGGCCATCATCTTCTGCAACCAGGACTTGCTGCCCCCTCCCGATGGCGAGTGCTGCCAGTTTGGCTGCCAGCGCCGCCACCTGGCGCACCCCCTCTGCGAGCTCCACAGGCAGACGGCGTCTCTGACGGAGTCGGATTTCTTTCTGCAGACAGCGGTCGTGTGCTGCCCGTCGACTACGTCAAGGACTCCGGCGAGCTGCTGCCGCGCGTCGTGGTGACGGACGGCAACGACCACGGCGTCTGCGGCCGCTGCGTGGCCATCTACCGCTCCAAGCTCACCGCGCTGGAGGAGAAGACTCTCTTCGACGTGGGTGTTCGCCCCGCCGTCTGCTGTTCCCCGTCTCGCCATCTGCTGCAACTCGTCGCTGATCTCTTCCAGGACTTGTACTTCTCGCCCTTCGAGGTGGAGCCGGGGTCCACGACGGTGGCGGCTCTGTCCGACCTCGTGGCCCGCCTCAGCGTCCCCGCGCTCAGCGCGTCCAAGAACTGGGGCGACCTGCCGGACAAGCCCCGAGAGCAGTTCCTTTACAACTTCAACAACTTCGCCCACTTCTTGTCCTGTTCGTGCGAGCCACGTGTTGTACCTACTGCAGGCCTCCATCAAGACCGCTTCTGACTTCCCTTGCCCGGCGCAGGCACCTCCACGGACCTCGACCTGGGCCTGCGGTTCCCCATGCCCGACGACAGCATCCTCCGCGAGCTGTCGACCCCCCAGAAGGTGAAGGAGGCCTCCGTCAAGAGGAAGGTGGTGACCGTCATCGAGCAGTACGTGCGCCAGTGGTCCGACATGATCCAGGAGGTGAGTCAAGACAAGCAGGAGCGCCTGTGGGTAGGCCGCCCGTCGTGCGCGGCGCGCGCAGGCCGCCCGCTGGCCGCGCCTGCAGGCAGGCAGCCCACCGCACGCCGCGAAGCCTTGGCGAAGCCCCGCGCCCGGCGGCGGGCAACCCCTCCGACTCCTCGCACGCGCTGTTGCCTACCATCGCCCACCTTTTCTCTTTCCTTTCTCCCGCCGATGGCGACAGGTCCTGACGGTGCGGCAGCAGATCCGGAGGGAGCGCGAGGACATCGGGCCGCGCTCCGAGCTGGTGTACTGGCGGCGCTGCCTGGCCAAGTACACCTCCATCATCGAGCACCTCAAGAGCCCCACCTGCCAGAACTTCGTCGTCATCCTGGTCCTGAGCAAAAGCAAACTGCTGGCCGTGCGTATTTCCCATGTGGCACCAGACGGAGAAAAGAGTTTAGCCGCTTCGGGATTCGAACCCACGACTTTGCTCGCAGAGATGGAAGGACCTTGACAGCGAGATCACGGAGGCCGCCAACGAGGCGGCCGACACCGTCAAGTACATCTACGGCATCCAGAGGCTGCTGGCCCCGCTCTACCAACTCGACCCGCCCAAGCTGGCGGCGCAGATCCCCAACCTCATGACGCTCATCAGGAACCTGTACTCCACGTCCAGGTTCTACAACACCACCGAGCGCCTGCAGGTCATGCTCGTCAAGGTACGGTTCAACACAAACAAAAACACCCACAAATTCAAAAACAATACGTTTTGACATAGTACAGGTGGTGTGGTGGTGTTTCAGGTGACGAATCAAATCCTCAACTCGTGCCGCGCCTACCTGACCGCCAACGGCACCTGGTCCATCTGGAAGCAGGCGAAGAGGGACGTGATCCAGAAGATGCAGGTCTGCATCCGGCTGCAGCGAGACTACGAGAAGCGATTCGAAGAGACGCGCGAGCTGGTGGCGCGGTGCCCGCTGGAAGGCACCTTCGAATGCTCCTCCATGTACATCTTCGGGAAGTTCAAGAAGTTTTGCGGCCGCCTCCTCAAAGTATGGCGCGCGAATCGGGGGAACGGAGTCGGTCGAACCGCCTTATTTGCTGGAACAGCTGATTGATGACAAACGACTGTTTGCCTGTCCAGATCGTTTACATCCTGGAGACGACGCTGCTGTACTCGGTGCTGCAATCGTCCTGCATCGAGGGCATCGAGGAGCACGCGCTCAAGTTCACCAAGATGTTCCAGCGCATCTCCAACCAGCCGTTCGACCCGCTCAACTACCGCAAGGAGGAGTTCGACGCCGAGTTCGACACGTTCAAGTGGGCGCAGGTGGAGGCGGAGGAGGCCCTGTACAAGTTCATGCGGTGCAGCTTGCAGTGCTGCCCGACCATCCACTCGGAGCTCATGCTCATCAAGAGGTTGGTGGGGACCGGCTCCATGCCGGCAGGCCGCTAGCCACCGACCGTAAGAGGTTTTAAAAACCGAATTGTGACGAAGGCGAGTCATTTAAAGACGGTTGCCCCCCGTTTGGCAGGTTCGAGAAGCTGGGCCTGGACTGCCTGGAGGTGCAGATGGCGTACGAGGACGCGCTGGACAGGTTCCTGGAGGAGATCGAGTCCGTGCGGGACCGCTACAACGACGACCGCCAGAAGCTGCTGGTGACGAGGAACCTCACGCCCATCGCGGGCCGCATTCTCTGGGCGCGCCAGTTCTTCGAGCGTATCGCCGAGCCGATGGATGCCTACCGCGTAAGCCTCTCATGGTATCACCGTTGTCAGGATGGCCGAGCGGTCTAAGGCGCTGCGTTCAGGTCGCAGTCCACTTCTGTGGGCGTGGGTTCGAATCCCACTTCTGACATACATTTTTTTTCTGGCTGGTTTAGGACCAGCCGGCTATTCAAGGCGAGAAGGCGCAGAAGGTGATCAAGCACTACAACGCCCTGGCCATGACTCTGGTGCACTACGAAATCGTCCACCATACTGCGTGGTGCAACAGCACTCAGTTGGTAAAATCTTCACACTACTTTCAAACCTGACAAAAATAAATTATTTTTATTGCTGTAATTGCTGTTTGGTGTCCGCCACAGGTCCGCGCGTGCCTCGCGGAGCCCATCCTGGCCCGCACCGCGGAGGGCAACCTGGTCGTCAACTACAACCCGTACCTGCAGGAGGTGATACGCGAGACGGAGTGCTTCTGGAGGATGGGCCTGCAGGTGCCGGAGATCGCCCAGGTTGGTGCTGCAGCCCGCATGCCGCAGGAGATACTCCAGGTCGGCTCACGCCAAGCGCACGGGGTATCGACGAGGCCGTCTCGCCGCAGGTGCTGACCTTCTGCAAGAAGCAAATCTACGAGCTGGTGGGCGCGGTGACGTCGCTCATGAAGCGCTACAAGGAGGTCCGCGCCAACGTGCCGCGCCTCTTCGCGTCGCTGATGCGCTGCAAGCTGCAGGAGCTCGAGGCCACGGTGCAGCCCGGCCTCACGTCGGTGCTCTGGACCTCCCTCACCAGCCACGAGTTCATCGCGTCCGTCAACGCCAAGCTGGACGACCTGGAGGCCTTCGTCAAGGAGGTGCGTGGCGGAGTGCGGCGAGGCCGCGGTGCGCTGGCCCGGTCTGACGGCGTGCCCTCGGCGTGCTCAGGTCTCCGACATGAAGAGCGCCCGCGTGGACGCCACCCTGGAGGCGCTGTCCGAGACGGTGCTGGTGTGGCTGCCGCCCGCCGCGGTGCCGCCCCAGGAGTTCCAGGAGAAGAACAAGGCCTTCTTGAAGAAGGTGGCGCTGGAGCTGGCGCAGAGGTCCGCCGTCGTCGAGGGCGCCGTCAAGGAGCTCATCAACCGGTTCGCGGACGTGCTGCCCGACCAGTTCGGCGACGAGCGCTACGGCTGGCTGGACACGGACAAGGCGGCGCGCACCGTCAGCTCGCAGACCAAGCTGGCCGACGTCACCCAGGAGGAAGGTGCGCGACGGCGCGGCGGTGCAGCGGCGCGGCGCAGCCAAAGCCTCGGCCAGCAGGCAGGCCTCACGCTTGCTTCCTGTTGGAACAGTGCTCCGGGAGGTGGAGAAGGTGAAGCTGGTGGACATCTCGCAGTTCTACAACGACGCCATGGACATGTTCTGCTACTTCAACGCCAAGAACATCGAGGCGCTCGTCCAGTGCAACAAGCTGTCGCTCGAGATGCTCCGCAAGCGGGCCGGCCTGTCTTTGTGCGTACACTGCGAGTTTACTGAGCACTGCGAGCACACTGTATACACTGCTGCTGCTTCGCGGCCAACCGTATGCCTTTCCCCTTCTTGCAGCCGGTCTAGTCAGACGGAGGGGGAGCAGATGACGCCGCTCTTCGCCGCGGACATGGTCCTGACCATCCCCAAGATGGTGATGATTCCCACGCTGGACGAGGCCAACACGGCCTTCAACGCCGTGGTGCTCAGCGTGGTGGAGGCGAACAAGGCGGTGCGCACGTGGGGCCTGGAGCAGCCCAAGGACCTCGACGAGACCTCGCTGGGTGGGTCGGGTTGCCTACCGCCACGGCGGGCAGGGCAACACCCTAACGGGACGCCCCATGAGTGCGACAGAGATAGAGCGACGAAAGGTCTGTTGGCAATCAGCCTGTTGAGACTGAAACAATGCCGTCTTTTGCCCACAGGCGAGATGACGACCGTGGACATCGAGACCAAGACGATGTTCAAGACCATCTCGGAGCACCGCGAAGTGAGCCGCACCACCACCGCCCTCACCGGCAACATCGTCATGCACAAGGCGGAGCTGGTGCGCCTGCTGGAGGTGAGTGCAAACAAAATTAAAAGAATGTGTACGTTTTAATTTAAAAATAACTGAGTTTACTGTCATTTCGTTTAAATTTCAGGAGAACAGCACTATTTATAGCATCCCCTTGCCGGAAACCAGCCGCCAGGAGGGCTCCATGGTACGGCCAGCAGACGGTGGCTCGCCGTTACCGCGGTGGGGGATGCGGTCCGTGACCGTGGTCTTGTTGGCCAGGGCCCGGTGCGCATGGTGCCGCTGTGGGACGACTACCGCGTCCCGATCCTCGAGTCCTTCGTCAACGCCGAGCCCCTCATCGTGGACATCCGGGACCGCCTCATGTGCTACAAGGCGATCCTGGACGACATCGAGGCGCTGCCCGCCGTGCACGTGGTGGGCGCGTTCCAGATCAACTTCAGTGAGTCCCGGAGGTGCCCGGTCACAGTGCCACGGCGCTGCGAAGTCCTCGCGTTCGTCAGCGGGCCCGTCCCGTCGCAGACCCCGCTCGGGAGGGCCTGGTGGTGGAGGCGCAGGCCTGGAAGAACACGCTGGGCCGCCTGCTGTGCCAGCACCACGGCGTGCGCCTCGAGGAGAACGTCAAGTTCATCGCGGACCACACGACGCTGCTGCAGCGCCAGATCAAGGACCTGGACGACGTGCGCCTGGCCATGGCCGCCCTCCACGAGGTGGCCGAGAACTTCATCCGCCTGGACCTCAGCCTCATGGAGCTGGAGGACCTGTACGCCCTGCTGACCAGCTTCCAGGTGCGAGGCCGTCGACGGCGTGCTCCCTCGCACCGCCATGGCGCACGCCACGCCACTGTACGCCGTGCTGCCGCACTGCTTCTAGGTGGCGGTGAGCCGCGAGGACATCGACAGCATCAACACGCTGCGCTACACGTTCAGCAACATGGTGGCCCTGGTGAGCGGATAGAACGCAGCCGCCTGGAGACTTTCGCGGGTTCGAATACCGGCTTCTCCAACGCCCCTTTCCAGGCGATGAAGACCCAGGTGGAGCTGTGCGCGGTGCAGGACCCGTTCCGAGACGAGCTCATAAGACAGGTGGAGACGTTCAAGAGGGACGTGGACAAGTTCGACTACGACTTCGAGACGGCCGGGCCCCTGGTGCCGGACATCCCGGCGCGCGAGGCGAGCGATCGGTAGGTCGCCAAGCTGGCGGTGTCCACGTCGAGGTCCACGTCGAGGGGACGCCTTTGCGGCGGTCAGCGAGTTTCTCACGCCGCGCCGCGCGCCTCGACAGCGTGCTCATCATGCAGGGCCGTCTGGACGACCTGCTGACGCGCCACGAGATCTACCAGAGCGGCGAGGAGCTGTTCGGCCTCGCCGTCAACGAGTACCCCACGCTGATGCAGAAGAAGAGGGACTTCACGCTGCTGCAGAAGCTCTACTCGTTGTACAATTCGGTGGGTGGTCTGCGGCCGTTCAAATTATTTTTTCGCAATGCGCTTTAATGTTTACCTCAAGGACAACAGCAGCTGCCATGGTGCATTATTTTAAAAATATTGAGTGGCCAAACGAAAAACGGAGTTTTTAACACTTGCCTGACTTGAATGTTGCAGGTCATGATGACCGTCGAGGGCTACTACGACATCGTGTGGTCCGAAGTGAACATCGAGTCCATCATGGAGGAGCTGGCCGAGTTCCAGAACAGGTCAGTCCCATTATGATTGCAAAGTGCCCCGTGGCGTCTCACAAAAGCGCTTTCCACAAGCTGTGTGCTTCGACCGTCGCGCGATCCCCGGTCGTTTGAGAGCGGCATGAAAAAGACATAGTTGGCGGGGTTGAAGGCCCTGTCGGGGCCCTGCGCCACCCCGCCACCCATACGCCACCCCGCGCCGCCCGTGTGCCAGGCCGTAAAAGTATTTTACAGCAACGGAAACATGCATGGGCCGTTGCAGGGGATGGGATGGGGCCAGGCGTCGTCGTCGTGGTGCACGGCAAGGGAAAAAGGAAACATGAAAATTGACGTGCACGTGCGCGAGTTGAACCCAGCCCACAGTGGGCCAGAAGACCGGTGGAGGCGGCCAAAACTCTAGACGCGTTTCGAGCTCCAGAGTCAAACTGAAAATGTGACCCCACCTATGGATAGCTCTTCGAACGAGGAATCCATTGATGGGGTCAAACGCTCGGTTCGAGTCCAGTTTAGCGACTCTGAAGCTCGAAACGCGTCTAGAGTTTTGGCCTCCTCCACCGGTCTTCTGGCCCCTTGTGCAGCCCCTGCGCATAATCCTCCAACTCTCACTGCGGTGCGCGCGGTGCGCATTGCCTGCAGGTGCCGGCGACTGCCGAAGGGGCTGCGGGAGTGGCCGGCTTACCTGGACCTCAAACAGATGATCGACGACTTCAACGGCACGTGCCCGCTGCTGGAGATGATGACCAACAAGGCCATGAAGGACCGCCACTGGCGGCGCCTGGAGGACCTCACCAACTGCAGCTTCGACGTGGAGAGCGAGACGTTCACGCTCAAGACTCTACTCGAGGCGCCCCTGCTGCAGCACATCGATGACGTCACGGTCAGCTCGCACGTTCGGTGGTTCAAATCCCGCGGAATTCCTTTTTTTGTTCAACTTTTTTCTAACAATTGTGTTTGATTTCGGAATGAGTGCAGGACATTTGCTTGGGCGCCGTCAAGGAGCGCGAGATCGAGGCCAAGATGCTGCAGGTGAAGGCCGACTGGGCCGTGGTCGACTTGATGTTCGTCGAGTTCAAGTCGCGCGGCGAGCTGCTGCTGCGCGGCACGGAGGCCGGGGAGATCATCGCCCAGCTCGAGGACAGCCTCATGGTCATGGGGTCCTTGCTGTCCAACCGGTAAGAGCGACGCGTCGGCTCTACCCCCGCCTGTCACGCTTTTCGGGTCCACTTGTTGATTCGTGCCCTTCCCCAGGTACAACACGTACTTCAAGAAGGAGATTCAGAACCTCGTGTGGAAGCTGAGCACCACGTCGGAGATCATGGAGCAGTGGATGGTGGTGCAGAACCTGTGGGTGTACCTGGAGGCCGTCTTCAGCGGCGGCGACATCGCCAAGGAGCTGCCCGCCGAGACCAAGAAGTTCAACGTGAGTGACGCAAAGTGCCAGGCCGTGCTCGGGGCCAAACTAACCGACCCACCGTGGCCCCCGGCAGACCATCGACAAGTCCTGGGTCAAGATCATGACCCGCGCCCGCGAGGTGAAGAACGTCCTGGAGGTGTGCGTCGGCGACGAGAGCATGCAGCAGCTGCTGCCCTTCCTGCTGGAGCAGCTCGAGTCCTGCCAGAAGTCGCTGTCCAGGTCGGCTCCGCGCTCCGCGAAGTGCCGCGGGAAGGTAGCCGGCGTGATGGGGAGTTGAACCCGTTCCTCGCGGTCCGGCCGGCAGGTACCTGGAGCAGAAGCGACTGCAGTTCCCGAGGTTCTTCTTCGTGTCGGACCCCGCCCTGCTGGAGATCCTCGGCCAGGCTTCGGACACCCACACGATACAGGAGCACCTGCTGAACGTCTTCGAAAACGTGGCTGAGGTACTTCAATTGCTTTGCAAAGACAAACTCGTTTTTGTTTCCTTTGCGCTGATGTGCTCGTCTCCCTCGGCCAGGTGGAGTTCCACGAGAAGGAGTACGACAAGATCCTGAGCATCAAGTCGCGCGAGGGCGAGACCATCCCGCTGGACACGCCCATCATGGCGACGGGCGGCGTGGAGGTGTGGCTCAACAAGCTGCTGGCCATGGTGCGCCAGTCCGTCAACACGGTCATCTGCAACGCCGTGGCCAACGCGCAGGACCCCGAGTACGACGCCATCCCCTTCATCGAGTCCATCCCCGCGCAGGTACCGCGCAGGTTGGAAGGAAACTTTGATAGCTTTTTGGGCTGACGAGCCCCCCGGGACTGACACGCCGCGCGCGCCGGCCGCCAGGTGGCGCTGCTGCACATCCAGATGGTGTGGACGGAGAGGGCGGAGCGCGCGCTGCGGGACGCGCGGCTCAACCGGCAGGTCATGCCCACGGCCAACCAGTTCTTCCTCGACCTGCTCAACCTCCTGATCGACCAGACGACGCGCGACCTGTCCCACTTCACGCGCGTGCTCTACGAGACCCTCATCACCATCCACGTGCACCAGAGGGACATCTTCGACGAGCTGTGCCGCCTGCACATCAAGTCCCCGCAGGACTTCGAGTGGCTCAAGCAGGCGCGCTTCTACTTCGACGAGGAGGCGGAGCACGTCAACGTGTGCATCACGGACGTCACCTTCGTGTACCAGAACGAGTACCTGGGCAACACGGACCGCCTCGTCATCACGCCGCTCACGGATCGCTGCTACATCACGCTGGCGCAGGCCATCGGTACAAGCCCGAGGATTGTTTACACTTTTTGCGCCCTGGCAGTGATTCGAATGCGTTCGACTGGATTGTGTCTTCGCGGCAGGCATGCACATGGGCGGCGCGCCGGCGGGTCCGGCCGGCACGGGCAAGACGGAGACCACAAAGGACATGGGCAAGGCCCTCGGCAAGTACGTGGTGGTGTTCAACTGCTCGGACCAGATGGACTTCCGCGGGCTGGGCCGCATCTTCAAGGGCCTGGCCCAGTCCGGGTCCTGGGGCTGCTTCGACGAGTTCAACCGCATCGACCTGCCGGTGCTGAGCGTCGCGGCGCAGCAGATCTACATCGTGCTCACGGCCAGAAAGATGCGCCAGACGCACTTCTTGTTCAGGTCGGTCGAGCGGCGGGTTCGATCCCCGGCGCCTGCCGTACTTTTTCGCGGGGTAGAGCTGACGTCGGAGTTGTGTTTGCAGCGACGGCGACAACGTGTCCCTCAACACCGAGTTCGGCCTCTTCATCACCATGAACCCAGGCTACGCTGGTCGCCAGGAACTGCCCGAAAACCTTAAAATCCAGTTCAGGTCCGTCGCCATGATGGTCCCAGATCGCCAGGTACTTGGTTTGGGAAAACTGTTCTGCAGCCTACGTAGCTCTGATAGAGACCGAAGAAAAATAGAGGCTTGGGCGGTAGTTGAACCCGGAACCTTGTCCGCCCAGATCATCATGCGCGTCAAGCTGGCGTCGTGCGGCTTCCGCGACAACATCCTGCTGGCCAGGAAGTTCTTCACCCTGTACAAGCTGTGCGAGGACCAGCTCAGCAAGCAGGTGCACTACGACTTCGGCCTCAGGAACATTCTGTCCTGCCTGCGCACCCTGGGCGCCCAGAAGCGCGCCAACCCCCAGGACGCCGAGGAGACCACCGTGATGCGCGTGCTCAGGTAGGTCCGCGGGTTCGAATCCCCGCGGTTTTCCTCTCTTTCTCCAGACAGTGCTGCGAGTGTGTTCGCTGCAGGGACATGAACCTCTCCAAGCTGGTGGACGAGGACGAGCCGCTGTTCCTGACGCTGATCGAGGACTTGTTCCCGGGGATCAAGCTGCCGACGCGCTCCTACAAGGACCTGCAGGACGCCATCGCGAGCGCCGTGGAGCAGAGCGGGCTCGTGAACCACCCCGGCTGGAACCTCAAGCTGGTGCAGGTGGGGAGGGGCGTCAAACCACCTCGTGCAGTGCAGGCGAGCTTGTGTCGGGCCCGAAACGGCATACGACCAGTGTGTGCTAGCGTAGGGTGGGGTAAGGGAGGGCATGCAGTCCGCCCGCGCAACAGGCGTGCGCCGCGGGCTGGCCTACCCCGCGATGGAAGGGGCTGGCGCGGGCTGATCAGAGGCGGATCCAGAGCCGGTCTCAGGGAGGGGAAAAGTACCTAGCACTTCTTGCCCACTTACAAGGGCAAAGAGTTGCTTTTGCCCACCTTTCAGGCGGCCATCTACAGTCCAATGGGGGTAGATTGTCCTGTTATCCTCCACTGGATTGGATCCGCGCTCAGGCGCGGATACAGGGAGGGGGCAATGGGGTTTTTGCCACACACCACCATAGCCGCTAGCTAGCCACCTGAAAGGTAGGCAAAAAGTGCTACTTTGCCCCCCCCCCGCCACCTCTGGATACTCCGCCACTGTCCGCGCTTGGGGCTGGCGGGCTGACGGCGGCCTCACTGTGCTGCAGCTGTACGAGACGTCGCTGGTGCGGCACGGGCTGATGATCGTGGGCCCCACTGGCGCGGGCAAGACGGCCTGCATCCAGACGCTGATGAAGGCCCTGACCGAGTGCGGCCACCCCCACAAGGAGATGCGGATGAACCCCAAGGCCATCACGGCGCCGCAGATGTTCGGCCGCCTGGACGTCGCCACCAACGACTGGACGGACGGCATCTTCTCCACGCTGTGGCGCAAGACCTTGCGAGTACGCATCGCATCAGCAGCGGTTTCCACTGCTCGCTTCGTTTTACACACACAAATGTTTATGTACAATTTTGTACGAGACATCAAAGTTTTTTTGTGTACACGAATTTTGTGTACAAAATTTCTAAGAAATCTGCTCATATTTCCCCATTTTTGTGCAAAATCGCGTCGAAATTTGTACGAAAAGTTCGTGTGCACAAAAAACTGTGATGTCTCGTACAAAATTTGTACAAAAACATTAGGGTGCATAGGTTTTGAATCGGAGTGATTATTAACACGCAAGAGAAACGTGCACACGGTAAACGAAAAGCTCGGATTCCGAGTCGCCGCAAGTATGCACTTTTCTCTTTTTGGAGAGAGGGCTCGAACTTGGCGCGCGAACTCCGCGCGCACCAAAGTCGATCCATCGCTTGCCGGTTTGTGGCCCAGCAGAAGCGGTGGCGACGGCGCAACGTGCTTGTTTACGTTTCAAAAAGTGTTCCGTGAGTGACTCGCGGGTCAGTGGCAAAATGGCTTCGCAGTGCTCTAAAGCCTATGTCTGGGTGTGCCTGGAGCTTCATGTCATGTCTATTTTGTATCGATTTGTAGTCAGTAGGTGAGTGAAAATTGGCCGTCGACCGGAACATAACCTCTACTCTGACACGGCAGCGCCGCTCCGGGTAGTTAATTGATTCATACATTTAAACCATGACAGGTAGAGGGGTGTGGAAAGCAAGACGATTGTAGTTTAAACCGAGATCTACAATCGCCTCGCTTACTATACGTATCTAATTTCAACGGTTTAGCAGCCATGACCAAAATATCGCTCCGCACGGAGCCTTGGCTCGGTTTTGGGTGGACGTAGAGGCCTATATACTTCGTGATTAGGTATCCAGCTAGTCTCGAAAACCGAATCGCAGGACTCGGAATCCGAAATTTTCGTTTAAGTTACCGAGGAAAATAGTGGACGTTTGGAATGACCCCGCTGTCGCCGCCAGGTCAAGAAGACGGAGACCACCTGGCTGGTGCTGGACGGCCCCGTGGACGCCGTGTGGATCGAGAACCTCAACTCCGTCCTGGACGACAACAAGACCCTGACGCTGGCCAACGGCGACCGCATCGTCATGGCGCCCAACTGCAAGCTGCTGTTCGAGCCGGACAACCTGGACAACGCGTCCCCCGCCACCGTGTCCAGGATGGGCATGGTGTTCATGTCCTCGTCCTGCCTGCCCTGGGGCCCCATCCTGGAGGCGAGTGGCCGACCACCCTGGCGGCGCTCTGTGTGAAGAGCAAGTGCCTTGAACCCGCACGCTTCGCTCGCTCTGCTCACAGGGCTGGCTGCTGAAGCAGCACAAGGACGACGCCGCCGCGCTGCGCCCGCTGTTCGAGGCCCTGTACGAGGAGACGCAGCGATTCCTGCAGTCGCGCCTGCACCCCAAGATGAACATCCTGGAGGCCGTGTACATCCGCCAATGCACCGACATCCTGGAGGGGCTCATGCACCGCTACGACGAGGCCAGTGAGTATCGTCGTTCCCCCGCAGGCTCAAAAAAGAGACCAAATTGCTGGTATTCGAACCCGCGACCTGCCGCAGGGACGGCGCACCAGACCGTGAAGGAGACCAACGACCGCGAGCGGGAGCCCATCGACGCGACGCACCTCGAGCGCATGTTGCTGTTCTCCATCATGTGGAGCCTGGGCGCGGTGCTGGAGCTCGACGACCGCGACCAGCTCGAGGAGTTCGTGCGCAGCCACGAGTCCGCGCTGCGCTGGCCCAAGACGGAGGTAAGAGGGAGTCCGAAAAAAAGCATTTATTTCATTAAAAAGCTTTTTTCCATCCAGTTCTAGATCCAGTTTCCCCCCACCCCGTTGACGGCTGGCTCCTCATTGCCCCTGCAGGAGGGCGAGTCCCTCTTCGAGTACATGGTGTCGGCCAACGGGCAGTGGCAGCACTGGCGCGAGCACGTGGACGAGTACGTGTACCCGGACGACTCGGTGCCCGACTACGCCTCCATCCTGGTGCCCAACGTCGACAACGTGCGCACCGCCTTCCTGATCGACAACAGCGCCCGGCACGGCAAGGCGGTGCTGCTGATTGGTCAGTGAAGCCGCCTCGCCCCGCGCCCCGCAAACTCCGGATTCTTTCAAGTGTAACTCTGGCATCGTTTGTCCACAGGCGAGCAGGGCACGGCGAAGACGGTGATGGTGCAGGGCTACATGTCCAAGTACGACCCGGAGGAGCACCTTTCCAAGGGCTTCAGCTTCAGCTTCGCGACGACGCCGAACATGGTCCAGGTGAGTCTGCGCGGCAGGCGACCCACAGTGGGCCAGAAGACCGGTGGAGGAGGCCAAAACCCTAGACTTGGTTTGGGGTCCAGAGTCGCTGAATGTGACTCGACCCGAACGTGTGACCCCACCAATGGATTGCTCTCCGAATGAGGAATCTATTGGTGGGGGTCACACGCTCGGTTCGAGGCCTGCTTAGCGACTCTGGAGCTCAAAACGCGTCTAGAGTTTTGGCCGCCTCCACCGGTCTTCTGGCCCACTGTGCGACCCAGTTCGTGGGCCTGGACGCCTACACGGTTCCCGTCATCGCCGTCCTCTCCGCAGCGCACCATCAGAGAGCTACCTGGACAAGCGCGTGGGCACGACGTACGGCCCGCCCAACGGCCGCAGGATGACGCTCTTCATCGACGACATCAACATGCCCGTCGTCAACGAGTGGGGCGACCAGGTAACGGCCGAGGCCGCACGCCGCAGCCTCCCGCCGTCAGCACCGCGCGCCCCTCAACGACCGCCCCCCTCGCCCAGGTCACCAACGAGATCGTGCGCCAGCTCATGGAGATGCGCGGCTTCTACTCGCTGGACAAGCCGGGCGACTTCTCCATCATCCAGGACCTGCAGTACGTGGCCGCCATGATCCACCCGGGCGGCGGTCGCAACGACATCCCGAACCGCCTCAAGCGCCAGTTCTGCATCTTCAACTGCACGCTGCCCTCCAACAACTCGCTGGACAAGATCTTCGGCGTCATCTGCCGCGGCTACTTCTGCAAGAGCCGCTTCCGGCGCGCCATGGTGGAGTTCATGCCGAGCCTGGTGGAGCTGACCCGCATCGCCTGGCAGCGCGTCAAGGGCCGCATGCTGCCCACGCCCGCCAAGTTCCACTACGTGTTCAACCTGCGGGACATCTCGCGCATCTGGCAGGGCATGCTGACGATCCAGGACGCCGAGCTGCGCGACAAGGCCACGGCCCTCAAGCTGTGGCGCCACGAGTGCACGCGCGTCATCGCCGACAAGCTGACCACCGCCGAGGACCGCGAGTGGCTGAGCGACACGCTGCGCACCACGGCCGAGGAGATGCTCGGCGAGGACTTCGCGCACTTCTCCGAGGAGGAGTGCTTCTTCGTGGACTTCATGCGAGAGGCGCCGGACCCCACCGGGGACGAGCCGGACGACGCGGCCCTGGAGCCGCCCAAGATCTACGAGGAGGTGCCAGAGTGCGTGTCGTCCGCGCTCAAACGCTAGCTATCCAAGCCGCCTGGCTGCTGCACTGCTAACTTACCGTTACCCTGTGCAGCTGGGACTACCTCAAGAAGTGGCTCGTGTTCTACATGGACGGCTACAACCAGACGGTGCGCTCCGGCTTCCTGGACCTGGTGCTGTTCCACGACGCCATGATGCACCTGTGCATCATCTCGAGGATCATCCGCGCGCCGCGGGGGTCCGCCCTGCTGGTGGGCGTGGGCGGCTCCGGCAAGCAGTCCATCACCAAGCTGGCCTCCTTCATCGCCAACTACAAGTCGTACCAGATCACCATCACGCGCACCTACAACGTCAGCAACCTGCTGGACGACCTCAAGTACCTCTACCGCCTGGCCGGCCTGGAGGGCAAAGGGGTGCGTCTGGCGGCGTAGTCTTTGTTGTTTCATTGAAAAGATAACAATTTAAAATGCGATATGCTTTATGAAATTGCCTCGCAGGTGAGCTTCATCTTCACCGACAACGAGATCAAGGACGAGAGCTTCTTGGAGTACATCAACAACGTGCTGAGCGCCGGCGAGGTGGCCAACCTGTTCCCGCGCGACGAGATGGACGACATCCTGGACCAGCTGATCCCCATCATGAAGAAGCTGGAGCCGAAGCGGCCGCCCACCCGCGACAACCTCAACGCCTTCTTCCTGGCCAGGGCGCGCGCCAACCTCCACGTCGTGCTCTGCTTCTCGCCGGTCGGTCCCGGGTTCGACTCCCCTTCTTTTTCGTTTTAACCAGTTTTAATTTTGCGCGTCCGTTTTTTCACCAGGTCGGCGAGAAGTTCCGAACGCGCGCCCTCAAGTTCCCGGGCCTGATCTCGGGCTGCACCATCGACTGGTTCTTCCGGTGGCCGAAGGACGCCCTGGTGGCCGTGTCGCGGCACTTCCTGGCCAACTTCGACATCGTGTGCTCGCCCGAGGTCAAGGAGTCCCTCATGGACCTCATGGGGGAGGTGCAGGACGGCGTGGCCGAGTGCTGCACGTCGTACTTCGATCGGTGAGTGCCGCCCCGCTGTGCCCACCTCGCCGTCGTGACGTCGTTCTGACGCGCGCCTGACTCAGGTACCGGCGGCAGACCCACGTGACCCCCAAGTCGTACCTCTTCTTCCTGGACGCCTACAAGAGCGTGTACGCGGAGCGCAACGCCAGCATCGCGTCCATGCAGTCGCGCATGAGCTCGGGCCTCAGCAAGCTGGCCGAGGCCGTGGTGTCCGTGGAGGAGCTGCAGAAGGAGATGCGCGTCATGGAGAAGGACTTGGCCATTTCCACCGAGAAGGCCGACGAGGTTAGTTGGCCAGCGCGGACTATTTAATTTTCCAGGTGAAAGGCCAATGAGGTCAGTTGGCCGGCGGTCCGTTTAATTTTCCAGACGAAATGCTTTTTAGGGGCAATTCTGACAGTGGTGCGCGTCCCACAGGTGCTGGCGGCCGTGACGAAGCAGGTGACGGAAACCGAGAAGGTGAAGGCCGACGTGCAGGCCGTGGCGGCGAGCCAGCAGGAGCTGGTGGACGCCATCGACGCGGACCGCGCCATCGCCAACGAGCGCCTGGAGGTGGCCAAGCCCGCCCTGGAGGCCGCGGAGCAGGCGCTGCTCACCATCAAGGCCACGGACATCGCCACCGTGCGGAAGCTGGCCAAGCCGCCGTACCTCATCACCGTCATCATGGACGTGGTCATGGTGCTGTTCGGCAGCAAGCTGACCCCCGTGAAGCCCGACCCCGAGAGGCAGTTCATGGTGCCGTCCTGGGGCGAGGCGCTCAAGGTGGTGGCCGATGTCAACTTCCTGAAGCGCCTGCAGCAGTTCCCCAAGGACATGATGAACGAGGAGACCATCGACCTGATGGGGCCGTACCTCAACAACCCGCTGTACACGTACGAGAACGCGCGCGCCGCCTGCGGCAACGTGGCCGGGCTGCTGTCCTGGACCATCGCCATGGCGCAGTTCTACGGCATCAACAAGGAGGTGCTGCCGCTCAAGGCCAAGGTGGCCGTGGCCGAGGCAAAGCTGCAGACCGCCATGCAGAAGCTGGCCGAGGCGGAGGCCCTGCTCGCCGAGAAGGAGAAGGACCTCAACATCCAGAAGGAGCGGCACGCCGAGGCCATGGCCGGCAAGCAGGTGGTGCAGGACCAGGCGGACCAGTGCTCCGAGAAGATCAACCTGGCCCAGGGGCTCATCAGCGGGCTGGCCGGCGAGCGCATCCGCTGGCAGGAGCAGCTGGGGCTGTTCTGGTCCGAGATCCAGCGCAACGTCGGCGACGTGCTGCTGTTGACGGGCTTCCTGTCGTACGCCGGGCCCTTCAACCAGGAGTACCGCACCTTGCTGCAGCGCAACTGGCTGGACGAGCTGATGCAGCGCCGCATCCCCGTGTCGGGCAACGTCAAGGTCACGGACTGCCTCACGGACCAGGCCACGGTACGGTAGGGTACACTGGGAACGAGTGTCCGCCAAGCCTGCAGTGGGACATGAGCCTCTCTGCCTCGCCAGACGTCGGAGTGGAACCTGCAAGGGCTGCCCAACGACGAGCTGTCCATCCAGAACGGCATCATCGTCACCAAGGCCTCACGGTTCCCCCTGCTCATCGACCCGCAGGGCCAGGGCAAGCAGTGGATCAAGAACAAGGAGAAGGACTACGACTTGCAGGTGAGTGTGCACTGAAAATTACTGGCTCGTTACAGGAGGGCTTGGACCCCAGATTGATGGGACGCAATGCCCACTCAGACCCACAATGCAAAGCAAGAGCGTCCCAACCATTCCGTTTCATTCAATTTTACTTGTGAGCTCACTGACTCTTCGTGTGCTCTAGATAACGTCACTGAACCACAAGTACTTCCGCAACCACCTGGAGGACTGCTTGGGGCTGGGCCGGCCGCTGCTCATCGAGGACGTGCTGGAGGAGCTGGACCCGTGCCTGGACAACGTGCTGGAGAGGAACTACATCAAGGTTGCCTCCACGTACAAGGTAAGTTGTGCGACCTGTTGTGTTCACTGCGGCGGCATGGAATATTTTTTTCCTAACGATCGTGTGTGGAGCAGGTCAAGGTTGGCGACAAGGAGGTGGACGTGAACACGGCCTTCAGGCTCTACATCACCACCAAGCTGCCCAACCCGTCGTACACGCCCGAGGTGGCGGCGCGCACCTCCATCATCGACTTCGCCGTCAACCTCAAGGGCCTCGAGGACCAGCTGCTGGGCCGCGTCATCCTCACGGAGAAGAGGGAGATGGAGATGGAGCGGATCAACCTGGTGACGGGCATCACGGAGAACAGGAGGAAGATCCAGAACCTCGAGGCGAACTTGCTGCTCAAGCTGACCACGGTGCAGGTAGGCGATCGTTGATGGATTGAAGCATTTGTTTAATTAATTGTGTTCGAAATTTAAATGTTTTTAACTCGTGTTTGTGTTTTTTTTTTTGTGTGTAGGGGTCTCTTGTGGATGACCCGAGTGTCATGGAGATGCTCAACGTGACCAAGAACACGGCACAGGAAGTGCAAAAGAAACTCGCGGTGAGGCGGTAGATTCCTCTGTTCGAAGTTCTGAGAAAAGGGAACTTTCCCCCGCTTCCGCTGTGGCCACTTCCGCGCGTCCTGGAGTGCTGGGCTCGCTGTGCAGGTGGCGGACGAGACCGAGAAGAAGATCAACGCGGCCCGCGAGGAGTACCGGCCCGTGGCCGCGCGGGGCTCGGTGCTGTACTTCCTCGTCGTGGAGATGGCTTCCGTCAACTGCATGTACCAGACGTCCCTCACGCAGTTCCTGGAACGCTTCGACATCTCGATGGAGCGGTAAGGAGTGGAAGGAAATGATTGGAAGTTTTAAAGAAAATCTTAAAAGGGATAAATGGATTTGTTTTAATGACACCCTCTTGCTTGCTCCGCAGGTCGCAGAAGAACCCCATCACCGCCAAGCGTATCGCCTTCATCATTGACTACCTGACGCTGGACGTGTTCCGGTTCAAGTGCCGCGGCCTCTACGAGAACGACAAGTTCCTCTTCGTGTTGCTCATGGCCCTCAAGGTGGACCTGCAGACGGGCCACATCTCACCGGAGGAGTTCCAGACCTTCCTCAAGGGTGAGTCGCAGCAGTGGCGTGGTGGGCGTGGTGGGTGTGAGGCGTGGTGGTGGGCGGCGTGTTGGGTCTGGTAGGTGTGGAAGGCGTGATGGTGGGCTTGGTGGGTGTGGTGGGTGGGCGTCGTGAGTGTGGTGGGCGTGGTGGTGTGGTGGGTGCTGTTGGCGTGGTGGGTGCTGACACTTCCTCCGTCCGGCAGGTGGCGCGGCCCTGGACCTCAAGTCCGTGGACCCCAAGCCCTTCCGGTGGATCACGGACACGACGTGGCTGAACCTGGTGCAGCTGTCGCAGCTCAAGCACTTCGCCAGCATCCTGGGCCAGGTGGTGGCCAACGAGAAGGGGTGGCGCGCGTGGTACGACAAGGAGGCCCCCGAGAACGACGTCTTTCCGGACGGGTACCATTCGCTGGACGTGTTCCGGAAGCTGCTCGTCGTCCGGTGAGTGGGGCGGGGCGGACAGGGGCGGCACAGTGGCGCCCCAATTTTAAATTCAGATGCGGCAGCAACAAAAGGCTCCCTGGCGCGCGCTTCCAGACGCTTCCAGCTGATTTCCACTTTTATACCCGCGAGCCCACTGCCCATTCTAAATGCACATGCTACACTGTGTCCTGCCTGTCCTGCCGGCCGCAGTGCGTTCCTGCCCGACCGCACCCTGGCGCAGTCCCGCAAGTACGTGGTGTCCTCGCTGGGCCCCAAGTTCGCCGAGCCCGTCATCCTGAACCTGGACGCCATGCTGGCCGAGTCGCGGCCCCTCACGCCCATGGTGTGCTTCCTGTCCATGGGGTCGGACCCCACGCCGGGCATCGAGGCGCTCGCCAAGCGCTCGGGCGTGCCCTGCCGGAACATCTCCATGGGGCAGGGCCAGGAGGTGCACGCGCGCAAGCTGGTGCAGGCCTCCATGGAGGAGGTACGACGGCGTGCGTGAGGCTTGCGCCCGACCACGGGACGGCAGTTCACTGTCCCTGCTGTGTGGCTCTGGCAGGGAGGCTGGGTGCTGCTGCAGAACTGCCATCTGGGGCTCGAGTACATGGTCGAGCTCATGACCCTGCTCAACGAGACCGAGACGGTGGACCCCAACTTCAGGCTGTTCATCACCACCGAAGTGTCGCCGCTGTTTCCCATCAGCTTGCTGCAGATCTCCATCAAGTTCACCAACGAGCCGCCACAAGGTGCGCAGGCTGACTGTTTATCACTCGTATCTTTGGAATTTGCGAGACTTTGCTTGGAAGACTTACACTGGCATGTCTGCAGGCATCCGCGCCGGCCTCAAGGCCACGTACTCGTCGATGGACCAGGAGCTGCTGGAGTACACGTCCATGCCGCAGTGGATCCCGCTCTTGTTCACCGTCTCCTTCCTGCACACCGTCGTCCAGGAGCGGCGCAAGTTCGGCCCCCTCGGCTGGAACATCCCCTACGAGTTCAACTCGTCTGATTGGTGGGTTTCGCCTCGCCACGCGCGTTCCCGTCCTTTCCTGCTTTTCTTTCGCCTCTACGTGGCAGTGGCTCTGCAGGTACTCGTCGACGCTGTTCATCCAGAACCACCTGGAGGACATGGACCCCAAGCGCGGCATCAGCTGGAGCACGGTGCGCTACATGATCGGCGAGGTCATGTACGGCGGCCGCGTCACGGACGACCTGGACAAGCGCCTGCTCAACACCTTCGCCAAGGTGCGCATCAGATTGGCTGGGCTTTTGGGGACCCTAGGAAGCCAGAAGGAACAGCCCCACGGGGCTAATTAATGGCATACTAATAAATGGCATACTCATGACAAAACGCGAGTTTGTGCGCAGGTGTGGTTCTCGGACAAGCTGTTCGAGGAGGACTTCGTGTTCTACAAGGGCTACCCGGTCGTCAAGTACCCCCAGCTGGAGCAGTACCTCGCCCACATCGAGGAGATGACCCCCACCGACCCGCCCATGGTCTACGGCCTGCACTCCAACGCCGACATCACGTGTGTACCTGCACCGCCTCACAGTGGACCAGAAGACCGGTGCCGGCGGCCAAAACTCTAGACGTGTCTTGAGTTGCAGAGTCGCTAATCAGGACTCGAACCGAACGTGTGACCCCACCAATGGATTCCTCGTTCGGAGAGCAATCCATAGGTGGGGTCACACGTTCGGTTCGAGTCCCATTTAGTCACTCTGGGGCTCAAAACGCGTCCGGGATTTTGACCGCCTCCGCCGGTCTTCTGGCCCACTGTGCGCCTGCACCGCCTGCCTCGATGCAGACGCGTCGAGACAAATAGCTAATGGCCGGCGCCGGGCTTGGAACCAGGTACCAGACGAGCATGACGACGCGGACGCTGAGCACGATCGTGTCGGTGCAGCCCAAGGACTCGTCGGGGGGCTCGGGCGAGACCCGGGAGCAGGTGGTGACGCGGCTCGTGCTCGGCATGCAGGAGTCCCTCCCCGCCGACTACGACCCCTTCCAAGTCTCGCAGAGGCAAGCGCCTGCAAGCGCCTCACCCTTCCCTCCCTCTCCTTCTCTGTCTGGCCCACTTCTCATGCTCCGATTTGGCGCCGGCCCGCAGGCTCAAGGCCATGAACCACCTGGCGCCCATGAACATCTTCCTGCGGCAGGAGATCGACCGCATGCAGAAGGTGATCGGCACGGTCCGGAACACGCTCAAGGACCTGCTGCTGGCCATCGAGGGCACCATCATCATGAGCGAGGCAGGCACCCATGGCGGTTGCGGCGGGTCCGCTTCCCTGGCGACGGATTCAGCAACCAAACCTCGGCATTTTATTCTCTATTATTTGTCTGCAGTCGCTCCGTGACGCGCTGGACAACATTTTCGACGCGCGCGTGCCCACCTCGTGGAAGCGCGGCTCCTGGGAGTCGTCCACGCTGGGCTTCTGGTACGCGGAGCTCATCGAGAGGAACCAGCAGTTCTCCTCCTGGCTGCACGACGGCCGGCCCAACATGTTCTGGATGACGGGCTTCTTCAACCCCACCGGTCAGTGCGCGAAGCAATCTTGGCGACTGCACTGAAAGTGTCACCTGTTTAACGCTGTCTTGGCGGCAGGCTTCCTGACCGCAATGCGGCAAGAGCTGACGCGCAACCACAAGGGCTGGGCGCTGGACCAGGTGGTCGTCACCAACACCGTCACCAAGTACACCAAGGAGGAGTGGAAGCCGGCGCCGGTGAGTACAGCACCGCGTGTGGACGCCGTGCGCGGCCGTCGTGGACCTGAAGGCCGTGCTTGTGCCCCCGCAGAAGGAGGAGGGCGTGGCCGTGTACGGGCTGTTCCTGGAGGGCGCGCAGTGGGACAAGCGGTCCGGCAGGCTGGTCGAGTCGCACGCCAAGACCATCTACTCCGCCATGCCCGTCATCGGCATCTCCGCCGGCCTGGTCACGGCGCCGCGCGACCCCAAGCTCTACATGGTGAGCCTCCCCGCCTCCGCGCGCAGCAGACGCCCCGAGACAGGAAGCGGCCGCGGCCGCCCCGGTGACCCTGGAGCTGGTGTTGCGGCCCCGCGTCAAGGGCACGGCCACTCGGGTGCGACAGAGACGCGCTGCGTTCAACTTGGCGGGCCGTCTTCACCTGACATGCCTAATTGGCCACATCCCCCTCCTCGCTCGGAGTGCGCCGCTCTGACCCTCCTCGGAGGAGGCCGTCGGCAGGGTGCGGCAGTCCCTCGCTCCTCCACTCGGTGGTGCTTCACTGCTAGACCGACACCCGCGTCGCGCCCCGCCTCGTCCTGGCTGTGTATCAGTGTACCCGCGCGCCACCCCGCGACCGTGTCGCTCTCCTCCCAAAAGTAAGCCGCCGCCATCGTCTCGCCGCGCGTGCGGGCAACCCAGCGCCTCTCTTTCTCGGCCGCGCAGTGCCGCCCTGTCTGTCTCTCTCTCTTTCTCCGTGTTTGCCGAGGACTCGCCGTTTATCTCGCTCTGAAGGTGCAAGGCCCCGATTCGGGGAAACGCGGGGATTCGAACCCAGTCTCTGGAGGGCGTGGCACGGCGTGGCACGCCCGCTGGGACGGATGTCCTGCACGGCCCTGGAACGAGAACGAAGGACGCGACGTTCGTTGTGGGGTCTGCGCTTTCAAAACCATTCATTGTTTGCAAAACTGTACCTCTATTTTAACCAATAATTCTGCCGAGCTTGCATTTTCCTCGTCGATGACATGCTGCGGCCACAATAATAATTACAGTTGTTGAAATGCCCCGCGTCAGCTGGTGTTGGCGCTGTGTGCAGATAACGATGAGGTTCTCTCTTCTCTCTTCTCTCTCTCTCTCTCTTTGGCGCAGACTGCGGTGTAGCGTCAATCACTCGCACTCGGTCGCTAACCTGAACACAATCGGCGACAGGACGGCAACGCTCGCCACGCCAATCCTCAATGAGAAAAAAACAGAAAAGAAGCCTTTTTCTGAGCGAAAAATGTCGTGATGTGATCTTTCCAATTAATTGTGTATTACTTTGCTATAGTGATTTTGTTGTTGTTGTTTTTTTTTTTCTGAAAAACAAATAGCCCGAGGGGGCAACCACTCTAGAAATCTTGTGTCCCCTTAGCGCTAGAAATCTCTGAGAAATCTGATATCTTGCCCCCAAAAAGGCTAAAAACAAGCTAATTTTAGGCGGAATATCAGTAAAAATCTTGCGAAATTCGACGAAATCTTTAGCCTTAAGAAATCTTGTGTCCCCAAACATCCAATGTGGTTGCCCCCTCGAAATAGCCTGTGTGCAAGTGAGTGAAGGGTGACCCTGTCTCGCTATCACCTCACCCTTTTTCGCTTTGCCTGTCCCAGTGCCCGGTCTACAAGAAGCCGCGGCGGACCGACTTGACATTCATTACCAACCTCTGGCTGACAAGCCAGAAATCGCCCGATCACTGGGTGCTGCGCGGTGTTGCCATGCTATGCGACACCAAATGAAGCTGCTGGTGCTGCTGTTCCTCTTCCTGGCCTTCATCTTCATCTGCTACCTCGTGTTCCTCAACTACCACGACAAGGGCTACGTCAAGCCGGCCAAGAAGCAGCCCGCGTAGTGCGCGACCCAGCACTCTCTACATTGGCTGTGAATGCAACGTTTCTTTTCTGTTTTTTTTTTTCTTTTTTTATGTGGAGAAGGAACGTACATGGAAAGGTTGTCACTGTGTTTGTACAATTATTGTTATGGCTGGGTACCTCTAGCCTGTTACACTTTTTTAAGAGTATTATGTAGATAACGCAGTTTTGTTAAGACTTATTCGTGTTGGTTGTGAAATATTGAAATATATGTCGCAGGTTTGTGTATACAAGTACACAGGTGAAATAGAATGAAGCCTCCGTTTTAAAATAAGAGTTTATTCTACGTGTGAAAAAATATGATTAATTAAATATTTAATATATCACAGTTGCTTTCTTGGACTTAAAGTTGATTTGTTCCCAGTTAAAATTCCAACTGAGCTTCGCTCTCCAGGTTCATCAGTCGTTACTAGGCGGTTTCCACTGAGCCGGTGTCCGCCGCAGAGTCGGCAGTGGCTTGCGGGACCACGTGGTAGTCCGTGCTGCACGTGTCGGCTGCAACGAGGGAACGCCACTGTAGTGTACTTCGTCGCTTCCCCGCGACCACTGACTCCTCTGGACGCGGACCTACCTGTGGGTTTGCTGGGCACCTTCAGGAAGAACAGGTGGATGACGGAGTGCGCGATGCCGCAGCACAGCGCCAGCCCGCTGTACATCAGGAACGACCAGGAGCCGCCGAACCACCTGTACAGTGCACCCCCCGCCAGGCTGCCGACGGCGTAGCCTGGAAAGCACCACAAAATTATTGTTGTTATTTCTTTGGGGGGGGGAAGTTGTCGTATTGATAGGCTGTTGTTGTTGTTGGGTACCGACCGAAGCCGTCGTCCATGCCGGCCACGAGGCCCTGCATGGTGGCCGAGGTGCCGGGCGGCGCGACGGCGCTGGCGTACGCCACGATGGTGGTGTAGCACAGGGCGAAGGACGGGCCCTGCAGGAACAGCTCGGTGGGCAGCAGCCACCACGGGTTGGTGGCCAGCGAGATGAGTCCCAGGCGCAGCGCGTAGAACACGAAGCTCAGCGACAGGCAGTGCTCGTAGCCGATCTTCTCGATGATTTTGCCTGCGAGACAGTTGGGCGAAATGTCAGTGCGCTGGGCTCGAGCGCCTGCGAGCTGCGGATAGGCAAGCCTGTTACGCACGCATGTGCGGCGGGTTTGGCTACCCTGGACTCTGCGGGCGCCTGCGGGTTCAGGTTTGGCTATCCCGTAATGCCCACGTGTGTGGCGGGCTTGCCTACCCTGGACTCTGCGGGCGCCTGCGATCTGTGGTAGGCAATCCTGTTATGCCCGCGTGTAAGGCGAGCTTGCCTACCCCAGGCGCCGGCGGGCTGCGGGTATGCAATCCCGTTACGCCCGCGTGTGTGGCGGGCTTGCCTACCCTGGACTCTGCAGGCGCCTGCGAGCTGCGGGTGGGCAATCCTGTTACGCGCGCGTGTGCGGCGGGCTTGCCTACCCTGGACTCTGCAGGCGCCTGCGAGCTGCGGGTGGGCAATCCTGTTACGCACGCGTGTGCGGCGGGCTTGCCTACCCTGGACTCTGCGGGCGCCTGCGGCTGCGCGTAGGCAATCCTGTTACGCACGCGTGTGCGGCGGGCTTGCCTACCCCGGACTCTGCGGGCGCCGCCACCTGTTGAGCGTGTGCGGCGGGCTGCCTACCCCGCCGCGGCCTGCGGTGCCGTAGGCAATCCTGTTAAGCACGCGTTTGCGGCGGGCTTGCCTACCCCAGCCCCCGCAGGCGCTCTCTGTCGGAGGCTCTGCCCGTTGGTCGGCCTACCCGCGTAGGAGAAGAAGATGACCTCGCCGCCCAGCGTCTCCGCCGCGATGACGAGGCCCTCGATGAGCTTGACGTGCGCCATGGCCCCGGACGTCTGCGCCAGGTCCTCCAGGTACCAGAACATGAAGTAGATGATGAAGCTGTCGCATATCCCGGCGAACGTGGCGAAGACGAGGAAGACGACGATGTGGCGGTGCTTGAGGAGACTCGCCACGTCGCCGATGATGCTCTCAGACTTGGGCAGTTTCGGCAGCTGTCGAACGCAAGAATGATTGTGAACGAATCCAGCGAATGGATGGGGGTTAGAATGGACCCGTGGCTGTCCCGGGCGGTACCTTGAGCCGAGTGCACGTGAAGATGTCAATGAGGCCGAAGGCGAGCGTGAGCAGGAACGCGGGGGCGTAGTTCTTCATGGCGGCGTCCGGGGAGTACAGGTCGATGACGTAGCCCGCCAGGAGCGCAGACAGACCGAACCCTATCGCTCCAAACACGCGCTGTTTTCCATATCCCATTTCTCCCCCGTCGCCTGGCGGCAAAAGGAAGAAAACAAACATTGATTTATGCTTTTGTGCTTCCACCGGACGCTTGTCCGCGTGGTGGCGCGCGGGGTCGCCGTCGTCGTCGCCTCCGCGTACCCAGGACGTCGAAGCAGATGGCGTCGCTGATGCTGTTGGCCACGTTGTAGCCGATGCTGCCCAGCGACATGAGGAGCACGAAGCTCCAGAAGGTGGCCGTCGAGTACAGGTGGTTGGGGTCCTCGTGGGTCGGCTCGCAGAGCACGTCGAACTGCTGGCGCGCGTCGCTGCCGCAGGACTCGGCGCCCCACTGCATGCCGGAGATGGCGGCGCAGACCTCCGGGGCGAGGGCGGGCCGCGTGTCCAGGGGCTGCAGCAGCGGGCTCGCCGACCACGCGCACTCGAAGGCCGTCGTCGCGTTCTTATCTGGCAGAGTCTGGGTAGCACCGCGATAGCGAGCGTTAGCGAACGCCGTTTAAACGTCGCGGGATACAGCATTTTATTGGCGCAATTACCTTGCATTACCTCATTTTTACATGAAATGATATCATGGCAGGTGGCCCCTCGGATGGCGAAGGGGCGGACTTTGACGGCGGGGACAAAGTACAGTAAAATGTGGGAGCCGCACATAATGCAAATCAAGGTCATGAATAGTAACTTTCGCTGGCTCTGTAACGAACAGAAGAGAGGCTTTAGTCTTGATCCGGCACCTACCTGGAGTGAAGGCTTTGGACTTGCCGATGGCTTTAGGAGGGCCCCACCTGGAAATAGTCAGCCAGGTAGCCAAACGCCGGTTTGGCAACGAGGAATAGGAGTGGCAAAACGGCTGAAATAGTGCCCATCACTATTTCGGAAATCCCCAGCTGCTTCCCGAAGACGATGGTGAACGGCAGAATGGGCCCCATGGCTGCAACAACAAACGGCCCCGTCTTACTACTGTACAGTCGGTTGGGTACAGTAGCCTCTACTTTGTCGCGACTTACACGCCATGAAGAAGAAGAAGTGCGCCTTCACGGGCAGCAGTTTGTAATTAACTTTCACCATGTTTGCGGCTTCGACTGTTTCTGACTCTTCAGTTTGAAAGTCGCGCCTCACCGGCTTCCCGAGTTCCTCCGATTATCTGAAAATAACGAAATAACGTGTTCATGAGAGTGTGCGCGAAGCGCGCTGGCACGCCTCGCCGGCCCTTCGCCCCCCCCTCGGTGTCCGAGCCCCGCGCAGCCCCGCCCGCGCCAGGCAGCCCGGTCGGTGACTGGCTTGTGTTGACGACGCCGGCCTCGCACCCCGGTCACCGATCGCCCCGAAACGCCAAACACTCCGACCGAACACAGCGCCACACGGCGCCACGCGGACGCGTTGGGAGTCTCTAACGACATCTCTCCTTTGGGTCAGCAAAGGACCCCGGATTAGCACCGTTTGACACACACATGAACACGTACCGACACGTACGCGCACACACACACACACACACACACACACACACCACTGCACGACCTTACCCGTTTGACCTTCCGCGGCGGCGACGCGGCACTGCTGGCAGCTGTTGGGCTTGACGCCTCGTTTGACGCTGTCGCGTTAAGCCTAACCTAGCCCAAGGCGCGTGGCCGGGGACGCGGCGGGGGACGTGTCGGGGGACAGCGCGCGGCGTGAGGCGGCCTTATCCAGCCGTCCGGGTTGTCCGGGTTGTCGTGGCGCGGAGTCCTCCAGGCCTCCAGGCTTGCCTCCAGGCGGGCCGCGACGCACTCCAGTCTAGTTTGGAGCGAGGTGAGGCGCGCACTGAGAGCACGGCGAGCACGCATGGCGGTTACCGTTACGATGGCCCTCGAGAGCGCCGCGGCCAGCCCGCCAGTCCGGCAGCGCGCCGGGCCGGCAGACGACGCGGACGCGGGGCGCACCAGGGAAGGGACCAGGGCGCGCCTCGACGGGTTTACGACGATAAGGAGCGGGGCGGGCCGCGTGCGGAGCGGGCGGGGCGGGGCCGGGGCGGGGTGCGGCGCGGCGAGGCAGGGCGGCCTCTCGGACGCAGCCTCATCCTCGAATCTGTCCGGACGGCCCGGCCGCCAGCATGCCGGCTGGCCTGGGCTGGCCGCAGGCCGACAGACTGGCCGAGGTACTCTCCGATACGGGACAAGCGCCTTGACGGCTTGCAGCCGCTTGCCGGTCGACGGCCAAGTGCAACTCGCAGTTTGCGGTCCGAGTCGGAGGGCGGAGGGCGGAGGCATGGCGCAGCGCGGGCCTGCCCGTCTCGAATTGCAGGTTGGAGCGAGGCTGGGCCGGGCCGCTGACGAGAACACCGCGGGAAACAGAAATAAGTCGGGTGGAATTCCCTCGGCCAGTGCGTCGGGCGTCGCGCGGTGGCTCTGGGCCGCCGGCCTCCGCCCTTGCTCGTTCTGCCTTAATTAGGTCCACTGGGCCGTGTTAGGCAGCGCTCTGGCAGCGCTTAGCCCGCTGGGCCCGGCTGAACGCGTCCTAAGCCTGCGGTGCCCACTCGCCCGCCGCGCAGACAGGCAGGCAGGCGGAGGCACCACCACGGCTGCGACGAGGCCCGCCCGCCGCCATCACTATGCGACCGGGGCTGCGCTCACACTGGCAAGCATGCACGCCGGGTCACGGCGGGTGACAATTTTAACACGGTAGCTACCGGTAGCGGCCGGGCGGGTGCCTGTCAGGCACCGTGAACTCACTCTGGGGTTGACACCAGCCTGTCGGGGCCCGTCACCATCTCGGTGCACGTGGCGGGCGAGGACGCGAGGACGCTCAGCGACTGATAGTCGAGTACAACTGCAGCAGACAGCAGACAGCCGGGCGTGGAGGCCCCCCGTCCCGCCGTGGCATGGCCGTAGCCGCATAGCCCGTGCATGTTGTGTTGCTAACCGCACCACAGAAGGCTCACGGTGGCTAAAAGAATCCCCCGTCGTCGGTACCCCGCGCGCAAGCCGCAGGCAGGCGGCGATACCCCTCGCTGACTCATGTGCACGCGCGCAGGGAGTATCGACGGACTATTCTGCCGATAAGTGAGTTGCGGTGGCTGTATTCGCAGGAAACAGCAGCAGACAGCACAGTGCAGCACCTAACCTGCCGACTGGCTGGTCTGCAGAGTAATATTTATGCTCTTTCAAAGAAATAGTTTTATGACAGCAATGTTGCGTGGTAGATTATTGTCTGGCCTGATAAGGCTATCTTCTTCCTGTGTTGTTCCTTCTCCAGGTTTGTTTAAAATTATTGTTGTGATAATTTTGTTTGTATTGGTTTGTATTGAACCATTTTGTACTGTGAGTTTTGTAATGGAAATTTATGTTCTAGCTCCATCGAGCTCTGTCAACAGTCCTGATGTTGACAGTGATGGAACTAGTGATGCAAACAAGGATCTTGCAGTGGACGAAACGTGGATCCCTTCAAACAACAAGCATTATGTTAAAAAGAAAAAGATTACTCGTCCTCGTTTTGCTATGCTGCTTTCCTTCCATGGTTCAAACTATTATGGGATGCAATTGTGAGTACTATTATGTCCGAAGCAAATTAAATGGGCTAGTGTAAAAAAAGTTTAATTTGTCTGCGCTTGTTTCATTTTAGCAATTCACATGGCCCTGCAATTGAAAACATACTGTTTGATGCGTTTATCAAAATTGGTCTTCTACCTGAGGAGAAAATACGGGCTGCTAGATATTATCTAGATTATCAACGAGCATCTCGAACAGATAGAGGTGTATCTGCTTTGAGGCAGGTCGTTTCATTAAGAATAAGTAAGTTGTGAAGATTTTACTTACTTCTACCAGCATATTAGGATACATGCTTTCAATTTCCTTCTTCTTCCAGCTAAGGGTTTTAACATCGATGGTATAAATGAATTTTTGCCTGATGATATACGTGTCCTTGGAATTAAACCTGTTGATATGATTTTTGATGCCCAAACCTGGTGTACTGCCAGAACTTACAGTTATATCATGCCAACTTATGCACTGCGTTACTTTGACAAAAGTTGGAATGACTGTCACAAATATCGCATTGATTCGCTTTCAGTTTTGAAAGCAAGTCAGATATTTGAAATGTTTAGAGGAACTCACCATTTTCACAACTACACTGAAAAAATGTAAGATTCAATTTGTAACATTGTTCCCTTTTAATTACTATAGGTAAAGTATCAACTATTAATGAGAACTGATTTTTGCAGAGATATCTGGGATCAGAGATCTCAAAGGAAAATAAACGACACAGAAGTCTCAAATCCTTTCTTGATGGGTGAAGTTGAAATGATTGAATTCAAACTTACAGGTATTTTATTAGATAAAAACATGAACATGCTAAATTGGTCCATAAGCCTGTTCTAACTTTCCATAAATTGATATTTCTAGGTCAAAGCTTTATGCTTCATCAGATTAGAAGGATGATTGGGATGGTAATAGCAATAATGCGAGGGAAGGCAACATTTTCCATGTTACAAGAAACTTTGGAGCACCCTATGATGCCAGCACCTACAGCCCCAGCATTAGGCCTCCTCTTAGAAAAGGTAAGTACTAATATCTATATTGATTGATATTCCCTCTATTTATCATCTATCATTCACTTATCCTACAGCTTACTTTTCTAACATTGTATCCTCCCTTAGCAACATTTTGATAGCTACAATAAGAGTCGTAAGACCACAATGCCTTTGGAATGGGATGAGTATGATGATGAGGTGGAGAAGTTCAAACTGGAAAAAATAGTGCCATACATGGTGAAGGTGGAACTAGAACAAAAGCAGTATCCTTTTCAGGTCATGAGTTTTAACTTTTTTGGTCTACTTCAGGGTTTGTTAATTGCAATAACTTCCTTAACCTTTAGCAGTATGGAGACTTATTTGGACCGTAAGATGAGGAGACATAGTTTTAAAGGAAATGACTTGAGCTCGAAAATGCGGCAAGTTGGCAAATGGGACAACACTGAAGATTTGGAAAAATTACTTAAAGGTGATGAGGATGACAGTTCGAAAGAAAAGTAAAATTGGATATTAGAAATATTTTTATTAATAAAAATGTACACAACTCATGTCTTATCTGGCTTAGACTAAAATGAAACAGATTTTACTTTTTTGTTTTTAACAACCATTTAACAGTACATTGAAAGTCACACAGAATCTTGGGAGACTAGCTGCATAGTTTTCTCCTTGTAAACATTACTTTCTCGTATGGCATCTAATAAATACAGTAAGTTTTGCTCTACACTTTAAAAAAAAGACAACACATCACTTGGTTGCACCATTTATCACAGAACCAGGAAACAATATGTCCATCAGGCTATGAAACTATATGTTGTACAGACTGATGGCCACAATCTTAAATGACTTACAAGCCACTTGGCCATCTGAACCAGAGTGTGCAATAATTAACTAAGGACCCTAAAAGGGGAAGGGTTTCTTTGACAAGAAAAAGTTAGAGCAAATTCACCTGCCACTTGGCCATCTTAACCAGAGTATGCAGTAAAGAAACCTAGCTACTAACAAAAGAAATTTTAAAACTTGTGTTTTCTTTGTGATGAATCAAATACCACTTGGCCATCTCAACCAGAGTGTACATAATATAATAAAGCAACTTGAATGATTTAATGAAAAATATGCTAGACAGTTATAAAATTTGATCAGAGTAAATAAAAAGAGTTACTGGAAATTTAGAAGTGAAAAATCACAACTAAACATCTAAAATGACAGATTATCCAGACAGCTTGTTGAAGAGGTACTCGTCAAAGAGGAACATGGAGAGGCTAGAATCAGAAGACTTCAGAAGGTTCTTCAGGTCTGAGGTGTGACCAGCAAGGTTGCGGATAGTATCAGCCTGCTTCTCAATGAAGTTCTCCTCCAAGTAGTGAGTAAGCTGTAAAATTAATAAAGAAGTACGTCAGAAAGTTGCACCCCGGATAGATAGAAGTGCTGGTGTGAATTTACTTGAAACCACTCACCTCAGCATCATGGTGCTTAGGATCCTTGGCAGAGCAAGTGTGATGAATGTGGAATGCCTCTTCAGCAAGGGACTTCTGGATGTCAAGAGCACGTGCCAGACTGCCAAGCTCATGAAGTTCATAAACTTCCTTCTTCGCAGGCTGAGAGCAATCAACAACATTTGTTACACCTTTGTACAGAGTTCACCTTTTAACAATCAAAGGAACCAGTGTAATTTACCTCATTGGCCAGATTGTCGGCCTCTCGGTAGTTGAAGTTCATCTTGCCACCTCGCTTGGTCATGTGCTTGATGAGACCCAAAGATGCCTCCCAGTTTTGGTCAGAGAGGATGCGGTAGAGCTTCTCAAAACCGGGGCGGTTGGCCTCGTAGCTTCCAAAATGGGTAGACTGTTAACAATTTTTAAAAGAAAATTAGCGATCAGGATGGACACACAAAACACAATGAAGATAGCCCAATCATAGTTCGGTGAAGACATACCATGAGCAGATACTGGAAACTGCGAGTGATGTGGGTGTTGACGTAGTTGGACAGTTGCTCCATGGCGCTGGCAGCACCACCGTAGACCGCATTGCAGTTGGGGATAGCAACTGCCTCATCTGCAAAGACGAAAACCCTGCTCAGCAAATGCAACAGTTTCAGCGAACCACCAAACTGGGATAGTGCATTGTCACAAACCTGCGCTGCTGCTGCACTTCATGTTGACATCTCCGTAGCAGAAGCTGCCGGTCTCGGCACTGGCCAGGGCCACCAGGAGGGCCGCGGCCACGAAACAGAACAGACCCTTCATTGTCTTGACTCACGAACTGACGCCTTGACGCCTGCAACAAAAGCACAAGCTACTTAGGGCCACGTCCCCGACGCCCCGTCCGCGACGCGACGCGCGGGGCGACACCAACGCATCCATTTGGAAGAAGCGTGACAAGTCGCGGTGCGTGATGATCAACTTGGCAAAAATCTCGTGGAAAACAGGCGAGCGACAAAACGCAAACATCACGACGGCCAGGTTAGGCCAGCGACACCGACAGGGCGGCCGCGACACGGGGCGGGCGAGTTTGACGATTCCCAGGGCGCAGGAGTCAGGACGCGTTGGGCGATCGTCAAAGCGGAGAGCCTTACCGAGATGATGAGTCAAAGAGAACACTGACGACTGAGCGAAAAGACGACTCGCACTGAGCTCGTTGCACCACCCGTGGATCGCAGCGCAGCTCACTCTCGACTGTGCTTTGTTTGGGGCTATCAGGAAAACAAGTCACATGACCAGGGTACTTCCCCACCCAAAAGCCCGCCCACCCATCGACATTTTCCCGCCGAAGTCGCGAACCCATTTCTCCGCTCACTCAGCGATTTTCCAAAGCGCGCGATTGGGCCTCATTTTTACCAATCGCCGGTTCCGGTTTTCACCAAAACTTCTGGTTAAATCGAACAACCGGCGAGCGGCGTGCGAGGAAACTTTTGTCCCGGACTGTCACACGCATGCGCAGCAGGCTACTGCGCACGTCCCTAGTACAGTCAGCTGACCCACGGGGCAAAACAGGCTGAGTCCGAGGGGTGATTCGAGTGTTTTCCGTCGTCAAATGCGACGGTGCGGCCTTACTCTGGTTCTCGTCTCCTGAGCGTGTGAGCCACACAGCTTGAAGAAGGGACCTTCTGCATCAGTGCATGCAAAGGTTGGCGCGGGTGTCGATCGTGTCCGAAGAAGCGCCGTGCTTTGTCACTCCCTAGTCGGATCCTCCCAGCCTAACCTCTCGCCAACAGTGCGGTGGACGCTACGCTAGCTCAGTGTCTTGCGGTGCGTCGCCCACTCCGAGTAGCCGTCGCCGTTTGTTCCGTGCGACAAAGGAAAATGTCGCCGCTCCACGTCTCCGTGGCCGTGCTGGCCGTGTTCGCCTTCGCGGCGTGCGGGGTGTCTGCTGACAAGGACAAGTTCAAATGTGAGTGTCGTGCTGGGGAATGGATCCTTTGTTTTCCTCCGTTTGGGCGCATTTTGGGCACTGCGCCGCAGGCCGACGCCTGGCCTGCCGAGCGGCCTGTCATGCGGGGGTGCGGTTTTTCGTTGGTCTGCACGTGTACGCGTCCATGTCGGACTCCCTTACGCCCCTCGGGGCCGACTTCGGGTCATGTCAACAAGAGGCCTGCGTGGTGCAATCCGTCCGTCATGCCCCGCCTCATTTGCATGCGTGTGTCAACCTAATAGGCTTGCTTCCTGCGTTTCGATAATAACTTTGGACTTGTTTTTTTCCAGGCAAGCTTCGGCCCGCTGATATTCCCAAGGAATGGGTTTCCATGGTCGATCCCTGCGTGAAGAAGATGAGGGAGCAGGTCCAGACCGAGCTCACCGCCTCCATGACCTACCTCGCCATGGTAATTCGCCTTTCGTAGGACTTGCCATTGATTCGAGGTTTAATTCATGTGTCTTCATATCAACTTCTGTTTTTTCAGGCTGCTCACTTCTCTCAGGACACTGTCAACCGTCCTGGATTCGCTGAACACTTTTTCAAGTCCGCTAGTGAGGAGCGTGAACATGCCATCAAGCTCATCGAGTACTTGTTGATGCGTGGTCAGCTGACCAAGGATGTTGGAGACCTCATCAAGGACCCTGTAAGTGCTTATCTTCTCTGATACCTTCAAATGTCTGAAGTGTGATTCTTGGAATGTCACTGACCTTTCGCTTTTCTGTTATGTTTTACAGCGCCCCAAGGGTGATGTCACTTCATGGGTTGATGGTGTCAGTGCCCTCAAGGACGCTCTCAAGCTCGAGGCCAGCGTTACCAACAACATCCGTGACATTGTTGCCGTCTGTGAGGACCCTGGTGAAAGCAAGTTCAACGACTACCATGTATGTATTTCCTACTTTTGCTGCGTTTTGTTTGGTATCCAAAGGCATGTTACTTGACACACTATTATATTTCAGCTGGTCGACTACCTGACTGGAGACTTCTTGGATGAGCAGTACAAGGGACAGCGTGAGCTCGCCGGTATGATTTCCACTCTTGACAAGATGATGCATTCCCATGGTGCTATTGGAGAGTTCCTGTTTGATAAGAAGCTTTTGGGTTAAACTTCACCACTGTTTTTCCCAGTTTTGTTGGACTGAAATATGTTTCATTTTGGGAGTTTTTTATTCCTCTTAAATTTTTATGATTAACTCTATTCAATTTTCATAATATGCATCACTATGTTAAGGTTTCTTTTTTCTCATCAGTCAATATTCTAGTTTGATTCTGTGTACAATTAGATGTGCCATCGTATGTTTTACTTTGAATTTGTCAATTTTAAATGCCTTTGAACAAGATTAGCTTTAACATGTTCATTTTCACTCTGAAAACCTGGAGTGTTACTGATGACATGACTCTATTTGTTCAACAGTAAGTTCATTCACAGGCACAAACTTCAGTACATCTTGAAACTATTATTAATGAAATGGAGTGTTTTGCACTTGTGTAGTGAGTAAAACTTTGTATCCTGTGATATCCATTGTGGTGATAACAATCAGTGCAACCAGTATTCTAGCAACCTGGATGACATTGGAACCTTATTTGTAAATACCCAAACCCAAGCCGAGTGTTTCCAAAATTTAAAGGCAGAACAAAATTTGTTTACGTAAAGTAAATGTGTTTTTCTTACCCATCACCACTTTTTTTTTTTTTGAATGCGGAGTCTGTGTGAGCTGGTCTGTTTATATTTTTGTAGTTAATTCATTTTAATAAATTTAATCATTTTAGTCCTCATTTGTTAATTTTGATGCTGTACCCTTTCCACTCGAGTACTGGTGCTGATAGAAAGCTGCGGGGACACGTGAGTCAGTGTGAAGTCTTGACTCGAATCGAGCCGCCGGTGCTGAACTTGTATTGCCAGTAGCCGCAGACAAAAGCTCAGATAAGCCCTCGCGGGGTTCGCCGTCGCGCAGCGTCCAAAGTGCGGCCCACGGCGGAGTGGCTCGGCGAGAGGCGCGGTGGCGGCGCGGCGCTGCCCGCGTCTGCGTCGCCGCGGCAGCGCGGCAGCTGCGCGCTGGAGGGGCTGGAGTGCGGGGGCGGGGCAGAGAGCCTGCCGACTGATTCCGAGAGTCGTTTTCGTCGCTCTGTCTCTCTCGCACCTACAGGGGACGCCCCATGAGTGCGAGACAGAGCGACGACAACGCCTCTCGGAATCAGTCTGCTGCTGTGTGCAGCGTGCGGAGTGGATGTCGATGACGACGCCGCGTTGCGTTTGCACTGGACTTCCACCCGGATGTGCGAGCCGCCCGGCCAACTTCCGGGGGGCAGGGCGCGGAGACGCGCGCATTTTGAACGTCCCCGTCGTTCGCGAGCGGCTGCCGGTGGCCGCGGTGGCAGAGGTCAGGGGGACGCGGCCTTGGGGCTCCTGAAGGGCCCCTCGGCCGGCGGGGCGCGGCGCGGGGCACGCCGAGAGCCCCGCGGGGTCGATGAGCCCCATTGTCAGGCAGTTAGCCTCCCAGGTCCTGGCTAAGCGCGGCTAAGCGGCGCGGCCTTGGCGGGGGCCTCGGGGGCCAGCTCCCGGCCACTCCCGACCTCCTCGCCAAGGCGTGACACTCCTCCGCCGCCGCTCCCCACCGCGACAGCACAGCGCCCTTTCGCCAGCAGTGAGCCCTTTCGCTTCCTTTGGCGCTCGCTTTAGCGCCGCCCGGCCGGTCTAATCAAAGGCCACGTCGCCGTCGCGCTGACGAGCCTCTCGTCATGTCAAGAATTAATCCGACGCGGACGTGCACCAAATCATGTCGCATGGCAGCCGAGCTGGCCGAGCCGCTCTTGGATCTGCATGTAGCAATGTGGCAGCGCGGCCGCGGCGTCGCCACAACAACAGCAGCAGCCAGCAGCGCACAGCCGGTCTATGTATATGTGCAGCCTGGAGATAGCGCTAGCGCGGCCTCTGCCCACCACGCCGCCACCGTCACCCCGCGCGAAAACAGTCCGTGCCGATAGGGGCCTCCATGACGGCGACGGGGCGCGCACTCATTCGTGCACGCGGGACTATGCGTTCATGTGGACCGGGCCAGATAGGCACACTGCTTCACGTTGCGCCAATCCATGTGGAGGCGGGAGGTGGACTTGTCGTAGAGCCCCAGCAGGCTTGATTCCGAACACCGCTGTCTCTGTCACTCCTTTCCAGGACGCCCCATGAGTGCGAGAGAAACAGAGCGATGAGAGCAGTGTGCTCGGGATGGGATCAGCCTGCTGGACACGTGAGGCACGACCCTCGCAAGCGAGAGCGGCCCCGCCGCCGTGCTATCTATCGCCAAAAGAATCTGCCCATCCCCTTACTTTAAGTGCAAAGCTCCTCCTCGTGCTGGGCCGCGGCCTCGGCGCGTGCACTTGTGCAGCAGTACAGTCCGGTTGCCGAGTGCTTGACTGCATCATCGCCGCCGTGAAATGAAACTAGAAACGCGTCGCGGCGACGCCAGGCGACGCCAGCTGGAATCCCCGATGCGTGTTTTTCCGAGAACCGCATTCGCGCATTCGCCATCGCATCCATTCGTCGCGGAGATTTTCAGAGGCTGCCGCTTGATCGCGGTCTCGAGTCTCCTGTAGAACCTGCGGCGGTTCGGGGAGGGACATCTCGCCGATGGCGGCGCCTGGGAGGCTGGCAACGCGCACTGCGGTACTGCGGTACCGCGGCACCCCCTCTGGCCCACTCCCAACACCTCTAAAAGAAGCCCGACGCCGAGCCGTTGCGACGCAGGGGGGCAACATTTTGCACACGGGGCCACGTCACCCCCTGGCCGCATTCTGCGGTCGTCCGGGCGTTGCACGCGGCAGGCCGCGGATCGCGGCCCGAGGCCCGACGTACTGTATTCGAGTACAACTGGGGCGGTGGCTGCCAACTTGCCGGGCGACGTGTTTATTTCCCACAAAAGCAAACTGCGTCTTCCCTTCCTCGTTCCCTTTCCGCGTCAACATGCCGCCGCTCTGCGGCGGAAAAAACGGCGGAAAAAAGGAGTCGAGTGGCCGGGCCGCCTCTTTGCCTCGAAACAACGAAAACGGCACGTAAATGAACGGGCCTTGCCTCGCGTCGCTTCGCCCTGCTTGCATGCTCCATGTCACGATCCGGTTGCCGCGGCGGCTCCGCCGCGTCCTGGCCGAGCTGGCGGTGGGAACGCCGCTGGTCTCCAGCCCGCTGCACTAGTACATGAGGGTGGAGAGGGAGTGGGCCAGCAGACCGGTGAAGGCGGTCAAAATCCCGGACGCGTTTTGAGCTGCAGAGTCACAAGGGTCTCGAATCGAACGTGTGACCCCACCAATGGATTGCTGTCCGAACGAGGAATCCATTGGTGGGGTCACACGTTCGGTTCGAGTCCTGTTTAGCGACGCTGGAGCTCAAAACGCGCCCGGGATTTTGACTGCCTCCAGCCGTCTTCTGGCCCACTGTGCGACGTGGTCGGCCACCGCCGCCTCCGGATCCGCGGCCCTGCGTGTTGCCAGGCGCGTAGCGCAGTAGCGCGCCCGATAGCCCTCATGTCCGACCTGGGCCGAAAAAAAAGCCTCCCTCGCGCATCCCTAAGTGGCCGCCGGGCCCCAGGACCGCCGCAACTGCCTCTGCCGCGGTGCGCAGACACGGGGGGCCGCCGACGGGCCGCCACTTGCGGCTCTTTGCTCGCCGGCAGTCCGAGAACCGCTAATGCAGCAGTCGTGCGATGATTGAGGAGCCCGATTAGATAAGTCGTTAGAACGCAGATTAAGTTCCAAAGTCGGCGCCTAGGCTCGGCGTCGACGGCGTCGGCGACGTGCTACCGGGTGGCGGCGGTGTCTCCGGGCGCACCGGGACATTGCGTAACGACGGCGACGGTGACGACGGCGACGACCCCGCGCCGGATGAATGACTCGCCGGTAATCGGCCACCGTGGCGAGCCGTCGTGCGTCTCGGCCTTGTTGGCGGACTAATTGAAAGGAAAAATCTCGGCGATGCGTTTTCGGACCGTCGGCCGTCGACGCATCGACGCGGACGCGGGCGTAGCGTGGCGGCGGCACCGCGGCGGGACTACCGGTGCTTCCCTCTGGCGGCCGCCGCGCGCACTGCGTCTGTAGGCGCGGGGTATCGCCGTCGCGGACGGGCCCACGGGGTGCGAGACACGGCCCGGAAGGGCGCGGCGCGTGCCGCCGAGAGGCCACGACGGGGACTCCTTGAGGGCCTTGAGGGCCTCCAGGGTCACCTGCTGGCGGCGGAGGGTGTGAGCGGCAGCAGGTGGCTGGCCGGGACGTGCAGGGAGGGGTGGAGCTCGTCGGAGGGACGACGGCGCGGGGGCGGGCAGGCAGGGCAGTCCGGCGGGGATGCAGGACTAAGATCTCGTTCAAGTACAAGCCATGAAGCAGGAACGAATCCTCCGTCCGGAGTCCTCAGGGACTGCCGCCGGCTGCTCTGTGACACTGGACTAAGGATGCAACACTGCAGCAGTGCCCGAAATGCAAACGATCATTTACAGTCGAGCCTTCAGTAGCAATAGTAACCGCGTCGGGTAGGCAGGCCGCCGTGTGTCGCGTCGGCCCGCCCGCCTTCAGACAGACCTGCTCTACTCCGTGTCGCTCCCCGTCGTGCAGGTGCTCCCCTCCCACCTCCCTTCCCCCCGCCGCCCTTCCCATTGTCTTTGCGATGCCGGCGAATATCGAGTGAGGATTAGGAAGTCCAATTTTTTTACGCCGACCGTTTCCCGGCGAGTTTCTTGTTATGCAGGCCCGGCCCCGCCCGGCCCGCCGCCGTCGAGCACGTCTGCACGTCGAAGCGGTTCGAGGTGAAGAGCAAGAACCACGCAGTCGCGTCCGTCGCGCCGGCAGTTACTCGGCTCTGTTCGGAAGGAAGAGGAGTTTGGCGCGTGAAACAGCGCCACTTTTGGAGGAACGGTAGTCAGTCAACCGTCGGCTTGACTCGCCGGCCGGACAAAAAAAATTGTCTGGTGGTTATCTTTGCGTTTCACATGTGTTAGGAGAAGTATTTTCTGGTTCGCGTCTGCACTGAGTCGCCTATGCTGACTGCACGGTATTTCGAGTTGACCCGCGGACCGGAGGGGAGGGGGAGGGAGGGGGAGGGGCGCAACCCGCCAGACGGCCGGTCTGAGCCGCGATGCCCCACCGCGCCCCACCACGCCCGGCCGCGCCCCACCGCGCCCGGCCCCAACCAGTTAGCGCGTGTGCCAATCTAGAAAGTCGTTCATGCCAGGCCTCGCATTGACGTATAGGATTCCGTGGTGTAGCGGTTATCACATCTGCCTAACACGCAGAAGGTCCCCAGTTCGATCCTGGGCGGAATCATTTTTTCTGTCCGGCTTAACGGCGTCCTTGGGAAAGCCATCGATGTTCTTGAGGCGGCAGCGCGGCAGCGGATTTTCGATTGGCCGCGTGACCGAGACAGCCGCCTGCGTCAGCGAGGGTAGGCAACCCAACCAACACGCCTGCATCGCAGAGTGCGTCTCACGTCGCGGAGGGGCCGAAGGCCGATAGTCACCGACCGATACCTCTCTCTCTCTCTCTCTCTCTCTCTCTCTCTCTCTCTCTCTCTCTCTCTCTCTCTCTCTCTCTCTCTCTCTCTCTCTCTCTCTCTCTCTCTCTCTCTCTCACTCAAGCACCAGGTCGGCGGAAAAGTTCCCACACACAGTACAATCTTCCGCATTGAGGACCCGAGTTTTTTGGGGCCATTTATGATTGGGGGCGGAAAAAAAAACCGATGAGTGTAAAGAGTTGTTGCTCACGGAAATGTCTTATGCAAATGCGAGGGCGAGCAGCCAGGTTGCAATAAGCAGTCCAGTTGCATCGCGGGACGGGGACGCAGGGCGCGAAGACGACGAAAAAAGTCACCGAAACGGGAAGGAGCGCGGCGAAGCAGGAACCGTCCAGTTGTCTCGTCCGCGGCGTCCTCGGCGTCCTCGGCGTCCTCCCCTACGACGACGGTGGTCAGATCTTTGCTGCTTCCCTTTCCTCCTTTTATATTTTTTTGCGTAATCGGTGGCATCACATGCAAAGACAGAGCAGAAGATCGGGTTCCGCGCGCCCTCCTTTGTCTCTTTTTTTTGTCTTTCCCTTTTCTTTGCACATGTTCCATTATCCTTTCCTTGCTCTTCATCATCACTTCTCGGTCCTCCCTCATTTGCATACGCTTCTGCGGTAGTCACCCCAAACACCGCCGCCTCGCCCCGCCTCGCCCCGCCTCGCCCCGCCACCCCGCGCACCTAAAGGGTTGCGCCAAGTCCGAGCCCGGGATAAAGGATTGTCCGAGGACGCTGCTTTTTTCTGGTCATCCTCCCCGCCGCGCCGCCGCGCCGTGCGCACTGCGTGTGCGTGTAGCGTCTTCGGCAGAGCGCGTATTTAAAACGCAGTCTCTCTCTCCCGCCGCATTGTCTTTAGCGTCGCCTCTTTCTTTGGTTTACTCTTTTTTTCCGGCCAAATCGGCCAAATGCCCCGGTGCCGCCTGCATAGCAAGTAGCCCGTGAGAGAGTGTGAAAAACTGGCGAGACGTGGCCTTGCGTCCCTGCGGCCCTGCACGGCCCGGCCCGGCGATGATGCACTTCTGGGCGGCGAGGCGGCCAGGCGCAACATCTCCCGGCGAGGCCGGAGTGCCACGGTTCCAGCAGTTCCAGAGCGAGTGGTCCTCGGCGGCGGCCCTCCCAGACCACTGTCAAATCCGCCCCCGCCGTCCTTCATCCGCCGGATAGCTTTGAACGTTACCGCCGGGTCACAACGCTTCCGCGGGTGGCTCCGGGGGCCGCGGGAGTGGCGGGGGCGGCGGGGGCTGCGGAGGTGGCGGGGGCGGCGGGGGCGGCGAGGGCTGGTGGCGCCAGGTCGCCGTTTTTCCTCGTTGGACTTCCCTCCCCAACCCTCGCCCCCCCTCTTTCCCCCCGGCCCCGCGCGCAAAGTCACTTCCCTGCGCCCTTTTTTGCACTCCGCTGTTCGCCTCTGTGCTTTTTTTTTCTATCCAGAATAAGTAAAGCGCACAGTGCCCCGCTTTTTTCTTTCGTTCCTGGAACTGCTGGGCCGTAATCTTGGTCCTCTGCCCCTGTTCCCTTTTTTTCCGCGACGAGTATTCGCCCGGCGTGTGGCGTGTGTATAGTTTGCACGCGAGCGTGCCGATGAAGGGGCCGGAGGTGGGCGTGGTCCCCCTGGGGCGCCCCCGTCGGACCTCCAGGGTGGCCCAGCCCGGGCGAGCTGCTATTGGGGACAAGAGCGCGGCACAATCAAATTTTCTAATTTTCTAACGCGTTGGCTTTGAGAGTGGTTGTATTACTCCTTTTACAAGTCATTTTGACAACGACGAGGAAAACGAACGGAGTTTATTTTGTCGGTTTGACTGTAGGCTCGATGGAGAGTCGTCCAAGTTTTGGCGGTCCAAAAGCAACCACTTTGTCCTAAGATCGATCCTGCATAACTTTTTTCCTGGCCGCGGATCGATTTTCGGTTTGTCATTCCCAGCCGCCCAGCTCGGCACCAGGACCAGGATGCTGCGCGCCGACGCTTTGACGCTTTTTGCGCGCGCTCGCAATAAAAGTACCCTTTCGGGATTCGGGGCCTCGCAGTTTACACAGTGTCTCCGGGAAATTGTCGAATTGACCAACTTTTCGCGGAGTCTCCCTCGCGCTTTGCGACAGAAATGTAATTTCATTTCAGCAAATCGGCCAAATCTAAAAGGGAAAAGGAGTTTGGTGGCGGGCAGGGGGAGGTGAGGGGGAGCAGGGAGAGGCGGCGGGAAGGGTCTGGCACCCTTTCGTTTTGCTCCAACTCGGTTTTCATCCATTTCTCCGTCTCCGCACCCCTCCCCGCCCCGCCCCGCCGCGCCGAGGCAGCCGAGGGGTGCGGTGCTGCGCTACCCCAACCAACCCCTCCCACCCTGGCCCCTCCTCCCTTGCTCCTCCCTGCGGGCCCTGCGGGGTGGGGGTAGGTGGGGGGCAAGCCTTTTTTCTCCCCTCCCCTCCCTTCGCAATATCGCGCTCCTCCCCTCCCCTTCACCCTTTCTTCTGTGCCTTACATGTTTTGCGGAGCTTCTCAACTTTTTTCCGGCCGCCCCTTGGAGGGGGAAGGAGGAAGTGCGGTACAGTGTCGGAATGCCGGAGGCTCGGCCGATCAGTCTGTAACGTAAGCACCTCGCGAGCGTTCCGGATTTCTGTCGCGACGAGGCTCGGCCTGGGTCCGGGAGCAGAGCTTTCGCCGTCCGGCCCGGGTTCGAACCCCGCCGCAGTGGACGCGCACCGCCTCGCGCCTGCCCTTCCGTTTCTCAGTTCCAGGACGCCTCCAGGACGCCTCCAGGACGCCTCCAGGACGCCTCCAGGACGCCTCCAGGACGCCTCCGGGACGCCTCCAGGGCTCCAGTCCGGGGCCCAGGTCCAGGGCAGCTCCAGAAGTCAGCCTTTTTTCCGGCGCGCCGCGGCCCGTACGCCCCCTCCCGGCTAAATTGAGGCGTATGTTTTTTCCCCTTTCGCCCGGGCGGTACGGCGGCTCCGTTTTTTCCGGCGACCCTTCGCTTCCCTCTCTCTCCCACCCCCACGCCGCGTCCGTCCCGTCCCGTCCCCGTCCCGTCCCGTCCCCGCGCTGCGTCTGGCGAAGGGCGACGGTGGCGCTGTCTGCCTGTGCCCGTGGCGGCGGCGCGAACTAGCGGCGCCGGGACGGGCCGGGCGCGGTGGCCAGGCCGAGGCGCGGTCTGCTTGAGTGTGGCGGTGTCCTGGCCAGCGGCAACGCGTCAGCCCGCCGCGCTTACGCCGCGCTTACGCCCCGGACCCACCGGAGGCACCGCACGGAGCCCCAGCAGCCACGTGGGGCGGAGGGCGCCAGTGTGTGCGTCCGAGTGTGTCTGTGTCAAGTGTCCGCCAGTGCAAGTGCGTGTGTGTGCGTGTGTGTGCGAGCGTATGCCCCCGCCACGGCCCCGTGTGTAGTGTAGCAGCGCCGCTATGGACGGTCGCAGCAGCGCCAGCCCGACCAACATGCCCAGCAAGCAGACGGTGTCGTCGGTGTCCTCGGGCACGGCGAGCAGCACCACGGCGACGTCGCCCCAGCACCCCGCCACCCCGACCTCCCCCGCGACCGTGACGTCGGCCACCTCGACGCCGCCGTCGGCGTCCCCCATGGGCCCCGTCGGCGGCGTGCTCCCGCCCGGCGTCCCCGGCAGCAAGATCCTCGGCAGGAACACGAACGGCACCGGTGAGTAGCGCGGCGGCGCGATCCGGGATCGAATACCGATCGGGTCGCGCCTTTTGTTCATCATTGCGAGGTCCGCAAACATGTCGGGGCTGCAAGGGGAGTACAAAAGTACCCTCATCGTGATAAGCCGCTGCAGCGAGAGTCTGGGCCTGGGTGGGCTCGGCTCGGCTCGCTGGGGCGCGCGCCCCGCGCGGCTTGTGGCGGCCGGCTCCGCATTCACATTCAGATTCGTGGGTTCTTTCGAGTGGCCGCCTTTGACGCCGCTTTCGGCTTAGCGGGCTCCCGTTGGCTGCCATCAACTAACGCCACTTACGGACGGTTTCGTTCTCGGCAGTGGACTGACTTTAGAGCGTGGATCTTTCGCGTGGATTGAGGTAACGCACTGTCCCCGATTAGAATTCATTTCAAGCACTAAGTACGTTTACCCCATTTTGTACGTCAAGCACGATCTGTCGGTGCTAGTCGTTGTAAATAGTGTTCCAAATTGAATTTTCTGTTGACAGTAGGCATGCTCCGTGCAAGTAATGCAAGTGGGCATGCTAACACGAACTTGGTCCAAACCAGAATTTTCACTCTCGAAAGGCAACCCGTTGTCGCAGATTCGTCTCTGTGTTCTCCCTGTTTCTGAGATCTCATGGAGCTAGAGGCAGTGTTCGATAGCATATCTCTTGTGGCAGGCTAAGACTGTGAAGTAACTTTGTTGCAACTCATCGCGAATAGGGAAAGATCATTTGTTGGAATGGTTGGTTCCCTCCGAAGGAGCGCAGCTGTGCAAGGAAGGGTCAACTTGAAGGCATGTTCATTCAAGGGTCGTTACTGTCAGAGCAACTGTCCTGTTCTGATCCATTCTTCATGCATGCTTGCTACTTGTTATGAACTCCAAATTCGTACATTTAAATTCAAGCGTAATTACTCGCACGTTTGGTTGTGAAATATTACCAGCGCCTGGCATTGTTATCGAAGTCCGCGGCTTAGTGCCCTGCTTAGTGCCCTGCCCTGCTTGGCGCGTGCTTTCGCAGTGCTCTCCCCGTTGCAATACACCCCCAGGGTGTCCTGGCGGGGGTGGGATTCATTCCTTCTTTCTAGCCAATGAAAAGCTTTGATTGTTCTTGATAAATTTCGAGTTGGCTCCACTTCCCCTGTTTACCATTAGAAAACAGACCCAAAAGCAGCAACGCAAGAACGCTGTGCGGTCAAAATTTACCCATTAAAATGTAGAGAATAGACAGAAAGATGCCTTTTTTATGAGTTGTTACTCGAGTTTCATTCGCTTCTCACCAATAAACTTGTCCATTTCCTACCAAAATCCTCGCGACCGCGCTCTCGTAATTAATTGGTGATCCAAATAGAAAACTAAAAAACAGACCCTTAAATTTGCATGCACTGTCTTCGTTTGAAAACGACAGTAGCTGCGTATTTTTTGCCGTGCAGTTTCGCTTGGAAATGCCGGCTTCTGGTACGTAATTTGCACAGTGCTTATTGATCGCGCGGCACCCTTTGTTTTGATTGGTCAAGCTCCGCTGACCGCGGCGGCGCGGCACGGCCGTGCACCGTCGGGCACGGCACTGACCAGGCCACCTGTTACTGGACAAGCCGCAGCCAACCGGTGGCCAATTATACGGAAAACATTTAGCAGATGCAATCTGGACAGTCAAACGTGTCACTAGCCACGCGCTAGCCGCGCTGGTCGGCTGGGCGCGCTGCGTTCGGCTGCTCCGTATGTCCCAAAGCCAGCTGCTATGGACCTTCACAGCAAGTTCGTTTACTTTGATATGAAATTAAATTTTTAAAACGTGGTTCATAGCGATTTATTTGCCCTCTTTGTCGTTGTGTTCGTGCTTTCGCGCCAAAAGGGTTGTTTCAGCAGGGTCCCTGCAGCTTTTCCCGCCAAAGAGAGAGGGAAAAAAAAGTTTGATATTAAGAGATGGCCACGCTTGCGTTTCTGTTTAATTTTGGGTTTTGCCGTTCGCCGTCCTCGCGACTCGTTCGTTTAATTAAAGAAATGGTGGCGAGGAAGGGTTGGAGCCAAGCGGAGCCAAGCGGCGTGCTCTCTCCCTTTTCTTTTTGTTTACTGTCTGTTATTTCCGCCGACATCGCCAGCCGCTGCGCGATTTCATGCGGAGGTAATGCCCAGGAGACACCATTCGTAAAAAAAAGAGAGATTTAAAAAAAGATACATTCAAGTTCAGTCAAAATTATTTTCTAGATTTATCCGTTTCATAAATTTCAGCTGTAGTTTGCCGCACTCGCTCATTTGAAATTTGTGATACTTGAAGTCCCGGAAAGAGTTTCGTGTGTTTCCGCCTGGCCGGTACAAGCGTCTTTTTCGCGAGGGGGAAAAAAATGGTGCAACTGCTGCTTGTTGAGACCCAAGTGCAGGCATGGCTGCCTGGGATGGGGACGTGGAGGGGAGGGGGAGGGGGGACCTCACCCCTCGCAGCCACCCCATTGGTCCTCCCCGCGCCGACGCGGTCCAACCCGCGAGCGAGGCAAATCGCGCGCCCGAAAATTAAGGATTGAAAGCGGCAAGCGGCAGGAATAAAAAAAATATGAAAAGGAAAGAGAGAGACGGAATGAAAGAAAGTGCGGAGGGAAGGGAAGCCACCCCTGAGGCGACCCCTCGGTGAGCTTGACGGTGGTGGGGGACGCGAGCGCGCCGGACGCGGCAGCGCAGCAACGCAGCGTGCACGCCAAAGGGGTGGCGAGGCCGGTGAGGCCGCGTCCGAGCTTCAAATTGTGTGATAAATATCTCGTCATCATTTTACTGCCCCGCCGCCAGCAAAAGTTCGTTATCAATTAATGAAATAAAAAAAGGAAAACAACGCCTACAGATGCGCCAAAACGCGGCCTTACCCTGCGCTGAATCGCAATGTGTTTGTTGGAATGATCGGCTTGCCGTGGGTCGTTCGGCCGCCGCGCCGCCGCTGCAAGTGACAAAAACTTATTCGAATAAATGGACTCGAATTGTGAAGGTGAGGGATAAGTGGGTTTCGTCGAGGAGTTTTTCCTCTCGCCTGCATTTTTTTGTCTTTCTTATTACGGGCAGTCATCAATCGTAAGTTGCCAGTCATGTTTTTAAGTCCTTCGTGTCGGTCCAACAGTTTTTCCCGAGCTGCGCCTCCTCGGCCAGCCTGGACGCTTCGGCTCGGCGCCTGACGGGCCGGCCGAAGGGCCTACCGGCATTCCAGTAGTTTGGTCGAAACTGTCCCTATTCGAACCTCGGCGACGTCCAAAACAAGCCCCGATCGGTTCCGCGCCAATAATGCGAAATTAATAGCAATAAAAAAAGCAAACTCCTGTGAGAACGGGCGAGAAAGCATGTGACGGGGTGGCGAGGAAGACACCCTTGGCTCTGCTTCCTTGTAGACACGCATTCAGATCAGGTTCTTGTTGTTTTTTCGGGCATTGTTTTTGTGGGCGCAGCCTTTGATGAATCTACATATAACGAACCCGCCACCCTCTGGCGGCAGCGCGGCAGCCCCGCGACGCCAAGCCCTCTTCCTTCCGGACCTTCCCGGACGGCGGCTTATTTTTTCCGCGTTTCGTCCAGTTTTTATGAACAAGTGCGCATCGGTGGGAACGCGGGGACCTGTTGAGTCAAGAATGAGGAAGAAGGGCCGGCCAGGTACCACAGTGTACTACAGGTGGGGTGAGCGGTCATGGGAAATCTTGCCGTATGCAAATGAGAATCTCTTTAAGGACAGTTTGCTTTTTTCCTCTCTCTTTTTTCCCACTTTTTTTCTCAATCCGTGTGCGTCAAAGCGAGTGCCGCGACGCCGCCGGCGTTGCATCTTCCTTGAGAACAGTTTGTTTCAAAGGGGTGCGCTGATGGGCGGTCAGCCTGGCCGGCGGCGATTTGACGACCAGACGATATTTTGGCTGATTCGGTCCGAAAGGGGGGAACGTTTCCAAACAAGTCCACTCGAAAGTTGATGATTGTCGACGATTGTGTTCAAACCGCCCTCCATCTTCCACGGCCGTCCGCGCGGCTTTTTGATCGGCGGAGTAATCGGCAATAAAATGGAATCGGAGTCGAAGAGTCGAAGGCCGCCTAATCCACAAGGGGTGTGTGGATGCGACCCTTTTTTTTTCTGAATGGAGTTTACCTGCCGCACCCTCGTCGTGTGCAGTGCGCGCGACCCGCCGGGGGGTGCGTCTGGGAGCGCCGCACTCTCTGTCGCACACGCTGCGGGCCCGCGGCCGAGACGAGGACGGAAGATACCCGAGTGCTTTTCGAACGCGCCGAAGCACCCGTACGGCGTCCCGCGTGGGCCCACCCGACCCGCGCGCGCCCGGCACGCCCGGCACGCCGCCGCTGTTTTGATATGCAGTGGAGTACCTGCGCGGAGCTTCAGTCCTGGTCGGTCCGCGGCCTACGCCGCAGCGTGTGCTTGCGTCATAACGCTTTGGTTTTAACTCTTTGGTTTGCCCTAGATTGTAGAGCCATTCGAAATTTACCATCCAATGAAATTTGGATACGTGTTAACGGACAAATTCTCTCGCACTCGCATAATCCAATTTTTTACACGTGCACGAAATTTTGAGCGCAAATGTGCTATCGGAATATATTTGGGCGAATTTTGTTTGATTAGACGTCTTGCTACACAATCGTGAAGTGTATAATATCTATAATGACATTAATTAGTCTCAGTAACAGACATTTTTTTTTTTTGAGTTTGTACAAATTTTTAATAAAGATTACCTTTGCATTTGAAAAATAAGCAATCAATAATTTGAAAGACCAGAATAACGCCCTGACCCTGCAGCCTTTCTCCACTGCTAATCCGAGCACGCCTCTCTGATACGTCTTTGGCCTAACATCATTATATGTTTTATGACTCGCTCTCCTACCCCCAACACACACACTCACACGCACACACACGCACACACACACACACGCTCACAGACACCGAGACACGCGCATAAAAAAGGGTCCCTATCCTCCTGGGCGGTTCGCGCGGCACGGCCACGGCGGCGCGTCCCGCTAACAGAGCAGGCCG